TGTGCACGCACGTCGATGATCTCCTGTATTGTTACTTACCTGAAGGTAAGGAAGTCATCGAGCGTTTTCTCAACAAGTTCAACATTGGCAGCACCGAAGTGAACGAGTTCAGGTACTGCGGAAAGCAGTTTTCACGTTCAGGTGACGGAGACATTTTTGTCGACACTGTCGATAACACCAGGAAGATCAAGCCGATCCCGATTGATGCTAGCCGTTCCGGCAGCGAGAAGATCTCAGGGGATGACATCACGCGACTTAGGTCGGTGACCGGGTCACTAGCTTGGGTAGCACGCCAGACCAGACCAGACTTGGCGTACCGAGTTAGCCGATTGCAATCTTCGATCAAGAACGCCACAGTCGGTACACTATGTGATGCAAACGCAGTTGCACAGCTTGCACACAAAGGTGACCAGGTGAGACTCCGTTTCCCCTGTGGGCATCTCAAATGGGATGAGGTAGGACTGATCACGATCACTGACGCTTCATTCTCCAACGAACAAAACTATCGTTCTCAACAAGGACGTTGTCATTTTCTTGGAGACCTCACAGAGATCAAGAGTAGTAACTGCAATACGTACAGAGTGATGCCTCTGTCCTACAGCTCTACTACGATCCGACGTGTATGTCGAAGCACCCTCCAAGCCGAGACATATTCCCTGCAGCATGGTCTCGAAGCAGGAGACAAGCTCAGAGGAGTTTTGGCGGAAATCAAAGGTCAGATCAAGTCTTTAAGGACATGGGAGATCGATGCCAGGAGCTGTGTACCACACCTAGCTCTTACAGATTGCCGCTCTTTGTCAGATCATCTAGCCTCAGAAATCCTCGCAAAGGTGAGTGACAAAAGGCTTGGTATCGAATTGCAAAGTATCCATGAATCTTACTGGAGTGATGACCGAAAAACATGGGACATATATCCGAATGGAGGTGATAAGCTGTCATGGGTAGCCACACACACTATGATCAGCGATTGCCTTACGAAGAGTATGAAGCCAGACTTCATGATTCGAGTTCTGGCAGAATGCATGTACAAAGTACAGAAGCAGTAGAATCACCACTGCGTGTTTTCTCCGCAATGCCCTTGTACAGACATACCTGTATATATTCCCATGTGACACCTGAAGAACAGGTTGAGTGTCAATTTGTGGTATTTTGACATTCCATGTAAAGGCCAGGTTGTCACATGCTTTGTCTGTTGCCGTTTCGGCTAATAGGGCCCTTGAGCTATATCGCTATCGCCAGTAGCAAAACAAGCTTTGTTGGACTGCACGATACCGTTGCCAATTCACAATTGTCATCATTGTGAAGGTGCCTAAACGCACAAATCCCAATCCAATCATTAATGATACTTGATGCAAGTTGACTCAGTTTGACCAAGGTGTTCCAGTTCATCATCAGCGACGCTGGTCCGGAGGGCAAGTTCGTCCTTGATTTGAAGAACGGCAGTGGTGCTGCGAAAGCGGGTGAAGAAGCCGGCGCGGTCAGCAGCTAAATTTCAGCAGAATCACTGCTATCACCGTTGTTCACTGCACATCTTGAGATTTGACATGATTTGACATGATTTGACATGATTTGACGTCTCTTCAGGTGACATAGAAAACTTGAACTTCCATTTTGATATAGTTGAATAATGTTGAATCGAGTTTAGTCAGTTTAGCCAACATGTTCCTGGTTCCCTTGGCTTGCAATGGCTTGAATTCTGCTGGCTGCAAGGATTGCACCATCACTATGGCAGATGCGGACTTGGTGGCCGTGGCGGAAGGCAAGCTGGATGGAATGCAGGCCTTCATGGGTGGCAAGCTGAAGATCAAGGGCAACATGATGCTGGCCCAGAAGTTGCAGTCCATTTTGGAGGCTGCTAAGTGAAGGATGTGAAGGTGACGTTGAAGATGGTCAGTATCGAGGCATGAAGAAGCCATCATGTGTGTCAGACAAGTTTTGACATGTTTTGACAGTATAGTGTAAGAGAGCGATTGGATGTAGGGCAACTCCAGTCACTTTGGACCGGAGGGCACCCAAGCTGCAGCGCAAAAAGGAGGCGAAAGGATCTTCAAATGTCTCGCACCTTGCTGTTGAAAACCGCACGAGCAGGCAACCGAATTTAGGTGAGATCAAATGATATCAAATGCGGATGCCCTTTGCTCCAGAGAATTCTTCTTGAGATACGTTTGCAAATGTAGGAGGAGGCTGACAGATTCAGTCGATTAAGAATTAAAAACAGAACAACTTGAGAATTCAACAAGAGCGGCCGTGGTTGTATGCTGCCCCTGACGAACGGTTCTGGCTCTCCGCAGCCGTTTGAAGCCCCAATTCCTTGACATTGCACCCTTAGCCACTCGCCCCTGCCAGCTGCAACATGAAGTCTCAGGCTTTGTTTGATGCCATGTCTGCAGCCGTGAAGAGCAAGGGACCTGAGCTTGTCAAGATGGGAGGTGCTGCTACTTGTTTGCAAGTCAATATTCTTTGCAGCGACCCTGCAATGCCACCGCAATGCCCCTGCACTTCCCGGGCACTTGAACGCAATGAAAAAGAATGAGCATTGTCATCATTGTGAAGGTGCCTAAACGCACAAATCCCAATCCAATGATACCTGATGCAAGTTGACTCAGTCTGACCAAGGTGTTCCAGTTCATCATCAGCGACGCTGGTCCGGAGGGCAAGTTCGTCCTTGATTTGAAGAACGGCAGTGGTGCTGCGAAAGCGGGTGAAGAAGCCGGCGCGGTCAGCAGCTAAATTTCAGCAGAATCACTGCTATCACCGTTGTTCACTGCACATCTTGAGATTTGACATGATTTGACATGATTTGACGTCTCTTCAGGTGACATAGAAAACTTGAACTTCCATTTTGATATAGTTGAATAATGTTGAATCGAGTTTAGTCAGTTTAGCCAACATGTTCCTGGCTCCCTTGGCTTGCAATGGCTTGAATTCTGCTGGCTGCAAGGATTGCACCATCACTATGGCAGATGCGGACTTGGTGGCCATGGCGGAAGGCAAGCTGGATGGAATGCAGGCCTTCATGGGTGGCAAGCTGAAGATCAAGGGCAACATGATGCTGGCCCAGAAGTTGCAGTCCATTTTGGAGGCTGCTAAGTGAAGGATGTGAAGGTGACGTTGAAGATGGTCAGTATCGAGGCATGAAGAAGCCGTCATGTGTGTCAGACAAGTTTTGACACGTTTTGACGGTATAGTGTAAGAGAGCGATTGGATGTAGGGCAACTCCAGTCACTTTGGACTGGAGGGCACCCAAGCTGCAGCGCAAAAAGGAGGCGAAAGGATCTTCAAATGTCTCGCACCTTGCTGTTGAAAACCGCACGAGCAGGCAACCGAATTTAGGTGAGATCAAGTGATATCAAATGTGGATGCCCTTTGCTCCAGAGAATTCTTCTTGAGATACGCTTGCAAATGTAGGAGAAGGCTGACAGATTCAGTCGATTAAGAATTAAAAACAGAACAACTTGAGAATTCAACAAGAGCGGCCGTGGTTGTATGCTGCCCCTGACGAACGGTTCTGGCTCTCCGCAGCCGTTTGAAGCCCCAATTCCTTGACATTGCACCCTTAGCCACTCGCCCCTGCCAGCTGCAACATGAAGTCTCAGGCTTTGTTTGATGCCATGTCTGCAGCCGTGAAGAGCAAGGGACCTGAGCTTGTCAAGATGGGAGGTGCTGCTACTTGTTTGCAAGTCAATATTCTTTGCAGCGACCCTGCAATGCCACCGCAATGCCCCTGCACTTCCCGGGCACTTGAACGCAATGAAAAAGAATGAGCATTGTCATCATTGTGAAGGTGCCTAAACGCACAAATCCCAATCCAATGATACCTGATGCAAGTTGACTCAGTCTGACCAAGGTGTTCCAGTTCATCATCAGCGACGCTGGTCCGGAGGGCAAGTTCGTCCTTGATTTGAAGAACGGCAGTGGTGCTGCGAAAGCGGGTGAAGAAGCCGGCGCGGTCAGCAGCTAAATTTCAGCAGAATCAATGCTATCACCGTTGTTCACTGCACATCTTGAGATTTGACATGATTTGACATGATTTGACATGATTTGACGTCTCTTCAGGTGACATAGAAAACTTGAACTTCCATTTTGATATAGTTGAATAATGTTGAATCGAGTTTAGTCAGTTTAGCCATCATCTTCCTGGTTCCTTGGCTTGCAATGGCTCGCTGGCTGCAAGGATTGCACCATCACTATGGCAGATGCGGACTTGGTGGCCATGGCGGAAGGCAAGCTGGATGGAATGCAGGCCTTCATGGGTGGCAAGCTGAAGATCAAGGGCAACATGATGCTGGCCCAGAAGTTGCAGTCCATTTTGGAGGCTGCTAAGTGAAGGATGTGAAGGTGACGTTGAAGATGGTTAGTATCGAGGCATGAAGAAGCCGTCATGTGTGTCAGACAAGTTTTGACACGTTTTGACGGTATAGTGTAAGAGAGCGATTGGATGTAGGGCAACTCCAGTCACTTTGGACCGGAGGGCACCCAAGCTGCAGCGCAAAAAGGTCTTGAGTCTTGATATGCGTACTACAGCCGTTGGTGGCAGACCCTTACTGCTTGCGGATGGCTGTATGATCCCTATCAATTCTTGTTACTACCCCCAATCATGGATAGTTTCACACTCTTTTGAAAGCCTTTTGAATCTCGAAATGGGCCCAATTTTTGTTGGAACTGCATGTGATGGCTATCAGCTGGCACAGAGGATCAGCCGGAAACCGTAGAGGTCCTCCAACCTAGGCCACCAACCAATGCACAACTACATTCGTAGCAGATAATTATCATAAGATATCACAAGATGTGTCACATGCGGCTCAAAACATTGGGATGCAAAAAAAATAGAACCGCAAGCTTGGTAAAGGATGGTAAAGGTTTAGTCCTGAAGTGTCCTTAAGAATTTCTTGGGATCAATTCTTGTGAGCCGTTTCAGATATTTCAAATTATGTCACTACGCTTGACTACGGTCATTTCGAGCTTTCGCTTCCGTTGCAAAGATCCGACACCACCTGACCATGGAAGCGAGTCTGGAATCTGGGTTTTAAACTCATGGGAGGAGGAAGGTGGAAAAAGGGAACATAAGAGAACCGTCAAGACATGTCAAGATCTTCGATGTGCTGAATGAACCTACATTTTCGTGGTATGCACCCATCTCGAGAGGAAAGGGCCTGATTCTTCGTAGTTTGATATGCTTTGGGATGTTTGGGATCAGCCATGCATGAGCCTACTAGGATATCCCATGATATCCCAAATACATCCAAATACCACACGGCTCTATATAGGCTCTATATGGGCTCTATATAGGCTCCATATAGGCTCTATATATAGCATATCTAGGTTTATGATTTGAGAAGCTTCACGTGTCGATTTTGCTCTGGCCCCATCACTTTGCAGTTATAATTTGCAGATGTTTGCAGGGCTGTCTCGAGAACAAAGACTGGACCAAGAATGCTGTTGTTTGTTAACCCTAGTTTTGGATGTATATTGGATGTATTAATGCTATCATTTATGTCTGGTAAAACTGGGGGTTCATCTGGGCTTACCACGCTACATCCATGGGATTCCATGGGCCCCAAGGATTTTCAGGAATGTTTCGATCCACGTGCCGTGGGTTGGGGACGCGAGCCAATGAGAGCCGCCTTCTTTGCATATGAGACTGAGGCGCGGGACGCACTGAGACATTGCTGTCCCCACCACTTTTTTAGTTTTCATCTTAAGAAGCTGTCTTGCAACTAACTGCGGCTGTCTAAGTGCTTGTTTTCCAACTTGGCCCTGCGCAGTGAACGATAGTAGAAACTGTCTATTATATATATATACATACTATGATATAAAATGATATAAATTATTGTTAAACCTTCTGATAGAACGATAACAAAAACCTTCTAATTACACAAGATATGCTGTCGATTAGGTTTGCGCATGGAGCGACGGACGGAAACCTTCCACTCTGATATGTTTTTTTGACCCTGCCATTGAAAGATAGCAGAAACCTTCTGCTCTGAGATGGTCTTGGTTTGTCCCTTTAGTTGAATTCCCGCGCTCGCAGCAAAACCACAATTGTGGAAATCACTCCTGGCTAGCCTGTAGTCATTTGGAGCCAGCCATACACAGCAAGATAAGGTTCCTCTTTGATATGTGCATTTTCTGTTTCTTGGTCGTGGCCCCGAACGATAACCGAACGATAACCAAAATGCAATGCTAGGCAAAGCAGAGACCGGTTTCAAGATGAATTTTGGCATATTTTGGCCATAGATAAACATTCACATTGACATGCATGCCTCCCGAGATATATGCTTGGTGTTGCTGTGTCAAACAGGGAGATGACTACTTGATGATTCACTGCCCAAAAGTTCCTACAACTTGGCTGATAGGTGTGCCAAGTTGAGTTCACCTTTAGAAGATTTTAGATGCAGGACATCTCCACCAAGCCCAAAGTCACCAAGAACAGTTGGGTTTTCGGCCGCAAGGAGTTGTCAACACGCAGAGCTCCTTTGCGTGAATCCACGCGCTTCGTGGATCTGAATGGTATTTGGAGCTTTGCGCGGCTCAGAGCAGAGTCACCAGAGTCACCAGGGGTTCTGAAAAAGGGTCGGGACATGTCGGGACTCCATTTTTGTTTGATGAAAACGATGGGTTTCCATCAGGAAACAATGGTCTTTGGTTGTGATTGCGGAATCCTGGCATCCTGATATATCCTGATGTTTTGGCATGATTTGACACTCTTGGGGGAGAAATTGGCATAAAACCATGTAAGATGAAACCGTGGGTTTAATATGATTTTAATTTTGTTCTTCAAATATGTCACGTCGATATAAATGAATAAAATGAATATACGTAATGCATACACATGCATACACAATGATGGGTGTCGGTGTATGAATTTATGTGCATGTGTGTGTGTGTGTGTGCTCAGGTGGCGACCGTCCATACGACTTGGCCCCGAAGGCCAAAGCGGGAGCCACGGGCATGACCCAGCATGTTTGATACTGGAGGGTAAGGGAAAAAATGGGTTAAACATCTACAGGAAACCCATGGAATCCTGATTTTTCCAGGTTTTCCCTTGAACCACCCCAATGATTCGAAGGTTTTTGCCACATTCTCCACGTGGAGTTGTCCAGAACGTGGGGCTCAGCTGGGGAAAAAATGATTTCCTAAACGTAACATATCTAATGTTCAGTCACTGCCAATAATTTGGTAAACCCAATGCCTGATGGTGATGGCGCTAGAAAAAGAGAGAGAGAGAGAGACATCTTTCGGGTATGGTTCGCAACATACCCATTATATAATTGCCACAGGTGGACCCTTGAAAACGTTCAAAACGACCTATTCGCTTGGTACTGCAGCCAAAACACGTTTTGCCAATGGATTGGTTTCCGGTCCGGTGCTAGGCTTTGAGAAGCCAGAGTTTGATGATGGTGCTTGGGGTGGAATGCCCGTCCCTGGCAATTGGGAGCTGAATGGGCGACTTGGTCTGCTCGGATTGGACAATGGAATGGCAAATGGAATTATCAAGCGAAGATGCTGTGCTGAGCAAACTTATGCAGACCTTGCTGTGAAATCTCCACCGTTGAGACACTGCTGAGGTATGGTTTCCCAATCTACACAAACGTCACTTGGACAATTGTATACGATCGTTTTTGTGGAAGAGTCGATGTGTGACTTCCCTCCCTCTGTATCATGGAGGTTTTTCGGCCTTGATCAGTCGCTAAAAGGTATCCACAGATTTCACAAGAGGAGCAGGTATCGGTTGTTAAAAACTGGACTGTCAGATGTTAGGTCGACTGCCGTTTTTTGTTGTTGTGGCAGGTGGACTACATTTTTCACAGCGATCCTCCTAACATCCGATATCGTGGTGAGGATCCAGCAACTTGGCACATGTGGAGTGCTCCCGTTTCGTGTCTCGAAAGTGAGCCGAAACACAACGTGTAGCGATAGCCCCAAAAAAGAGCAATACCTATCATGCAAGGGGCGAATTAGCGATCTGATAGACCCTTTAACTTTCCTCCTTTCTTTCTTCTTCCTTTCCTTACACAGATTTGTTCCTCAATCTTCATAATTATTCATAATTCATATAATTCATAACTATAAAACAAACCATCACTAGCGATAGGGCCCACCAAAAAACGTGATATATACCTCATTTCTTAAGCAAGGTAAAGACAGGCAATATCATATAGACCCTGCCAAATAGAGTCTTGGAACGATATTTTTAGGATTATGTTATATAGTTGGGGGGTAGCAATATGTTTCAAAGGGTGTGATACTTCCAGCAGACAAGCAGAAGTGATTTGCGATTTGGCACAAAGTCCCCTGAATTCAGCCCTGGTAATTCCATGGCCTCCTGTAGATCTTTTCCAACAAAAGCCATCCATTGCCTGTGAGGAATACAATCCAACTGGATTCTATCGGAAGAGTTTTGAAGTGCCCTCCTTCTGGCTTCAAGGCTTGCGGTTTGATTCAGGGCTGGTTTAGGGTTTATTTCGGGGTCGTTCGGGTTGGATTATATACTGTAATTTGGGGCCTGATGTTCATGATGTTCATGCCTATTCAGCATCTCATGTGATGATATCAATCCGGTATCCTGTTTTGGATGTGTGACAGGTGACTATCAGATCTTCGTGCATTTGGGAGCAGTTTGCTGCACTTGCCATGCATTTCTGAATGGCCAAGCCTTGGGTTTCAGCACGGACAGCAAGCTACCTGCCATCCAGCTGAATTCATTGTTGGTGAGATTTCTTGTGATATGATTGTGATATTGTGAACACCGTGATATGAAATTAAATTTACATGGTAATTTTCGGACATTTTTGGGCATCATGGTGATGTCATGAGCAGCAGCTTTCGCTGCCCAATCTGAGGTGGAGTTTGACATCACGTCGCAGCTGCGGTCGCTTGGAAACCCAAGTTCAGGGCCCCACATCCCCACTGATGGGACTTCAAATCCACTGGGGCCATGGAAGTCATCCCAACTGCATCCCTGGTTGGTGGTTTGGAACATATTTTATTTTTGCATATATTGGGAATAATCATCCCAATTGACTAATGTTTTTCAGAGGAGTTGAAGCCACCAACCAGATCCCCTATATAGACAGATTCTGAATGATTCTGATTCGGTTCGGTGAAGCATGGCGATCTCTGAGGGAAGGCAAGAATCTGTTGGCCCTACAAGTGCTATGCTGGGGAGCTGCTGCATATTTGGAGGATCAGGATATGCTTCTTGTCTTGATTGCTTAGTGGCCAAGTTCTACTGTTTCGTTCTTGATATCCTAATTATTTAGTTCCATTCAAGGTTCCATAACTATTTGGAATATGTTGGGGATGTTTTTTCTAACGTTGCTAAATTCTTGCGTATTCTCGTGGTTTTCCTGCTGCCAGGTGGTGGTTTGCAGGAATCACCCGGGATGTTTACGTCTACGCGCGACCGAAGCAGCACATCAGAGACATCGAAGTTCGAGCTGGGTCTGATGGAAAGTTGGAGGTCGAGGTTGTTCCTTGGAGATTGTGCTGATGGTTTACGGGGAGTCATCCCGAAGTTACCCTCTGGTAAACTAACATAACTATGGAAAATCACCATTTTTAATGGGAAAATCCACTATAACTGGCCATTTTCAAAAGCTATGTTAAATTACCAGAGGGTACCTGGACTCAGGATTCAGGATTGGGAATCTTCTTTATTAAAGCATGAGATACAGTATCCCTTTACATCCTGGAACCCCCACTGTTTGGTTGTTTAATGGAGGGAAAACCCCTATGAACATTCCATTGATGGCCATTGGTACGCCACACCATGGCCTTTCCATTTTTTTCCTCAACGGACATCAGTGGGCTGACGCCGAGACTGTTCCTGAAGCTAGTACTTACTAATTTATTAACAATGTTGTTACTGTATATATGTTCCTGCAAGTGATTACAGAGGTACGTCGTAATTTGAGAAAAGTTTGTAGATGTCAGATTTGAAAATGGTATGACTGCATCACATTTCCCTGGCTCCAACCATTTTGGCAGTTTCCAACCAGAAAATGTTTGATCGTTCAGGGATGATCAGAAATTTTCCGCAAGCCAAGGACATGGCTTGCGGAGGATTCGCCGCCCGATCTGAAGCGTTGCAATGCAAGTTGCTTGAGATTTCCAGGGGCGTGCAAGACAGGTGAGGTGAGCAGTGGCTGCGGTTGACCCCTCTTGGTGAATGATACCAGGGAGGTTCACAAGCCAATATATATTGAAGATTGTCATAATCCATCATGGGTACCGATTGTGTTTTTTTCCACTTTGACCATGACATAATATCATATATAAATCATATATATATTATATAATACTACAATATTAACCCTATCAAACATGGTAACGATTTTTCCAGCTATAAACCTTCATTTTCAGGAATTGTCAATTGACATGTTTGATTGCCGGAGGGTATAAACCATTGTACAAACATTTACAAACCATCATTCATGGTCCAAGGTTGCTGGATGCATCCGGAACGGTCCTCCAATTTTCACTGCCACTGACCCCGCGTGGAACGACGTCTGCAGTGGGACATTGCGCAGTGTCGCTGGCGGAGCCAAAACTTTGGAGCGCTGAGGCAGGACTGCAGACAGTGACAGCTGAAGTCAATGGGCTGTTGATACGACGTACAGACAATGTAAAAATAATGTGGGAACGGGAAGCCCAGTGCCACAAACAAGGCTACGGCTACGGCGCCAATTGCGACCCCTTTGAAAACACTTTCTTTTCAGGCCTTCACCAACCATAGTATTCGCAGTGTTTTGCAACTTCGACAGCAAATTTGCAACTGAAAAAAACCTAGCCCTCGTGAGGCGGGGGTATTTTTTGCCTTATGCAACATGATTTCCCGGGCATGCTCTATTCAATTCAGCCGCATTTTTATGCTAAACTTCCTAGTAGGGTCCACAACTTGCAACAGGCATTTTGTCTGAACGTTAAACTTTTCATACAACGTCGAATCAAGCCGGTGTGCAAGTACAAGAGAAGTTCTTGCTGTCAAACTGTTAACAGTGAAGAACATAAGATAAAAGCAAAGACAATGTGAGCAAAATGTCCTTGCGTTGCTGGTGCTGCTTCAGGCTCCATTTCTGTACAAACTGGTAGCTGCTCAGCTGCAGAAAGTAATGTAGGCTGGTCTGACTTAGAATCGAAAGGATCCGGATGAGAGTTGGAGGAGAAAGCAACTGATGATGGCCTACTAGGACACCAATTCATTGGCTCTCATTAAACAATGAGATCAATGAGTGTTTCTCAAAATGTCTCATCCAGTAAATGTGTGTGTCCAATTTAGGATATTTGTCGGGAAGCCAATTTTGCACACCATAAATTGAAGCTCAGCCTGAGGTTGTCCTGGGCGGCGAGCCTTCAGCAACAGAGGCTGCACCCCAGTTGCAGCCAGTCCTTTAGCCATCAACAGGTTTGTTGGAGGCATGTCTTTAATATGGGTATGGATCAATACCTATTAATACCATTTTAATGGGATGAACATCCATTTACCAGCTATTTTGATGTTCACCAGGGGTACAAGGTTTTGACACACTGCCATATGTCTCCAGCAAAGCCATCCAGCAAAAGATGAGGTGCCCTCAGTGCCCTGCGAAAATGTGTCCGAGCTGTTTGTTCTCAAACTACGGGTGCAGATTCTGATGGAACACATGAGGTCTGTGTCAACGTTGGCTTCCGCAGCATCGAGATACGTCAGGGCAGATTGCTACTCAACGGTAGATGCTTGACAGCAGATGGCATCTCTGTGTAGTGAATCCGTGGTCCCTATGAACAAGATGAACAAGGAGGGGAAGGAGCTACAATCAGAGTTTCCCAGACTATATAGTAATACTACATAATACTACTATATGTTAGTGTTTGGGCCTTGATGCTTTCTCCTGTGTAGCTGATGCAAGCATGACTCCCACAGCCTATAACGGCTAGAAAGGACCAAACTTATAGCTCCATGCGTGCCCAATTCCATAGCGGAATTGCTGCATTGATAAATAATTGAACATTAGTCATTAGAGAATCCTCAAAATCTTTGAAGCACTTCCGCGTGGTTCATTACAGTAACTTTAGCTTATATATAGCCAGCGTGGCTGCAGCTGAAATTGTAATTTTCCTCTCCAACTGAGGTGAGCTGACAATTCGAGGAGTCAACAGACATGAGCACGACCCAAGAAATGGTCATGTCGTGGATAGAGAATCCATGATAAAAGTGGCTTGGCTTGACTCACGCAGTTTTGGCGCAGAGGATTTTGCTGATGTCAATGTTTGCTTGCGCACGTCAGATAGTATCATGCAGCCAAGTGAGCATCTCTATCTTACAATGGTTTTCCAATGTTAAAGCGGTGAAAAGAAGTGGTGGTGTTTTTTAACGTTTTCCAACTCAACAGATGAGGACATCCAATTGATGAAGCAGAACAATTTCAACGCGGTTCGCTGTGCACACTATCCGCTGCTCGGCAGATCATGTCCTGGGCACTGACTTCTTGGGGCTGGTGAACAGCGGCCAAATCATGCAGAGTGCCACCTTTTTTTTTGCCTAACTGTTGAGCTAAGGAATGATACACAGTTCTATGAGCTGTGTGATGAACTCGGGCTCTATGTAGTGGACGAAGCCAACATTGAGAGTCACGGAGTGGACTTCAACTGGTCCAAGACGTTGGGAAACAAGGCGGAATGGGGCGAGGCGCACTTGGCCCGTGTACAGCGCTACGTTGACGCAGCCTCAGTGACATCTGGGACGATTGGGGCGGTCCCGTTAGTGGTAGTGGTAGTGGTAGTAGGATTGATGATTGGAAACTACAGGCAGTTGCAACGCAGCTCCGAACCGAACTAAGATAAGATATACTGCAATCAGGGATCATCATAGTTAGGCGATACTAAACATTCTTAAACATTGAACTGGGAGATGATCCAACGCAGACCTTGAATCTCAAGCTGATGCGGCTACGGCGTCACAGTGTCACAGGATGTCACAGGTTTTCTTTTGCTGTCGAAGCTGCTTAGGAGCGAGACAAGAATTTTCCAAGCATCATCTTCTGGTCCTTGGGAAATGAAGCAGGAAACGGAGCCTCGGATTCAAGATGACTCATGGATTCGGTCGATTCAGTTCAACTTCCACTAGCTCCAAGGATGGCTTTCAGGAAATAAAGGAAGGAGACTGATATAGTATATACTTGATTAATCTTGATTATACTTGGGGATCAAAACCACGATAAGCCATGCTTTCCCCTTGGATTTCCCTTGAAATCGATGCATTCCCGTGGCAGTTCTGTTCCACTTCACCGATCAGCAGGGCTGCGTGAGATGTTTGAGGGACTAGTCACTAGTCGAGGAATCAATCATTACGCGACCTACGCGCAACCTACCTGCACTGAGATCAGACATAGATTAATGTGGGCCCAACAATAACAAACCGACCATTTCGGGAGTCTATACCCATTTATGGTGATTCTGGGGATGGCTTATTGTTAGGTTTACCACATTATGTTTTTGTATTAAATTTTGTGATGTCCATTTTATCAAGTTATCTCTATTCATCTCTACTCTATCTTGCATTTTGTGATAGATGTATATAGATGGCCCGTAGAAAAATCACCTACAGCTAAATACACCAGGCATGAAAGAATGGGTGTGCAGCATTTGTTGACTCACGCATGCTGACGCGCACACGGGTTTCATTGCGATCTTGGATGATCTTGGCAGGTGGCTCAAGAGGAGAGATCCAACTCGACCGGTGCAGTACGAGCATGCGCGGAAGGAGCCAACGTGGACCACCCACGATTTGGAGACCATTGACAGGCGCTCAGAAACGTTCCCAAGCGCATCCAACATTGACATGGGAATCAAGGGACGCAGTGGAATTCAGTCGGTTTGTGTAGATGTGTCCCGACTAAGATGACTTGCCCGGCCCTTTTCAACGTGTTTCCCACTCAGGATCAGAATACTGACATCTTCTGCCCGATGTACCCCAGCCATCAGAAATTGGTGAAGTATGGCGAGCTCTACGAAACTGATGTTGCCGCGTTGCCCTTGATCATGGTGGAGTACGCGCATGCCATGGGCAACACCCTTGGAGCATTCAAAGAGTACTGGGATGTCATCTACCAATACGGTGTGACCTGGCCTTGTGTTCGAAGAGAACAGGCAAGCAGATGTTGGCAGATTGAGTGATTGGCTCAGTTAATTATGTACAGGTCTAGTTCAATTCTATTGCTAGTAAATTGGAATATATATATATACATATGAATAATATATGTGTGTTCTATGATGTTCTGTGCTTTTGGTTCATGACATTTTGATCACTTGATCCGCTTCCAATGAAATCAGTTCCGATGTCCATTGAGGTGCTGCAAGGAGGTTTCATTTGGGACTGGGTGGACCAGGGCCTTGAGACCCAAAAGAACGGCCAAAAAATCTGGGCCTTTGGTGGTGACTTCGGTGCCAGCGGCACCCCTTCGGATCTGAATTTCTGCATCAATGGACTCGTGCAGCCGGATCGGAGAGCCAGTCCCCACCTCTTTGAGGCCAAGAAGGTCATGCAGCCGGTGACGTTCCAAGCCGATTTGGAACAAGGCACGGTCACCATTCAGAACCGTTGCTTGCCAGCAGCACATGTGACCACAGATTCGTAGGCTGCAACTTGCAGCTGAACACACTCAGATTTCGTGAAGATGATGCGGCGATGTTTTACTCCAGCCAATTGCTGGTTTTCCACTTTCAAGGTCGTTTCAGATACCCCCAAATCATCAATTTTATATCACTTTATGAGGATGTTCCATTCCAAACCATCCAGCTATTTTGGTACCCCCATGTAGCGAAACCTCCAAATGTGGTTCTTTCGGTCAAAAGTGTCCAAGGCTATGATTTCCTCACGCTTGATCATTTGGACTTCGTTTGGCAGATCAGCGTCAACGGCATGATTGTCGAGACGGGCAAGCTTGAAGGCGAAAGGGTCACAGTTTGGAACGGTGAAACTGACGACACCGTTCCTTTCAAATCATGTCCACTCTTGACCCGCTCTTGACTGCTTTGTCTTCATGTTCATTCAACAGATTGAACTTTTGTACTTTTGTGAGTTCTTTCGAACTTGCTTGCAGCAGTCTTCTTGATCAACAGGTATCAACGCACAGGCTCATTGTGCGCAAACAGTTCAAGTGCCTACAAAGTCAAGTTCTTTGCAAGCCTTTGGGCAGCATGGCAATTTATCGCCTAAGCCTATGCCTAATATCAAATCAAACCAGTGATGACTCTGCTCATCTCTACTCTGATACCTCTACAAGTGGATTGAGCTGTACCAAGGTGCCAAAGGTTGAATGCCACTTGCTCATTTCCGCTAGTATGCGCCTCTTGTTTGCAACGGGACAGACAAGAAATGAATCATTTTAAAGAAGCCATGGTGACATGTTCAGATTGTCAAAGCGCCAGCCTATTTGCACGTAAATGTATGTGTATAACTGTGTGTATCTAAATATAATTAAGTATATTCTTACGTTTTTTCTTCTTTTTTTGCTATAGATTTATTATGCTGCCCCCCAAAAAAATCATCCAAAACCATCCATCCATGAAAATCCCCGGCAGGGCACTCCGAGCCGTGCTTGGCGAAGGGCCTCGAGGTGGCCTGGGAGCAGTGGCAGTTGCAGGAGACCACAGCAGCCGCGCCACCGCTGGGCGTAGATCCAAAGGTGTTGCACCAGGGATGCGAAGTGCTGGTGGCTGCGGGGGACTTAAGTGTACGTGGCTTGGAAAAATCCATGGGGCTTGGGATGGCTTACTATTGCCTGAAGATTTGGGGGGAAACTCATTGGAATTCAATATGTGATTGCGATTTTCTATGATTTTCTGATTGTGTGTTTTTTTCCCTCTACCTTTTCACCATTTTTTGAAAGATGGAGGGAAGAATGAGAGAATGGTGCTCCATTTGTGGGATGGGGTTCAAAATTTTGAGACAACTCCAGAAGGTTTAGATGTTGTGAAAGTTGACCCCAAGAAAATGACCTGCGGGACTGCATCCTACAGCCACCACAGAAGTAGAGGATGTGGACTTGATTCATCAAAGTGTGCAGAATCAAATGAATCAACAGAAACAATGAGAAACAGGTTCCAAATGCGTTGGATGCGTCGTAGCGGTCAGCGGTCGTTGTTTGAGGCATCGGCTGCCAGGGATCCTCCGCTCCGGGATGCTTGTTGGGTCTGGCATTTCAGGGTTTGGAGCTGCTGGAAGCACCCCTGCGACCAAACTTCTGGCGGCCACCTACGGACAATGACTATGGACTCAGAGCGTCCAAAAAAAGTGGGTAAGCCTGGGGTGGATAGCTTGGCACTTTAAAGTAACGAGCCAAAACAAGTGCAAGGTGTCTAAGAATGGAATGTCTAGAGGATAGCATCAGTCTTCAGGAATCAGACATGGCAGCATGTTTTTGCCAGATCATTTGCAAATGGGGAATTTTCCATTGCCATTTCTGATCGCCAGGGGTTACAAAATCGTTGCGAATTTACCAAGCTGAGAAAGCCCTGATCTCGGGTCAATTTGTTTTGAGATGCCCACTGCCCACTGCCCACTTTTTTCCAGATGAAGTATTGGTGAGTATTACCTCGACCTTCCAACCACGGTTAACGTTGTGCTTAGTCTAATCCCATGTCTTTACTGAACCCCATCATTGCTTATCACAACTACTCGTACTTTCTAAAGAGATCTAAAGAGCAGAATCGGAATCTTTGATCAAATCTAGTGCACAGAAGAAGCAATACCAGCCTTGACGGGTTCCAAAAAGTTTCCTTCCCTTTATTTCTCTGAATCCTTGAGATAACATCCCGGACCCGGACCCACACGCTTCACGCAAAAGGAATTCTTACAATGTCCGCACAGATTTTTTGATTTTTCAAAGCTGTAGGGTCAGAGGCAGACACCCTAGTTTTTTTAATGGTGTTCACGGTCTTTTCACGCACTTTTCACACTGTTTTCATGCACTTTTCACGCTTCAAAATGTACCAAAAAATGTAAAACCATCACCCATAGAAAAGGAACGCGTCAGATCTTGCAATTGAATCCGACCTGTTAGCAAAATCACTTTCTCCTCTTAAGCGTATATATGTTTGCGTGCCTTGTGTATATATATATATACATACATGGTTCTATGATATTGTATGGGTTGTATGATATATTGTATGTGTATATTGGTGCCCACTCCAATATCATTCTAATATTAATGCTTCTGCCCAGGCCCAAGCTGCATTGGGATTCACACTGTTAGTCCTGTTAGTCCACTCTCAATGGTATGGGTACCCTCCAGTAAACTAACATAGCTATTGAAAATTGTCATGTATAGTGGATTTACCAATTAAAGGTGGTTATTTTCCGTAGTTATGTTAGTTTACCAGAGGGTATAGTATGTTATAGTAACCCGACAATTGAACGTTAGGAAGGTCACGGCTACATGAAACTAGACACAACATGAATCGTAACAGCGACATTTGAACAGGAGCAAATCTACACAAGGATTGCGCTTGCTGGCGTTTTGCTGGCCAACATGCTGTCTTGCCACCTGGCCGAGCCATTCAGGCTTCCCACCACGGCCAAGTGGCAAGGGAAATTGATCAACAACTCAATCACTTTCCCAGGATGATTAATGAACTTGTTTATTTCCAGTTTTCGTTTTTTAATGGTTGTTCTTCTTCATTCCCATCTCTTCTGATCCCCTGTGCTGATTGCTTTTGCGGATTCCCCGTTTTTTTCCCTTGTCCGCCTCTTTTTCGGATTCCCCTTATATGTGTTTGTCTGATTCCCCAAAATTCCGGCAGATTTGTGCATAAACAGCACGTACAGTCGTTCATTTTTCCAAAGCCTGAATTTACCAAAATAGTATGACGATTTCCACCTAGGGAAAATAGGTTGGAGCAGTAGACTTGTTGCTTTTGGAGGATCTTGAACCAAGCTACTTGTACCACAGACATTTTGTTGAAATGGTCAGGTTTTCAGATGTTTTCAGCAGGACCAGGTCCCACCGCTAAGGCTGGAAGATTTGCAGACTATGCCAGGTCCCGGCGTGGTGAACATCAGCGGAATGCTGGGCATTGGAGCAGGAGGGGGCTGGAAGTGGGACAGCTTGTAGCCGGAACTATATAAATTCACGCTGAGCACCACTAGTTGATTCATAGTTGTTTCTTGTATATAGTACTGCAACTGTTCCATTCTTAATTTGTCCTTAGAAAATCACGTTTAATGACCTGGCTTTACTGGCTCTATATATTTCACATGTATTCTCCTTAAAAACATGCCAGGAACATCCAGAGTCACTACACGTCCAGTCCAGCAACCGAGATCCCCCAGGAGGTGCTAAGCTCGCTGTGACCTACTCGGTGTCCTCCGTGGGCATCACGGTGAAAGCTCATTGGCAGCCCTGCGTTGGGCAAGGGCCCCGCCCGGCACTCGCCGGTGGAGTTGGACGCAGGGCTTGGAATGGGCGAAATCACCTGGGGAGCTGGTTGAGTTCTCATGATTTCACTGCCGATATATCTGGGGTTGGAATCAAGTACTGGTAGACTTAACTAGGGCTAGATGCGCAGTAATACCCAGAATCCTGAGATAGAGTTATGGTTCTTAGGGGTCCCATTTTAATTTTGGTATGATAGATTAGATCCAACTTGGAGCCCCCAACAAATGAGGCCGCATATCTATATAATTCTATATGTATACTATATATATATATATATACCAGTAGTACCGCACAAGGCGGTGGCGGAAGTTTCAAAAATAGGAAACCTATAGGAGAGGTTGGTTGTTGTGAATCAGGGATTGCAGAGCGAAGCCACTGATGGAGCGAAAGGTGATTGATCTCTCTCACTATTTCTCTCTCTTTCTCTGACTATCTACCTACCTACCTACCTATCTATCTATCTATCTATCTCTCTCTCTCTATCTCTCTCTCTCTTTCATCTAATTACCTATCTATCTATCTATCTTTCTACCTATCTATCTATCTATCTTTCTATCTTTCTATCTATCGATCTATCTATCTATCTACCTATCTATCTATCTATCTATCGATCTATCTATTTTCCTATCTATCTATCTATCTATCGATCTATCTATCTACCTATCTATCTATCTATCTAACTATCTATCTATCTATCTATCTCCCTCTCTCTCCTTCATCTGTCTAGCTGTCTACCTGTCTATCTGTGGTGCAGTGTCATTGAACGCAATGTAGTGTAGTGTAGTGTACTGTGGTGTAGTGGAGTGTAGTGTGAGTTGTGTAGTGTAATGTAGTGTAGTGTAATTTAGTGTAGTGTAATTTAGTGTAGTGGAGTGTAGTGGAGTGTAGTTGTATAGTTGTAGTTGTAGTTGTAGTGTAGTGGAGTGTAGTGTAGTGTAATGTAGTGAAGTGTAGTGGAAGGTAGTGTGTAGTGTAATGTAGTGTAGTGTAGTGGAGTGTAGTGCAGTGTAATGTAGTGAAGTGTAGTGTAATTTAGTGTGGTGGAGTGTAGTGTAGTGGAGTGTAGTGTAATGTAGTGTAGTGTAGTGTAATTTAGTGTAGTGGAGTGTAGTGGAGTGTAGTGGAGTGTAGCTGTGTAGTTGTAGTAGTAGTAGTTGTAGTGTAGTGGAGTGTAGTGTAGTGGAATGTCGTGAAGTGTAGTGGAAGGTAGTGTAGTGTAGTGTAATGTAGTGGAGTGTAGTGTAGGGTAATGTAGTGTAGTGTAGTGTAATTTAGTGTAGTGGAGTGTAGTGGAGTGTAGTTGTGTAGTTGTAGTTGTAGTGTAGTGGAGTGTAGTGTAGTGTCATGTAGTGTAGTGGAGTGTAGTGTAGTGTAATGTAGTGTAGTGCAATTTAGTGTAGTGTAGTGTAGTGTAATTTAGTGTAGTGGAGTGTAGTTGTGTAGTTGTAGTTGTAGTGTAGTGGAGTGTAGTGTAGTGTCATGTAGTGTAGTGGAGTGTAGTGTAGTGTAATGTAGTGTAGTGAAGCGAAGCGAAGCGAAGCGAAGCGACATCTGAGCCTCCAAAAGTGGTCCGAACCCCTGGTGTTTTGTACATTTTCACTTGGAAATGTGCTTCGCGCCACAACGGCGTGCACTTTTTTGACATCTCAACTTCCAAAAGTGGTCCGAGACCGCCAGTTTTTAACACTTTTGACTTCAAAATGTGCTTCGCGCCACAACGGCGTGCACTTTTTCAACATCTCAACTTCCAAAAGTGGTCCGAAGCTGAGGTGTTTTGTACATTTTGACTTGGAAATGTGCTTCGCGCCACAACGGCGTGCACTTTTTCGACATCTCAACTTCCAAAAGTGGTCCGAGACCGCCAGTTTTTAACACTTTTGACTTCGAAATGTGCTTCGCGCCACAACGGCGTGCAATTTTTCCTCGCTCCTGTGGCCAGCTGGCTCCGCACCCGCCGCTTTAGCGAGCCTACTTTTCGACCCTCCGGAGCCACAAATCATTGGAAAAACACAGTGTTTTGCGACTTCCCTACCTTTTCGCGCATCTGTATCTTCTGTCTTCTTACTCTTTCTCTTTTGATCTTCTCTCTTCTAATCTTCCTCTTCTCTCTGCCTCTGCCCTGCTCTGCGTTTCATCTCTCCATATTGTCGGAAGTTTGACTTCTAAACTTCCTTCGATGATGTTACTTTCGCGTTGCTAAGATTGACTGAAGTTTTGTTTACATGGTAATTCATACAAGTTCGGCTCGATGGTGGTTCATCAACGGGGGAAAAAGCTTCATCAACCTCCGACCATCTCCGATCCTGGCAAAGTGGGTTTGTCCAACAATAGGTTACCCCTAAACTTGATGATTTACAGTATCATTTGTCGTCATCATCATCATCATCATGATCATCATCATCATCACCATCATCACCATCATCACCATCATCACCACCACCATCACCACCACCATCATCATCATCATCATCTCCTCCATTGAAATTTCCCAGTTTCCGGGCTATACCCATGTCTACCTCATTTTCAAGTACCACCCCCTTTCGTTGGTGAACGGCTGAGGATATCTGCGGTCCTGCACCAATCGACACCTCGATGTGGAAGGCACCGTGGTCAGAGCTCGATGGAACGACATGGGCGAGTGGCAATCCCTGACGATGAACGCGGCATCGTGCCGGCAGGAGATTGAAAAAACACGGCCTGCTGAAACAAAACTGGAGCCAGTCAATCAATGAAGAATGGATTTTGATATATTCCCCACCTGCCAGGTGAGGGTTGTTAGATTTTATCAGAGCTGTTCTCCTCCTCCTCCGCCTCCTCCTCCATCTCCTCGTCCTCCTCCTCGCAGTCCAGATCCCAGTGGGCACAGCCGGACCTCCACCGCGAGCTCCAGATCCCAGTGGGCACTGCCGGACCTCCACCGCGAGCTCCAGATCGCAGTGGGCACTGCCGGACCTCAACCGCGACTTCGAGATCGCAGTGGGCACTGCCGGACCTCAACCGCGACTTCCAGATCGCAGTGGGCACTGCCGGACCTCAACGGGAAGAATGTGAGAAAAGATGTCAGATACTAGTAGAATGTTAGAAGATATGCCAGATAGAATGCCAGAAAGAATGTTAGAAAGAATGTGAGAAGATATGCCAGACAGAATGTCAGAAGATATGCCAGAAAGAATGTCAGAAGATATGTCAGATAGAATGTCAGAAGATAGGCCAGATAAAATGCCATGAGATATGCCAGATAGAATGCCAGAAGATATGCCAGATAGAATGCCAGATAAAATGTCAGATAGAATGCCACAAAATATGCCAGATAGAATCCCAGAAGATTTGCCAGATAATATGCCAGATAGAATGTCAGATAGAATGCCAGAAGATTTGCCAGATAGAATGCCAGAAAATATGCCAGAAGATATGCCAGAAGATATGCCAGATAGAATGCCAGATAGAATGCCAGAAGATATGTCAGAATATATGCCAGGAGATATGCCAGATAGAATGCCAGATAGAATGCCAGAAGATATGCCAGATAGAATGCCAGATAGAATGCCAGAAGAAATGCCAGAACATATACCAGAAGATATGCCAGATAGAATGCCAGATAGAATGCCAGAAGATATGCCAGATAAAATGTCAGAAGATTTGCCAGTAAGAAAATGTATAAATGGCATGGTGGGGATCACACGAAGTAAAGTAATTTTAATGGATTTTATGCGTGATTTTCACATATATCATTTATACATTACATATATATTGTATAATTATATATTTATTTATTTATTTACGAACTTGGAATATGCATATCCCTTCCAGTTGCGGATGGGATTTTAAATGATCTCGAACTACATGCGCTTCTGTGTGTATGATCATGGATTCTATCGTCCATCAGCATCCACCCGCGCTATCCCGCGCTCCAAGTTTCGCAGATGTGAGGCAAAAGAACCAGGCCAACAGCTGGAACATGTTGACAAGATTGCTCTTCAGGCAAGTGGGTCTGGGTATGTCTGGGTCAAGACTGTCAACCCCCAATCGCCGTTTTGCCGATCAGGCCACAACCGGAAAGACGGAAGCAGAGCTGTTACTACATGGCATCGTTCCAACAGCTGAGTCTGTCGCACTGCCAGTTCCTCAGAGGTGCTGCATCTCTGATCCTGGTGTAACTTTTTCTGAAATCCATCAGCATTCTGCGGCAATATATAATGCATCATTATAATATCGAAATCGATTGTTCACTCGAATAGCCCAAAATGTTATCTTTAGACAAAAAATGGTAGTATCACCGGATATCACCGGAATGGATGCGTGCCGTCTTGAGAATGAGTGACAATGCAAGAACGTATCTGGGACGACGGATGATCAGTGATGATACAACATGTGTCATACTCTCTGATGATGCTGCAGGCTTAAGATATCCTAAGATAGGGAATGACAGTTCTCAATAATTCAAGTAGATAGTCTTCAGAATTGGTTGAAAGGAAAGTCTGCAGGAATCCCTATACTTGCTCAGGTAAATCATCTATAACTGGGCCATGGATCCCATGGCTACATTGAATAACCAGAGGGTATCCCCTGAAATCCCATTAAGTCACCATGAGCCCTAAAGCCTTAGACAATTAAAATATATTAAAATAAATCATAAAACCCTAGTTTTCACATGTTTTCACCCTGAACTCCCCATGTTTCCAACGCCTGAAGTTCCCATGTTTTCAACGCCTCGAGGCCGGATGGCGAGAGCGCTTTTAGTGTCGAGGCCTCGGGGGATCCCAGGACGCCCTGCTGGAGGATTCTGCGGAAGGAGGGTGTTGGGAAGCTGAAGTCGGGCGACAAGGTGCCTTGAGGGTTCAACCATGGGGGTTCAACCAATATTAATTGCCTTTAGGAATCTTTAGGATCCCTTAGGGAACATGGGATTGACCATGAAATTTATGGGTGATGTGGCTAAAACAGTGCCATAAACCAGCTATGACTGGGAATGGTAAGCATTGTAACCATACCACCTTTTTATGGTGATGACTGGGGGATGGTTTACAACCAACTTGATGGCAGTAATCCAACCAGTGACCAACATTGGATTTAATCCACGAACAATTGGATTTATATATGGGACAACCTGGGGGGGCCCATCCTGTATGATGTTACTTTTCTATACTGTTCTACGTATCGTTTTGGAGTGGCTATAATCTCATCCAAATTGCTATAAGCAGTGTTTATCCAGCAACCATGGTGATGTTGCGAACTCTTCTTCGCGATTTAACGGGGATTAAAAAACTGGAATAATCCTTGCCTTCAAATGTTTACAGTAACCCCGGTAGTGGCTTTTTTTGGTTGAGCCACTTGCCTCTCGGCCCTAGCTGAACCTTCGGGATGGTGATTGAAAGAGAGAGAATACTGTTTTGGTTTCTAGGATGTATTTCATATCGCGATAGGATTAGTGAACCATGCTAGAACCAAATTCTGATTGGACAAAATCTATCATACTATACTACAATGACTATAAGACTCTAATGGCATTATTTGGTGGATGACCACCCACAGTTGGCAGGTGAAAGTAAGTAATATCCAACCCAGCTGCATATGTGGCTTAATAGCTACCTACCAACTGGTAAATTTGGTAACCTCATCACCCTCATATTCGAATAATTGAATACACATGTTGAAACAATCAGTTGTTTAGTTTCGCATAGTTTAGCCTTAGATTTATTCATTTGGAGAACATCAATTTGCGAGATGGGTCGGGTGACGGGATCATAATGGATCATAGGGACAACCAACTGCAAACACTTGCAATCTGCGGCAACTTGATTTCTTGCTCCGGCAATGTCTTTTGGCAGTTTATTGGTATCAGGGCCAAGGTTGGCCAAGATTGGCTACATGTGTTTGGCATTTGTGCCGGCAGGGGGGCAAACTTGGAGCATCCTGCGCCCCGAATCGGTTGTTGAGTTTGAGTGCCAATCATGTTATTTCATGTTATTTCAACGCAAAGATTGCAAAGCTCCAGCACAGAAAATTATATTGCCATAGATTGCCTTGCTTCAGCATGAATCTACCATAGTGTTGTGTTTGGTTGGCATGAACTTCTGTGAAAGTGACAACCTCATGTGCAAAGACCTCAAGTGTACTGGGTCAACATCCGGCAGCAAGAGCAATCCACCTCAGCACATCACCCTGGGCCCCCAAGGTGTCACTGGAGACAGACAGGAAATTCTTGGCTGTTTCTGATGAGAACGCAGTTGCTGTGGACAAAGAGTCATCCCTCACTGAGTTCACTCTGGACATCAAGGACGGATAGCGCATGTTTGCTTGTTTTGTTGTGATCAAGAAATACCAAACCAGCCTGGAGCTTCTTGAATGCCCATTCTGTTCGGGTTTGTCTCCAATTTTCTCACAAAAAATCGGAAAAATCACAGGACCAATCTGCCCCCATGCGCATCGGCTTCACGACAACGTTGGTGGATGGCTTTGAGGATGTCGAATGGTTTGGCCGTGGTCCCCATGAATCCTACGTGGACCGACATGCCTCCGCCAGAGTCTCGCTGCACCGGGGAAGCATCTTGGAGCAAACGGTGAAATATGTCCGGCCACAGGAGAACGGAAACTGGATGAGAAAAAAAGATGCGTTTTTTTTCCTGCATTAGGCTTGAGTAGATGGTTTTACCATGTTTTACCATGGTTTACCACAGATCCATAGTTTACCATCTTAATTAAACATGAATAATATTGAATAATTAAGTATGTATTATATATAAATTAATAACATTTAATGAGGGCAGTTGGCGTAGTCAACAAACGTTTACAGTATTTCTTTTAAGCTACCTTTGATGGAGTGTACGCAATCAAAGCTTGCATTCAATTTCTCATTGCATGATTGTGTTGTTTGTAAGAAAATGATTCACACCCTCGTTGAGACTTTGCTCAAGGGTGAGGAGGGTGGGAAGCGCTTTTGCGTTCTCTGGCTGCTCTGGAGTAGGGGGGATGGAGGCGGATGGCGCTGACGTTCCCGCTGTGAGTATGCCTTCTTCGTTGTCTGAGGCTGCTCCCCCGGCTCCAGATGCGTTGGCTGAGTTTGGAACTATGACCCAGCCAGATGTGGAGCCTACTGCTGGTGGCGCTGAAACTTTGAATGCAGGGGAACGGTCAATTACGATTGACGACCCGGAAGAAATGGTCAAAGCGAAACCTGAACCAGCAGCTGACCTGGAGAACCTGTTTGGAGGATCTGAACAGGAAGATGTTCACCAACTGTTGGCTGAGGAAGAAGAAGACGACCAGATGTATTATGACCCAGGTTCAGACGAGACCCCTGCCGAGATTCCAAAAGAAGCTAGCATTCGTAGGTTTTCCACTGTCGAAAGGCGACATCATGAACGCACAGTGTTTGAGCAAAGCATACCTCAGTTAGGCTTGGGCTTACCCAAGCTGCCATGGGAACAGGGCATTTACGCCCAGATCTTTGGTGGGGAAGACATCCAGGTTTTCCCATCAGAAGATGCCTGGCTGCCGGCTCCTGCTGCGATGCCGTTCACTGCCAAGAACGAAGAGGTGGGAGCTCACATTTCAATCGACCCACAGATGAGACAGGCGGCGAGTGGCGTCCCCGTATTTGCAAAGCATGTCAAAGCCCTCACTGATCGTGACCATGCAGCATCTCAGAGCTTGTTGTGGACAAGGGGCTTAGCATGTTGGCTTGCTATAGTTGAAGGGAGCCGCTTCAAGTCGCTTGTGGGTAAGTACGTCATGGAGAAGGTGGAGAGTGGTGACAGAGATGGAGCTTTGGTTTGCATTAGAGACGCTTGTGGCATTCGGTCGCCCAGCACCGTCCTGAAGCGCGGCAAAGACCTGCAGTTGTTCATCAAGTGGGCAGACAAGAACTCGGTTCATTGGTGGCCGCTGGAGGAAGTCAACTTGCTTGCTTATCTTGAAGCAGTCGAGGTTGCAAGCAAGAGCAAGTTCATCGGAAAGAACCTGATGCACTCTTTGAAGTTTTTCAAGTTTCTCTTTGGAGCTGAGTTTGACGTGGACCGAGTCTGCGGCCCCCTTTTGACAGGCCGAGTGAGCAGGGTCCTCGCTACCAGAGAGCCCACTGAACAGGCACGTGCCCTCACGGTAGAAGAAGTCAAGCTCCTAGAAAACAAGCTCAGGACAGCTCCTAACATATATGACCGATACTTCATCGGCTGCATGCTCTATGCCCTGTACTCCCGTGCCAGGTGGGGAGACATGGCTTCGATGCAAAGCTTGGAGCTGGACGTCATCCAGGTGCATGATGGCAAGTTCGGGTTCTGGGAAGGCCGAACGCGAATTCACAAGACCTCGAGCAGCGTCGAACGGAAGGCGATGTTCATGCCGTACGTGGCTCCGATCCGTGGCATTGGGATTGAGCCCTGGGGTTTGGCCTGGGCAGAGACTTTAAAGGAGTTGCACTTGTTTCCCGGGCATGAACCTTTTGGACCCATTTGCAGGGCCCCCACTGCCGATGGCGAGTTCACCAAGAGGGCCTTGACCACGGCGGAAGCCAGCTCCATGCTTAATGCTTTCTTGGAGATCGAGAACACCCCCAGGGCTACTACGTCGCATTCACTCAAGGCGACAACATTGGTTTGGGCAGCTCGTTTTGGGATCGACGACAAGTGCCGTGCGATGCTTGGGCATCACGCCCTGAAGGAGCACTCTTTGGCGTGCTATTCACGTGACATGTTGGCGAAGCCTTTGAGAGACCTAGCTGGCCTCTTGTTGAACATCCAGCTGGGGAAATTCGATCCCGATGGTACCCGCTCTGGGTGGATGGCGGGTCCTTTGATGGAGGTGAGGTTGGAGAAAGCAAGAGAGGCCAAGGTGAGTGAGCACGGGGACGACCTGAGCTCACTGGTCCCAAGTCCATCGCTGGCCCCTGACGATGCTCAGGAGCACGGCGCCGGGTTTGATCCCAGCAACCCTTTCGGTGAGCAGACTTGGGACGACGCGAAGGACGCAGATGGGCGAGACGACCCACTTCCATGCCAAGATGGAGACGAGATCGTGGAGAGCGCTTCTTCAGCAGGTCTTGACTCTGATGCAGGTGGCTCGAGCAGTGATGAGGAGGAGTTCTTCGAAAAGCAACGCAGCCTCTTGGATAATGCCGACACCAAGGCGGTGGAGGGCGACCTCATGCAGAACAAGAGGAGCAAGATGCTGCACCGCAGAAGTCAGGATGAATCCAACCACTTGCAGCCTGTGACTTTGTGCGGGCTCCACGGCTCAAGCTTCTCCCAGTTGCCAAATGGGTCCACGTTTGACTGGCCGAAGTGCAGCAAATGTTTCAAGAAGGACCAGGACAAGGAGAAGAGTCTGGTTGATGTCATCAGCAGTGGCAAGCGCCGCCGCATTTGATTCGAGACTCATTGCAGCAAAAAAAAAAAGTCTCAGAAAGTTCGGCATGAGGCCAGGATGTATACCTGAGGGTATCATGTGAGCAGATGCACGAGGCGTCTGACTATCATACGCTTGGGGCGTAAGACATTTCAGGCATGAGGCCACTGAAGGTTCAGTTCTTTGGCATGAGGCCCACATGCACGAGGCGTTTCAAGACACTACATGTTTGGGGCTTTGTTTGCTGATTTGAGATAGTACGAGTACGTGTGATCTATTTTTGGCATGAGGCCATGATCATTTGCAGCGGACTTGACTGTGGTCAATATGTCCCGGAGGGCAGCTTGAGGCTCTAGCACATAGGGGCCGTGTCACGGTAGGATCAGTCGACTCCCATGGTCACTTGGTTCATGTTCTCGATGTTTTATTTTCACAAGTTTTATAGCTTTGTTGCGGACTTGACTGTGGTCAGCATGTCCCGGAGGGCAGCTTGAGGCTCTAGCACATATTGGCCGTGTCACGGTAGGATCACACAACTTTCATGGTCACTTGGTTCATGTCCCTGATGTTTCTTTTACAAGTTTCATAACCCTCCAGTAGCGTTGTCATGGCCGCCACCTCACTTGCCGATAGCACAGCCGCCTTCGAGAAGCAGGCGAGCAACCTTGGTTTGGAAGATGAATGGATTCAGGGGCTCAAACGCTTGGGCATCAAGAATTTAGGAGGCCTTGCCTTTGCGTGCGGCCAACCAGGAAGCCCAGTGCCTGAAGCTGATGTCAGGGCCTTGCTGGACCAGGCGGTCAGTGGCAAAGCCATCACGGTAGGCGACGTTGTGGTGATGAAGAGGCTGATTTTTGAAGCCCAGACGTCGATGGTGGCGTTGTCCAGGGCGCATGCCGACCCTGCGGCTGATCCGAGCACTCGCAAGATGCCGACAGCAGAGCGGGCGACAAGATTGGCTGCCCAGAAGTTGCGGCTGACAGGCTTGGATCTCCAAGGCACTCTCGAAGTTGCTCACTCAGTTTATGACGTGATCAACGGGATGGTGGAGGCCGACACTTTGAAATACCTGTCTCCGGCCAAATGCATTACCAGGATGCAGGAGATCACTTCCGCAAAGCCCCCCAAAGAATTGAAGCTAGACTCAAGTGGGAGCGGCATCTTGGTCAAAGACGCGCAGAATGAGCAGACCTGCTCTGTGAGCAGCGAGCTGGACATCATGGAGGCGATGACCAGGAGATCCCTGGCATTTGATGCAGTGGGGGTTGCGGACTTCGAGATCTTCCAGAAGTGGATCCAGTGCCTCTTTCAGATGATGAGGCAACCAGCCCCACCAGGGTTCCGGGCGCCGTCGGTGACTCAGTTGCTCCGTGCAGACCGGCAGGCTTTTGTGAAAATGCAAGAGCTCACTCGTGATGGGATCAAGCCCAAGGGAGACGGGACACGCCCCCTCGACAAAATCTTGGAGGACATGCACAAGGACCACTCCGTAGTGTACTACATGTTGCCTACGGTGGAACCTCAGAAAGCCGCTCCGAAAGCCAAGCCGGACAAGCCCGAGAAGCAAAACTGGGGCGCTCCTTGGAAAGGCAACGAGTCGAGCTCATGGCGCAGCCCAAAACAAGGGCAATGGAAGCAAAAGAAGGGGGCCACAGGCCAGAATGGTGGCAAGCTCCCGATGCAGCTGAAGGGTTGCGCAAGCACCACACCAGACGGAAGTCGCATATTTGTTTTGGGTTCAACATAGACGGCTGCAGCAAGGCTGCCCCTGGTGAGTCATGTGAGAAAGGGAAACATGTATGCTGCACACGTGGATGCTTCGAGAAGCACCCGCACTTTTCATGCAGCAAGAAATGAGGAGCGGGGGATAGCCCCCTCGAGGACGGGACGGCCCCGTCGCAATCTGGAATTCAATGCAAGCCCAGTGGCGCTGTCGAAGAACAACCGCCACACGTTGGTGGCAACGACCTCAAAGCATCCTTTGACGAGAACGAGGTAGTCGCCGCCGCAACAGAAATACAGCAGCAAACCTCAAGAGGACTTTTGGCCGCCGCTGGAGAAGCAACAGAAACGGCCTCCCCGTTCGCAGTGGAGTTTTGTTCTGGGACGGGCGGCTTGACAGCTCAGCTCAGGAAGGCTGGACTGGCAGGATCATTTGGCGTCGACCACATAGTGAAGGCTGGCAACAAGGCACCCATTGTAAAGGTAGATATCGCGACCCCAGATGGAGAAGAACTTGCCAGGTCCTACATCAATAGCCCCCTGTGCGCCTATGCACATTTCGGGCTCCCATGTGGGACTTCGAGCCGAGCCAGAGAAATTGCACTGCCCGACATGCCAAGGGCACCAGCGCCACTTAGAAATGCAGAGCACCCAGACGGTATACCCGACCTTCCAGCAAAAGATGCAGAACGGGTAGCTGCAGCAAACAGAGTCTACGCAGCAGGTTGCCGTCTCATCGTGCTCTGTATCTTGCGAGGAGTTCGTTGGAGTTTAGAACAGCCAGCTAGGTCTTGGTTTTGGGCAACAAGTTTTTGGCAGTTTGTTTTAACCTTTGCGCAGCCCCTCTACGTCACCTTCCACTCATGCATGTTCGGTGGCCAGCGGCCCAAGAAAACTACGATTGCCACAGACATCAACGAACTCACCGAGCTGGCATGTGAGTGTACCAACCAACACTCACACTTGCCATGGGGCTATACGCCCGAGGGCTTTGCCACAGCAACCGAGGTAGAGTACCCCCTGCAGCTGTGCAAACAATGGGCCGCAATCATTGCGCGTGTTGTTGAGCGCACTTACAAGGGAGCCTTGGAACCTCTGCCAAGCCACCCGGACAAGAAAGCCAGAGCACACAGCATGAAGCAGACCAGGAAGTCCCTTGCCTTCATGCCCGAATGGAGCCATGTGGAGACTCAAAACGTGCCAACCATGCCGCCATTTACGGTGGGCACCAAGCTTCCAGAAGCTTTCCAGCAAGACTCCATTTGCATTCCACAACACGCGCGCATTTTGCGCATCACAGCGGCCCCTCACCATGAGCAAGATGGGGGGGAGAACGCTCATAGTGGAGTTCAAGTTGCTTTTGGCGTCCCCTGGAGTGAAGAGGGCTTCATAGAGGAGGCGTTGAAGAGAGGCCACCCCGCCAATTTGGTGGATGGCATTCCCAAAAGCCTGAGGTCATCCATTAGGAACAATGCCACTGCCGACTTCGAAGCCTTAGTCTTGAGGAGAGCGCAGTGGTTCAGAACATGGACGACACGTGCATTTGAGCTCAGAGCCGAAGAGGCCAAACTGCATGCTGCTTTGCCGCCTCACCGCAGAAACATCCTGAAGGGCAAAAGATTCTTGGTGCTACAGGAAATTCTTGAAGACCTTAAATACCCTGACCTGAGGATTGTCCAGGACATGAGAGATGGCTTCAGCTTGGTGGGGACCGCAGAGGGTGGAGGCATTTTGCCCGCTGAGTTTCAGCCTGCCACTTTGACCATCAATGACCTGAGCATGCACTCAGGACGCAGCAATCGGGCAGTTTTCCACTCCACCAAGTCAAGCGGCAATGAAGTAGTGGACGCTGAGTTGTGGCGCAAGACCCAAGCTGAAGTTGAGAAGGGTTGGCTTGCCGAGCACCCTGGCCTGCCCAAAGATGATGGCCGAGTGTCGAGGCGCTTCGCTGTGGTTCAAGCAGAGGACAAGGTGAGGCCCATAGATAACTACACTGAGTCACAGATCAACGACGCGGTCAACATCACTGGACGCTGCACTGTTGATGGAGTGGACACCATCAGCGCTATGGGAGCTGAGTTGATGAGAGCCCTAGGGATGGGGCGCCTTCCCAAGAAGCTGAAAGGGAGGAGCTTCGACCTCAAGAGCGCCTATCGTCAACTTGCGGTAAGAGATGATTCGTTGAAATGGGCGCGCCTCGCAGTATTTTGCCCTGAAGATCGCAGCACACGCTGTTTCCAACAGTTTTCGTTGCCTTTTGGTGCAAAGGCTAGTGTGGTGGCCTTCCTTCGTTGTGCCAGAATGATCCAGTGGCTGGCCCACCATTTAGACATCCCGGTCACCTGCTACTTTGATGACTATGTGTGCATGGCCCCCGAAGCGGTGGCCTCCAATACTGAGAAGGCCTTCGAACTTTTGTTGGACCTCCTTGGTTGGGAATTTGATCGCAGCGGCGAAAAAGCTGACAGCATGAGCGAGCAGGTCTCCGCGCTCGGGGTCGTGTTCGATCTGAGTCAGAGCGCCGATGGGGTCATCCTTGTGGCCAACACTGAAAAGAGGAAGGTGGACATAGCGGGGCAGATAGCGGAGATCCTCCAAGCCGGGCGGATGACCTCTTCAAAAGCGGCATCTCTCAAAGGGAGACTTGGTTTCGCAGAAGGTCAATTGTTTGGTAGAGCGATCAGAAGGTTGATCAACGAGCTTGGGCACCACGCCATGCATACCCCAACCAGGGGCACCTTGGGAGATGGTACCAGAAGAGCCTTGGAGATGGTGGCCGACAGGATAGTCAAAGCTGGACCGCGCAGAGTCGAAGCCACCACCAGTGACGTTTCATTTCTTTTCACTGATGCAAGCTTCGATTGTGAAGCCCGAAGTGGAGGGCTTGGGGCCGTTCTGTTGGATAAGTGCGGCCATGTCATTCAATGGTTTGGCTGCATCGTCCCTCAAGACCTTTGTGATTCCTTCATGGCTGAGAACCAGGAGCAAGCGATTGGAGAATTAGAAGCTCTAGCCGTGCTGGTGGCTTATTGCCTGTGGGGACTTCACCTTAAGTCAAAGCACCTGGTATGTTTCTTGGATAACGAAGGGTCTAGGTTTTTGATTTTGAAAGGATACTCCTCCAACAAAGTGTTGGAAAGCATAGTGCATGAGATTGCGCTGTGTGAAGAAGAGCTTAGTTCGTTGGCGTGGTATGCGAGAGTGCCCACGGAAGCCAACGTAGCAGACCACCCTTCGCGGTTACGAGAACATGCCATGTTGCAGCCACAGTTAGAATCCAAGGTGAAAAATTTAGCTGGCATTTTGGAACGTGCCAGATCCAGATGCTCTCATACCCCACTTGAGAAGGGGGAGTGAGATAGTGGGCTATGAGGCCAAGACTTGAAGTCCCCCGATGAGGTTTGAAAAAGGGAAGGCGTGAATCTGCTTGCAGTGAAGCCGTTGATCAGTTGAGAAATTGGATGTGCGGTGAAGAAATAATGAGGGCAGTTGGCGTAGTCAACAAACGTTTACAGTATTTCTTTTAAGCTACCTTTGATGGAGTGTACGCAATCAAAGCTTGCATTCAATTTCTCATTGCATGATTGTGTTGTTTGTAAGAAAATGATTCACACCCTCGTTGAGACTTTGCTCAAGGGTGAGGAGGGTGGGAAGCGCTTTTGCGTTCTCTGGCTGCTCTGGCCCACCCACCACCCATGGATCCAGCAGATCATCAACTCGTAGCCCAACTTCAGACCCTGCAACGAGTTGTGGCATTCCAGCAACTTGTTCGAGCAGCACTTATCAATACCGACGACGTCGGCGATTCCCTGGAGACCCACAGCTTCACCAACCGCAATTGGGAGAATCGAGTTGAACAAGCCCGACTGACCTTTAGGGATCTTGATTCATACTGCCAGAGGCAGATCGCCCAGATCATGGAAAATATCCACGATCTCTTTCACCAAAGACAGCAATAAGTTCCATAAGTTCCAGGGGTTACAGTATTTCCTGGCGTACAGTACAGCCTAACCCACCGTTCGTGAGATAGTGGGCTATGAGGCCAAGACTTGAAGTCCCCCGATGAGGTTTGAAAAAGGGAAGGCGTGAATCTGCTTGCAGTGAAGCCGTTGATCAGTTGAGAAATTGGATGTGCGGTGAAGAAATAATAACTATATTTCCCACGAAGTTGGTTCAACCTTTCCCAGCTGCGTTTGCAGTTCTTCACCAAGGAAATAAGTTCCAAACTCGATGGATGGCCTTGAAAAGGAAGCAGAGTGATGCCTGCAACATGCTTTTTATCGCTGCCAAGGATGGGACGTCACTGGAAATGATGGCTAGGATTGGGGGATTATACTGGAAATGTGGTTTGAATTCAGGTTAGTGAATTAGTTGTAGTCTAGCCAGATGTATGATGTACTGATGCACATCATCGGGTTCTTCCGTAAGGCCATTGTTCATGGCCGTCAACATCAGCGGAGCTTGACTTATCCCATTGCGGCTTTAAAGATGAGCAGTGACACCACCAAGCCCCGTTGGATTGTTGACTTCGGGTCACAGTATTTTTCAGATGGGTTTGTCCGAAAATGGATCACCCCCAAATTTGATAGTTGATCAGGTTAACCATAATTTTCCTATCAACATATGTCAAAATAGCAATCTCGGGCGTTTTCTTCGATTTTCCCTATTTATTTTTCAGACAGGCCCACATATCCCTCATCTTTGGGGATTTGTAATTGTGGACCTATATGACCGATACATGGAGCATGGAAATCTTCATTGGCCAAACATTGACTAACCATATCTCAGGGGCCTTCAACTTAAACCCCAAGCCCGAAGACTGCTAATTGGTCATTTTACATCATTTTACATCGCTTTGTCCAAATTGGCTTTTTGATGATGAAATTGATGATGAAATTGATGATGAAATTGATGGGATTGTTGGGGTACCTCATTTTCAGACAAAGCCATATGCTATTGTCGCCCTGTTTCAAGACTAGTGAATTATTGTCGCTTCAGGCAGATTTGATGATAAGACATGATAAGACCCCATGGAAAATCCCTTTGATCAACATGACATACCTGCCCGTAATTTGACATAGCTATGGAAAACGGTCCATGTATAGATGATTTGCCTCTTCAATTCTAGAAACCCCGGCAAAATAAAATCTGGTTTTCCATAGCTTTGTCAAATTGCCAGAGGGTGGAATGACTCCAGGATCCGCCGTCGTTGGAGATGCAGTGCCATCGTTATGACCTCGCAGACTTCGATGGGGGCGAAGAGAAGGCAACGCAGCGCTTTTTGCACGCTGGGGAGCTGGTGGAACGTCCGACCACGGCGGCTTTGGATGAAGCGAATGATTCATCGTTCTTATAGCAGCTGTTACCATCCATGTTCGGATGGTTTGATGACTTTCAACCATAGCTTAGCCATGTTTCAAGAGTCCAAGAGATGGTTGTTTGTTGGCAGTTACCACCTGGGTCATCGGTTTGCGTATCCTTTTGGACAATCTCCTGGACGCCCTAGCAGCTTAGCATGCCCTGGCCCCCCCTAAATCCAATACTGATCAAAAATTTCAATCCTTTTCCCTATACAGACATGACAAAAATTTGGCGGGAAATGCCATGAAATGATGCACATAGCCCAGGACGGGGGGCTTTTTTTCCTTCCAAGGCCTTGTGCATCGATGTGTTGCAGATGGGCGTGGGAGGCATCGATTCCTGGGGCAACAAGCCCTTGGCGGAGCACATGATCGGAGCTCAACAGGAAGCCACCTGGGCTTTTCAGCTCCTGCCAGGCGGGAAAGTTGCCGGGGACCAAACATGGGAGGCTGGGAAATACCCTCCGGTAATTTAATACCCTCCATTTTTAGAAGGATTAAGTGGTGATTTAACTCGGATTTTTGGTGATTTAATGGAATTGAATGGGATTTACCCTCTGGTAATTTAACATAGCTATTGAAAATGGCCATTTATTAGTGGTTTGGAACATTTGGACTGTTTTTCCATAGTATATGGGATGTCATCCTTCCCATTGACTTTCATATTTTTCAGAGGGGTTGAAACCACCAACCAGAATTGATATGGATAAATGGTACCTGAGGGATATTCCATGGCGAAGTTTGATTGTCGGAAGAAATATGGCTCGAAAAAGCCCAGGAAAATTGGATGGTTAGATAGCACCCTGCTGAGTAATTTTGCGGATCCAGCCAGCTCTACCTTAGTTCTACGCAACAGTCATATGAAGATAGTAACAGAGTGGGGGCGATATGAAATAGCTATTGGATCATATTGGATCTATTCACCTTGGAGTCTCTTACTGGTTGTGTTTATTAAGGGATTTTACTTAATGCCTTTGAAGCCCTTTGCGCCAAGGCAGGCAAACTGAAGAGGGCGATTGGCGTGTTCAGCTGGCAGGATACCCTGCAACAACATGACAAGTTAACGTCTTGCTCAAAGAAGCAAGATCTATCCCAGGGGCATTGGAAAAAAACGATGCAAATTTCATTGCTGGAGCCACTGTTACAAGCTCGAACAGGAGTTTGTGCCGACAATTGGATGAACAAGTACGTCACTTCTTTGAGAAGCGCATCCTCTCAAAGTTGGATTGGCAAATGTCCTACAACTGTCCTACAACTTCAGCATTTGTCCAAGATTGTCCAAGCCGAATTGGTCACCAAAAAAGACGTCGGCCATGCCGCCATGCCCTCAGCTGTCCGGCTCAAGCTGTGAAGGAAGGTCGCCGTGCCGCGAATCCCGCCGAAATGCAGTTCCTCAAAGCCGCTGCTCCACTCTGAGCTCTGCTTGCTGCACCAAACACCACCAAACTCTGATGTGGTCACGCACCGCAAGACATAACTTGTTCAAAGATGTTTTAAGTTTGAACATGCTATTAGATGTATTGAATGAATTCTGATTGGTGGTTTCAAGTATGGTCAATGGTTTGTCCATCCTACGTGGGACGATGATCCCTGAGTTGAAACCACTGAGGTGGTACTGGTTGGTGCTTTGGTGGTGAGAGTCTCAGTGCTGCGGTTGCGTCCAAAATGTTCGAAATAGTCTGCATATTTTGGACGATCTCAAAGTCTTCCAAAAATTCCGAAAATTGTGGGTGGTGATCCTAGAATGATCATTCCTAGATGGCCATTCAACTATATTCAGCTCTTGCAATCATTTCATCCCTATTCGGGAACATTGGCAGAGTCTGTGTTAGGTGGGTCCCTGAGGCCGAGTCTCGAGTTGGGCTTTCCGCGCTTTCCGTGGATGCACCCGCCGGCGTTGTGGGTGAAGCTTGTGGTGAGGCTGCGACTTGGGAGCACCCCATATTGGCTACACACCATCTGAGGGTAAACTCGGTGAAACATGGTGAAACTATCTGTATGCTACTGTGTACATCATTATATACATCATTATACATCTGTATACTATATATTTGTTGCCTATAATTAGTGGTAACCTGTGGCTCAACAATTACCCAGCCCATAACCATGCGGATTCGAGGAGCCTAGAGATAGGGCCCCATTTGCAAGCTGTAGGGTCCCATTGCTGCCTGGAGCGACCAAGGAGTACGAACGCTTCAAGACCATCGTCTGCGATTTGCGTGAGGCGCAGCTGCTAAAAGTGAACAGCCAACAGCGGTGCGTCAGCGAACAGCAGGTTGGGTCATGTTGGGTCCCGACCTGCGAGGCCTGCGGATGCAAGGGAGTGCTTTGCGAACAGGAGAAGTGTTCAGCTGCGTTGGCTGTATTCTGCGACTTTGCTGCTTTGTTGAGGTCCTGGCATGATCAAGGCAGTCACTTGAATGGCTAATGTCTATGTGACTATGTGCGTCTTGGGCATGTCGCAAAGATCCAAAACGAATGACCGCTACAAAGAACGGTTGTACCATGTGGTAATCCTGTCAATCCCTGTCTCTCCTACCAAGCACCCGGAAGGTGCATCTAATTAGCATGAAAACCATACTCACAGAGGAGTGGTGCAATGGCTACATGAGCAAGTGGAAGAAGGACACCTTGCAACAAAGTGCACCCTCTTCTGCTCACATAAAAAAGGGTAATGAGAAACCCAGGTTTTCACCGGGGACGTCATCCATAAAGGATCTCCATTGCCAGTTTAGATCTCCAGAGGAGTTTGGTGCTTGCACTGCCAAAGGGTGCCCAGTGAAATAGGACTCTGAAGGCGTGGCTGCGTGGCTTGTTCACACGCAACACTGTAACACATTGTGTGCAGATTCCTCCTGCAGCTCAGCAGCTTTCAGGCGCATTTGACATGATTGGACATATTTCATCATATTTCACTCCACTGCTCAGGTTCATCTACAAGCTCATCACAACGGCTGCTGGTGGTGATGTTCAATGGCTGAGGCTGAATGCCAGCACCATGGGCGCAGAGAAGCACCACAGGACCAAAAAAGAAGCTGCAAAGCTGCCATGCCAGGGTCGTGGCTTGGGTCAAAAATCCGGACCCGTCCCATATAAGAAATTCCAGGTATATATATATAATATATATATATATACATGGTTGGCAAGCCAAAAAGTGCCGGAAGCTGAAATTTGCAATGGTTTGCAAAAGCTTTAGTTTATAGATGTTTATACTATTCCATTCTATTCCAACCATTATCATGTTGAGTTTCTATAGTACCATGTACCATCTTGGCCAGCGCTCTGAGGTGAGGCGGAGGCCAAGAAACAGCGTCAGCGCCAGCACTTTGAGGCCGGGCTGAAACATGTGCTGAAGTTCTCAGATGTTCCACTTGAGATAATGAAATTCATTGAAATTTACTGGGATTTCATAGGGTTTACATGGATTTACCATTTGAAAGGTTTTAAAAGGGGGACTTAACCATCCAAGATGAGGATACAATGGGGATATAATGGGTATACCATGGGTATTTCACCAATGATAATCCAGTTGGCGGTTTGGCGGCTTTGAATTTCCCTGACAGGCAGAATCCATTTGGGCGGAAATTGCTCACATGGAACGGAGTGAAGCCAGGCAATCGTTTCCGGTTTTGGCAAGTCCAGATGTTGTGTCAATGGCAGGATTCAGCAGTGATTCGGTTCATCGTATATTATCGTATATTTGCTTTGTCGGTTTTTCCAGCAGCAAACAAAGATTCAAACATGAACTAGCTGGGTGTGTTCTTTAAACTCAGCTATATGTGTATCTGTGTGTGTGTGCTACTGTTCGCCTCTGACTATTATAATTACCCAAGATTACTTTTGTGCGAGTTTGCTACTTGGAAGCCATGGCCGAGAAATCGTTCAATGATCAATCGCATGATGAGCCCCAGGATCCGCAGCGAGGAAGCTGCTGAGAGAAAGGCTGAAAAGAAGCTGCGGCAGGTGCCACCTGGATGATACCCTCATAGCTGGTTTTGCTGGATGGTTATTGGTTAGTTGTTCCCCAAAATAAAGTCATTGCATAGGTGTTGACCCATCCCCAGGTTTGAACATGACATCCACCATTCTTACACATGTTGTTACATCATGTTGAGCTGTTGTTCTAATAATTACGCAGCCATTTTTCCGAAACTGAGGCTGGTTCGTTCGCAGCTGGGCTTTGGAGAACGACATAATTCCACTCCGAATGGTTAGGTTTGTTTACCACTTAGGCTGTAAACTTTGTGCGTTCCAAATGTTTACGCGAGTGAGTCAATTACCCAATGAATTTCGATCAACGTCGAACTCATTTTGAATGCAAGGCTGTCTCCTTACTACATCCCCTTGCTGTGAAGTTCAGTTCCTGATCCTTCCACCCACCTTGAATGCAAATATGTTGCTTCGTTACGGCCCTTTGTAAGACCATGTTCAATCCTCCTCACTACGTGCTGCCTAGAGATGTAAAGCATTTGTACTTCAGGCATGGCTAGCAGTAAGATCCTCATGCAACTCTGTGTTTTGCTTGACTGGGGTTTGATGCTGCTTCAGAAGCGGAACCAGGTCTTATGGAAATGGAAGACAAGAGTGTTTCACCCGATCGGTTTGTCAGAAAATCTACCGGAATCCATAGTGTTTACTCCATTTTTTTCGGGGGTCCTATAGTTTTCATCGCTTTCCCTTGGACCAATTTTGGCAGCCCTTAGGAGGTGGAAGAAGAGAGACGGAAGCTGGAAGCCTGCCCATCCAAGCTGCCCAATGAGCGGTCAGCAACCTCAAAGCCGCAACGAAAAGGACACAAATGGATCCAGATCCAGATGGCTCATGATTAATCCCGAAATGGCTTCTGATTAATATTGATTCATATTTTAGCTTTTTTTAAAGCCTCGTAAACAATGCTTTTAAAGCTCCAAGAGACGCGGTGAACGTAGGGGGTACGAGTGGCTAACGGACGTGGTGACGAACGTAAGGCGAACGAGTGGACGGACGAGTGCACGTGTGAGCGAACGAGTGAACGGACGTGTGCGTACAAGTGGACGGACGTGTGCGCGTACGAGCGTGCGTTTGCACGTTCACTGGCCGCGTGCGCGCGCACGTACGAAAATAAGGTCGACTGGAGTCGACCTTATTTCTGTACGTGCAAAGCGCTACAATACTAAATCAATACTAAAGAGGCAGGGTCGTGCAAAAATAAGGTCGACTCAAGTCGACCTTATTTTCGTACGTGCGCGCGCGCGTGGCGAGTGACCGTGCAAACGCACGGACGTACGCTCACACGTTCGCTCGCACGTACGCTCACTCGTACATACATACGTTCGCACGTACGTTCACTCGCACGCATGTCGTTCACACACACGTTCATACCCCCGTTCATGTCACTCGTCACTACACGTACGCTAGATAACAAAAATATTTTTACGAGACTTTAAAAAAAACTAATTCATATTGATTAATGCAACTAAATTGAAAAAAATATCAATATCAAAATCCGCCCACACCGCTTTGGCGGTGAAGGCGTGCTTATTGGGGGGCAAAACAGCAACACTAAATGCTCAATGACATTTGTTAATATAGCAGTCGCTATATCAGCTTTAGCTGGGGGGGGGGGGGCCCAAAAACGGTTTCGCACCGAGACCAGAATACGGTGGTGTTTTCGACATTTTTCGAGGATTTTTGGGTGTCTGAGCGCAAGAGGGTATTGAAATGGAATTTTGGGTCATTTTGGTAGCTTTCCGGCAATGGAAAAACGGCCAAAAATGAAAAAAAACATTGTACATAGCAAGAATTTGCAGGGTTTTTGGATGCCAGAGCATTGAAAACACTGCAAAAACAAGTGTTTTGGACTGACGTTATAGCAAAAAACGTGTAAATTACCGTATGCTTGACTGGAAACATTACAAAAACACTGTCAAAAGCAATGTTTTGGAAGGATTTACTGCCTTTATGGCAAAAAACGTGTAAATTACCGTCTGTTTGACTGGAAACATTGGAAAAACACTGTCAAAAACAATGTTTTGGAAGGATTTCTTATATATATGTTGGAGTTGGCTACCGGCATTGGAACATGGAAAAATTGAAGAAAACACTGTAAATAGCGGTATTTTCAACGGTTGGGGAGATAAGGGAATTGGAAGCATTGTCGAACATGATGTTTTCGACCGGTTTTATGGCGACAAAAGTGTAAAGTACCGTGCTTTGAAGGAAACCATTGCAAAAACATGGAAACACATTCAAAGAACACGGGATTTGGGGGACTATCTAGGCGTCGTTGTCTAGCTATTTGAAATTCCGCAGCTTGGAGAGCCTCCAAGGGAGGGAAAAGTGAAAATTCCATAGCTTGGGAAGCTGTCACGGCGGGGAAAAGTGAAAATTCCCTAGCTTGGGAAGCCCCCACGGGGGGGAAAAGTGAAAATTCCCTAGCTTGGGGAGCCCCCACGGGGGGGAAAAGTGAAAATTCCCTAGCTTGGGGAGCCCCCACGGGGGGGAAAAGTGAAAATTCCCTAGCTTGGGGAGCCCCCACGGGGGGGAAAAGTGAAAATTCCCTAGCTTGGGGAGCCCCCACGGGGGGGAAAAGTGAAAATTCCCTAGCTTGGGGAGCCCCCACGGGGGAAAACCACCCTTAGCCCCTCTCACGGACCTAAATAAACCTGCGGTGTGGGCGGCCACCCCACGCGAAGCGGGGTGAATATATATTGAATAACATTCATGAAAAAATATTGAGCTTTGCCTGGGCTAAAGCAGTTCGATGAGGCTTCAACGGGCAGATGAGGCCGTGGACATCGTTTGTGCCGCGGCGAGATGATCGTCTGTGAAACTGGTCAGGTTTGATAGGGGAAAACCATGGAACAACCATGGAAAACCTATGATACTTATCAGAATTATTCATAATTACATATAGTTTTCATCGAAGTTATTGATATTTTTTGATCAGGGGAAAGCAATTATTTTGGGGTAGCTCTGCTTTAGTTATACTGTATCAGATCTATCCAGCCATGCAGCATTGAAGCTCCAGGCAGCATCCCAGTTGATCAATCAACCGGGGCCAAGATAAATCAGGGCTCGCATTACTTTAGTGGCAACCCCGTAAATAAACCCTGGATCGGGGGCGATACCCCCAAATAGTGATAAACATAATGTATCAATGGTCATTCCAGGATCCTAAAATGGAGGTACTGTACCATATAAGGCCATATTTTGTGGGGATATTCCCTCACATAGGCCTTACATAGGCCTTATATATGGTAGGTACCTCCAATTTAGGTTCCTGAAATGGCCATTGAATATATCAAATTACTACCGGTAAAATTGCTACACCCTCCCGTTGAACAATCTGGTGGTCTCACGCAGATATCAGGTATGAAGATGTCTCAGCTGGAGAATTCGCAAGCTGCCAGACAGGTCAGTTCCATTCGGACTCTGGTAACGCAAAAACCGTGTGATCCCAATGGAGACTCGACTGGGATGACTAAGAACCCCAGCTGCAGGAGAAGGTGGAAAAGGAGCACAAGAAGAAGGCACTGTTGTCATCCCAACTGACATGTTTGTGGCGTGAAATCTGTGGAAACCACATGAAACCACCTAACGATGTTTCAATCAGTCTGAAATCTGGAACTATGGCTAGATGTTAAATTATAAAGGCTTTTTTCCATAGACGTTAAAATTGTTGGTCTATGATTCAGGTCGCGGCTTTGCGAAGAGAATGCGAGGAGCAGCTGGGCTGAGTCGGGGTTGTTGCTACATGGCTTTGGGTGAAAATGTAGGGGACAACCCATCCCATTCACAGGTGAAAATCATTAGTTTACCTATTCAGACTGCAAAGCTTTGGTGGGGTAATCCCCTATTTTCAGGATTTTTCAGGTACAATACTCGGATGTTGCTATTGTTTTTGAATGAGATACCTTGAAGTCTTGGCACCTTGCCCTTGTAACATCTTGTAACCTTAGTAAACCCTTGCAGAGGAGATGAAGAGGGAGATTGGAGCCCGGAGAGTAGCGACCCCAGCATTCTTTTAGCCTTATACTTATACGTTACCTTCTTGGTTATTTAACATAGCCATGGAAAATGGCCCATTTATAGATGGCTTACCTATTAAAAATGCTGATTTTCCATGGCTATGTTAAATAACCAGATGGTACTTGCACAATGTGAAACTGGTATATGTGCCTACATATACTTGGCACACATGCATTTGCATGCGGATATGACATATCATATATAATGATGGACCCTTATTAGTCCGCACCCCCTTTGATCTATAGTGGAAGTCTCAAGAACAAGCTTGCCAAAAATTAGGGGGTTAAGTCAGAACTTCAAATTGTGCTCATTTGACTATTAAGTTATTGTGCTCGTTGAAGAAAAACAATGAAAAAGCCAAGAACTTTATTGATCTGGGCTTCACACTATTCATGATTACATTAGATTGCATTAGATTGCATTTCATTACATTTATCCAGAGACATCGACTTTTCATTGATGATGATAATCTATTTGAACACCCGGATGCTGGTACACTATTTATCACACTATCTATCCAGATAGATCTGTCGAATTCCGACACTCCTCCCATGCTATTGCGGTTTCTTATTGAGGGGAAACCATCACTGGGGATCCCGCCAATCTATAATTTATCTATGGTAATGCGTGCCATTAAAATTCCATACTTATCTATATATATATAGATATGTTTTCAATTGTAGAACATTATAGATATTCCCACTGGATAGGTATGTGCCCAATATTTAGCCAATCATCTATCCAGATAAACCCCAAAAAAACATTGTTCATCCTTTTTTAGATAAATTATAGATCCATTCTTGGTTTTCCATAGTTGATCCATCGATTATCTGTAGATACTTGTATGTGTCTATCCTATATCTATCCAATCATCTATCCAGATAGATCTATAAGCAATATTAAGCATTAGTCCATTGTCCATCTATTTTTCCAGCTATAAACCTCCATTTGGTCTCGGGATTTCCCATTTACCCAGGTGCAGCAGGTTGTGCCCGCTGCGGGCGGTCCACAGGCGTGCAGCCTCATTCCATGTTTGTGGGAAAAACAAGACGGAAAATTGGACATTTCTTGGGATTTCATCAGATAAATGTGGGATTTCCATTTAGTTTTTTTTTCTTCAACCATCAACTGTGGAATTTAAATGGATTGAATGGGATAAGTGTGGGTCATTGTGGGTCAATATGGGTAGATTATTTGGTATGTAATCTAAATCGGCGTGATAAAGCATGGGAATTGGATTTTAGCATCAACCATGGGGTTTGCCAAGAAAATGGGAGCAGCAATACAACTCGTTGTTTAAATATATGTGTTTCCATGCATATTGGGGATGAGATACATTGATACATCGTGACTGGCTGCCATGGATGAACTCCACGGTCTGCACACACGTTTTCACCTTGGCTGCAGCCACCTGGTGGTTCAGACACGCAGTCTCTAAAAGTTGTTTGCCCTTCGTGAGTCTGAGCCTTAATCCGCATCAGCTGCTGACTTTTGCAACGGGCACGGATCAAAAATGATGTTTTTCCATGATTTTCCATATGATGGGTGGGATGAACATCCATTTGCCAGCGATTTGGGTGTTCCGGGTCTGTACCAGGCTGCTGACCCATTCCCAGATGATCCCAGATGCTGTTGGTCGAGCACCTGAGGTTATAATTCCCACCCCTGTCTCCATGACTCGCAGAATTTGGATCTGCCTTTTCGTCCTTGGATGCTTGGCGGCGTGGGTGGCAGTATGGATCTTAGGTCCCACATCATCCATTTCAATGGGATTTTCCATCATAAACCATCCAGCTTTTGGGGTACCCCCATGGCTATGGAAACCCCCAAAGACTTCGAACGTTTCTGCGAGAAATCACGGACTGTTACGGACCCATACCTGCATCACCACATCTTCAATCTGGTCCCAGGTGCTGCAGAAGATTCAAGAATGATGCGTATTGAGACCAAAGTGGATGCGCAAGGGGAGGCTCATGAGTTTGCTCCTTGCAGTAAATTGTGGCATGTTTTCTTGACATTCCTTGGATTTCCTTGGCATTTCTGGACATGCAAATTGCAATTTCTCACATTTGGAGGATCCTCTGGCAAACAAACATGGCAATGGAAAATCCACCATTTATGGATGATTTTCCCATTTCAATGACCATTTATCTCGGATTTTCTGTTGCCATGTTTCGTTTGTAGCGTTTGGATGTCTCCTCTGGCCCTCGGAAGCGCGTCAGGTTTCGGTGCACGACAATCATCGCTTCGGCCAAAAGCAAGGCGTGTTGGCCGCGGAGATGCTGGATGCAGGCGCTTCCGCCGTGAGTTGCTGGATGTTGCTGGAACTGAAAATGCCGTTGTTTTTTAAGAATGGTCCACGATATGAACCATATGAACGGACTGAGATTCTTGGACATAATGGACCCGTGTTGATGGAGATTGAGCCCAGGATTCCAGAGCGAACACCAAGCCGCGGCTACCACGACTTTGTACCCGCTCAATCCGAAAGGACCGTGGGTCTACACGTGTGAGCCCCGTGGTTAATCGCCAATGCTGGGCAATTCATATAGTACCAATATGTACCAATAGTACCACATTGTGGCTACATGCGGCTACATCTAGAACATCTAGAACTGCCTGAACTGCCTAAAAGATATTAATATAATGTTCTATTTGGATATGCGCATACATATATAATATATAGATAATTTATAATTATATATATGTATATACCTAAGCACATGTGGTGATGCACTGGCACTGCTCAGTGATAGCCTTCTCATTGCTGCCATGAAGTGCTTAAGTGTTCCTTGAAGCCTAGATAGTGTAGGACCTCTCGCAATCGATGACAACGCCTTCACCTTGCTCTTCAAGGCCAAGGTAGGAGCGCTTTTCCCTGTGGTCATCCTTTTCATGCTGGCATTCAGCAACCTGGCTGAAGGATATCTGACTGAACCGGAGGAGGATAGCAAGTAAATGGATGTATGTAAATGGCACATCCGAAGTTGGCATTCGCATCCACTCACATCTATTCACGGCAATTTTGGGTTAGATGGATGTTCCTGGAGCGGCTAAGGGAGCTGACTCAGAAATTTTCTGGTTGGCAGCATCCCAGCATCGCTAAGGCTTGCTGTGCTGTTCCAGCTTCATGTTCTACAAAGCCAAGAAGCCGGAGGTCATTCTGCACCCCAAAAAGCCCCCCAAAATTGGTGTTGAAATATGGCACGCCTTCGCCTTTCTCATCCCCATAAGATGATGAAAGTTGGTTATAGTTGTAAAAATGCAAAAGATGGGGATCCGAAAGGGTTTAAATGGGTATACCAAATGGCATCGGTGTCCAATAGTGTCCGTGCAGAGCCCAAAACTTGCTCAGGGGGAAGAAGCAGAAGAATTGAAGAACCAGGAATGTGGACCTGAGGCAGCATGTTGCATGGGACATGTTCAGGGATTTGGGAAACAACGTGAAACCCGTGTCCTAATCCACGAAAATATGAGGAAATGATGTCGATCGATGCACTTTGGTCATCCGAGCGGGCTTAATCTCTATATGTTCCCATTGAAACCAGTGATTTCCCAGCTGAAGGGCCCCAGATCAAAAATGGTGGATTTCCGCAGGGGCTTGAGGAGGATCTCTATGGGCTCGCCATTGCTTCCATTGAACCTTGATGAAGTTGGGCGAAGTGGGGCCTGGATGGCTAAGGATGGCTAGGGCTATAGGGGGTGGGATCAGTGTGCTGGTGTTCTTGGTGAGTTTGGGCCAGCTTCAGTTTGGGTATGCTTTTTTTGGGGGGGGACTGGCATCATGGAGTGGAGTGGAGGAGTGCAGGTCAGAAACCATCCAATGATTGGTCTTTTCAGGTTTTTTTTACGTGCGCAGTAGATATCTCTGATTCATGTGGATCCAAATGCCCATGTTGGATCATTGTGGTGTCAATTTTGCAAATTTTGATAGTTTGAATCTGGCAATTCAGTTGGTGAATGGCTGTTGACATCCTGTTTTGCCAGATACATTGGGTGCTCATGAGACTAGCAGGAGTTTGATCCATACCTGTCCCACTGTCACCATGAAAGGTTCACCTGGGACTCCCAGGTTAGAGACACGAGATCCTATTGCAAGGGCTATTCATCGGCAGGGCTGATGATGGCTCGCATGGGCGTTTCCATCATGTATCTTGGCTCCGTAATGGCCATCGTGAACCTAATGAAATGCTGTACTGAAGGATGGAGGGGCTGTCATGATGGATGATGATTGTTGGTTAATGATTATTGATGACTGATGATTATTGATGGGGGTTGATGGTGATTAATGATTGACGGTGATTATTCATTTGATTTGATGTCACGTGATTTGGATTTGATTCTGAGTTGAGTTGAGCTGGTTTGAGTTGATTTGATTTGTTTGTTGGTTGATTGATGATGATGATGATGATGATGATGATGATGATGATGATGGTAGCAGGCCAACAATTGTGGTTAAGTAAGCCCTCCAACAAATCGGCAGATTGACAAAGGGAAACATGCAACTTAAACATGATTTACCATGGATACTTTGGTATTTGTTCACAGTCAAGACTCTTGTCAAGACCTCATGATTTGCTTTGCATATCCTATTCGTTTGCTTGATGGATACCTATGGGTTATCAATGGTTATCACGGTGTTTTCCGATTGCTTTCGTTTTTTTGTTTGGATTTTGGTTTCCTCAGGATTTTGGTCCTGACTCTGGTGTTGCAGATCTACCTGATGGCCAGTTTGAAAGCACTGGTCACCTCGGTGGCCGTGAATGAAATTCGTGACGTCTACGACCGTTATCAGATCACCATGTCACTCGCCCACGGAGTTTGGTGGATCGATGAGGATCAACGAGGATCAACGAAGATACGCCCGTGAATCCTGCAAGGTGGTACCCCCCAGTTATAAGTTGGTTTATAATCCCCATTAACTATAGATATAACCCCCATAAACCCTAGTTATTGGACTTATAAACCAACTTAGCTAACTATGGGGCACCACACATTGTGTGGTAATCCCCATTGGTAGTCCCCATTGACTATGATGTCTTCTGGGGTGGAGCCTCTGGTGACTCTGACCTTGCAGTCTTCAATATGCCTTGAAAGCCTGCACCTTTGAGGTACGGCAACGACACGAGCAGGATGGCGGTGACCGTCTTTTGTTCCGCAGATTTCTGGATGGAAGCTGTTTTTGCAGCCTCAACTGACTCAAACTGTTCACCGGCCTCTTTGGATATACTGGTTCTAGCCAATGTTTCTTGTGTGGGAGGAAAGTGATCGAAAATGCAGCGGTGCTGGTGCATTAAGGCCAACGGCTATCACCGTGGACGTGAACCATACTTCAATCCCAAGAACTTTGCACTGCTTTCTGAGTGCTTGGCTCAACTGAGTGTTGGGAAATCATGGGAAATCGGGAACAGTAGCACCATGTAGCACCCGTTTGGGCAGAACAGCTTTTAACTGACCAAAAAATCTGTCTACACTGAGATTCTTAATGTTTGTCAGCAATCACTGGTTTGAAAAACGGAGTTCACTGGGAAATAGACGAAATCATGTCCCAAGAAGCTGCACAGCCAAGGGAAGACAAGGAAAGTGTTTGCCACTTGAATGCAAGAGTGCTGGAGGTGGTTTTATTTCTGCGACACCATGATGATATCATGCCAGTTGTTTCCTTTTAATCTTAGAGAGGTGTTACAGCTTGCTGTTATCCTGCTGTTTGTTTGCCCTTCTTTGTCGTACGTCATCCCCGTCATCCCCAGCCATTTCGGTCCATTTGGTGAACGTCGAGGCCAGATCCCTCTCTCACAACCAACGTTCTTCATGACTCTATTGATGATCTGGACGTTCACTGCTACTTTGCGGCAATACATATGCGTCAAATTGCATTAACATGCGTCATCAAAAGTGAATGGATTGAAGGGGTGAACATGGACAAGCTGGCTCATCGCAATTGCACCAAGTCAAGTTGTAGCTGCATTGGTAAGTTGTGGGTTTTTTTGTAGGGTTCTTGATGGTTTCTGAAACAGGTGTTTGAAAGGTGCGTTTGAGGTACAGCCGGTACAGCCCTTGTATTTATCCTCCCTGAGGTTGTGGCAGACCTTCGAAAATCTGTTGATTTGTGGGTCCTGAACTGAGCGCGAGTTGGGCCCAGAGCCTCAACCACTTGGTATATTATTTCAATTATATATTATATTGAGTGCGAAGCCTCAACATCCCTCAGAACATGATGGAAACTTGTCATTTCATGACATTTCATGATTCATTCATATTCATTCCCACCAAAAACTGCACACAAAGAGCATTTTGACGCGGGATATGTATGGATGCTCGACCGAGATGCGTGTGACCCGCATTACGCCAACGGTCTCATCCATGAAGGATTCAATGGAGGCAGTAGTGCGGACCCCAGAGTTCCACTTGGGCAGTTGCCTCGGCTAGGTGTCTCCAACATCAAAAATCCATATAATTAGTTGGTGGTTTGGAACATTTTTTATGTTTCCATATATTGGGAATAATAACCCCAACTGACGAGCATATTTTTCAGAGGGGTTCAAACCACCAACCAGATAAGAATCCATGATCTCACAATGATCTCACAATGATCTCAGCCGGACTCAAAAAGTGCGAAAATTGGTAGAGAACCAATAATTTGGGCGCGTGATCCAAGAGTTGCTTCGGTCCCTAAACTTCCGCATTTTCTCAGGAAGGCTCAGAGGAAGAATATGTGATCGTGGGCCTCACCGTTCCAGCAGCCCAGCAGCAAATTCCAAGTTTCAGGGCTTGCTGGTGGTGTACCTGGCCGAAAGGTCGCACAGTCCGTTCCAAAGATCCTTTATCGTCCTTATGTCCTTATCATTTATAATTATATATGGGTATGGGTCAATACCTATAGATACCATTTTTAGTGGGATGAACATCCATAAATCCCAGCTATTTTGGGGTTCACTAGGTACCAGGGTTTTGACCCATCCCCATATATATATATATTATATGATATATATTATATATACATATATATCACTATATCACCATGATTTCTCAGCCTTGGTTCATCATCGTTCCCGCCATTCCCGCCGCCATTTTGGTCGAGGTCAAAGTCACTCTTTCAATGGTGCTTTTCTTGCCTCGAATCCTGGTCGACTTGTACCTGCTGTGGTACCTCGGAATCCGCGGACAGAAAGCATCCAGATTTAGCATGATTTAGGATAGGCCATGGCTATCCCAAAAAGATATAAACAGATACTATTGAAAGATGGTATATAGAAAATTATATAGAAGTATATAAGTATAAGTCCATCAAAAGGGTACAGATCAACAATTTCTCAACATTTCTATTGTCTTGTGGACTTCCTGTAGGTTATGAATGAGTTTGAGAACCCTTGAACTTTGCGGCTCGACTTGACTCGACTGAGGCTGGGCTGTCGCTGGCTTTGCGCCACCCCAAGCTTTGAAGATGTGATCCTGAATGCTGTTGCTTTGGAGTCCCTTGGTCCAGTTGGCCACCCCTTTTTCTATCAGAGTTCTGGATGTAATTGCAGATAAATAAACCTCTATAACATATGAGGTGGTATGAGCGTAGACATAGATATATGGAGATAGTTGCAGAGAGCGAAGACATTCTATATTTATATATGTATAATAATTGTGTATATATATATATATCTCTCTCTCTCTCTCTCCCTCTCTCCCCCCTATATACATATATATATACACACATATATATATATATAATATATATATACATTATATATATATTATATATATATATACACGTTACATATTATATATAGAACTACTAGGCTGGCTTGATCTGTCAACATTTTGCGACATTGCTCCTTGTGCTCCAGCATCCTGTGGCTAACCAGCGGCTGAGGTTCATTTTGGTCCTCAACAACGTGGTTTTCAGCACCGTAGTGCCGTTGCAAAGTGTCATTGACACCCGAAACACTCAGATTCTCCCATACCAAAAGGAGCGGGAGGGCAGTCTGAGTTTGGATTGTAAGCTTTGCAATCAGTCAGGTGTGCCGCGTTTCTGAGTGCATGTCTGCGATGCATGCAGTACATATTCAGCTTGGGGTTCTGATTGGCAGATGTGGCTTCCGGTGTTTTGGGCTCAACAGCGCATGATGCCCATGGCAAATCCTGCAAGTGCCACGGAGGCCAAAGAGCCAAAGCGAGAGAATCGATCAAGTCTAGCAAGCCTAGCTGCTCTGGCTGGCCCAGCGAACGTGTCTGGGCCACAGATTTGCACCATTGCTAGTCCCAGCCGGCCTGCTTCAAACCTTGAGAAGATGACATCACCATTGGAAAAGGCGGTTCGGATTACCAGGACAGGCTTGGAAGATTTGGAGGAAGAGGATGAGGAGAGTGAAAATGATGACTTTGGTGATGACTTCGATGAGGATATGGCAGCAGAGGAGACTACAGCTAGGAAGGCAGCAGAGGAGGCTGTAGCCAGGAAGGCTGCAGAGGAGGCTGTAGCCAGGAAGGCTGCAGAGGAGGCTGCAGCCAGGAAGGCTGCAGAGGAGGCTGCAGCTAGGAAGGCAGCAGAGGAGGCTGCAGCTAGGAAGGCTGCAGAGCAAGCTGAAGCTCGAAGGGCCGCAGAAGAGGCGGCAACTAGGAGGGCCGCACAGGAAGCTACCGCTAGAAAAGCAGAGGAGGCTGCGGCTAGGACAGCAGCCAATACGGCCGCAGCTAGCTCTGAGTATGGGCATCCATCTGAGTCAGCTCAGCCGGAACTGCCACGGCGCTCAAGGAGGGAAGAACTCCTGGAGTGGCAAGCTGAATTGGATGCCACAGAGAGCAGGTTGAGAGTTTTGGAGCGGCAGAGGAAGGAGGAAAGATCCAAGTTAGAGAAAGAGAAGCAGGCTTACAACCACAATGCCCAGGCCCTGGAGCGGAAGGAACATGAAGCAAGGCAGCAGCGAGAAGACATTGAGCTTCGGCTTGCAGAACTCAACTTGAAGCAGATCGAGTTTGCGCACAGGAGGCAGCAGCTGCAAGAAAAGGAGGAGAAATTGCGAGCGGATGAAGAGATGCTGGACCAGGAAATCTCTCGTGCAATCATTGAGGACCGAAACCTGATCGGTCAAAAGAATCAGGAGCTCAAGCAAAAGGAACAAAATTGGACGGCCAAGCAAGAAGCTTTGACCAAGCGGCAGCTGATGCATCGAAAAGCTGTAGATGATTTGACGGCACGCGAGAGAAAGTATGATGCAAGAAAGAATGAGTTGTCGCGGGAAAACCCCATGCTCCAACAGCAGATCAGGGAGATTTCAAGGCGGCTTGACGAGTACTGGGACCAGCGTTGCATGGTTGAGCCTCAGCCATTGCACATGAAACCCATCCCAAGCACCAAACCGATTCCACCGGCTCCAACGGCTCCGCCCAGTGGATTAGCTGCACCAGATGCAGAGGGGACTTCAGCTTTGAAACCTGAAATTCCTAGCTTTCCAAGTCCGTTTGACGTGACTCCAGCACAGGCGGAGCCATATCAGCAGGATGTGAATCCAGCTCCACCAAAGGCACCTCCTCCAGTGAAGGCTCCGCCAGTTCCCAGTGATCGGCCGCCTATTAAGGCGCCACCAGTCCGGCCCGGAACGCAGCTCCTGACCCAGCCAACTGAGCCGGTCAGCCAGCTGGTGCCACCGGTGCAGCCGGTGCAGCCGGTCCGAAGCACAGACCATGGTCAAATTCTCGATGCTTCCTGGGGTCCTTCCCTCATGCCCTGATGCCTTGAGCGTTGAACAGCTGCACCTTCTTGAAACACCTTCCGCTGTGAAAAATATGGGTGCGAAAGCCGAGCCGCAGAGCTTCAAGTATTATTTTGAAGGCTGTTCCACAATGACTACGATATGTTGATACTTTGGATATTTTGGGAGGGCTGAAACCACCAACCAGCTGAGCTTTTGGCAGCAGACACACACATATCAGACGCTGTTGTTGCTGTTTGCCCAGGAGGTAGCACCAACAGGGCGTAGTGTTCTGGCGGCTTTTGCCTGGGGCATTGCATCCATGGTGTGGGTCTTGCTCTACATGTACCTGTTGCAGGTGAGATTTGGGTGGGATGCTGTTTGGTGCGGGGGGTCTACCATTGTAAATGTATGTAAATGTATTTGAATTTGCTAAGACATTTACGCCGAAGTGAAATCGGAATGAGCCTGTAAGGAAAAAAATAATTCCAATATATTCCAACTGTCTGGGATTGTCTTCAATATGCATCGGTTTGGGTCAATTCCACATTATTGGTAGGTTATATGCCTGTCTTCTGATGGCTATACCCTCTGGTAAACTAACATAGCTCTGGAAAATCACTATTTTGATAGGTAAATCAGCTTGGGCCATTTTCTTTACCTTTGTTAGTTTACCAGAGGGTATCCCCATTTATGGCTGTTTTTTTCCATGACGTGCCCTTCCAACGTCGTGAAGCTGCTAGGCGGTGCTTCCTCAATATCGATGGGATGCTTGGGGCTTAGTGAGACGTATTCGAGACAGCTGGTCATGCTGGTGGTTTCAAGTTACTATTATTAGTGAGTATTGGTTTTCATATTCTAATAGAATATCGAATTATATTCTTATTGGCTATGATGACGTATTATGATTGACTATTATTGTCAGTGCCATTGGTGGTCCATGGTGGTCCTGTTACGTTTTGATCTCCCCCAACTGTGGGGATGATTTCGCACCGCCAGGTGCGAGATGTTTGCATCGACTTTCTGGCCGCGATTCTTGACAGCAGATATGGTTGGTGAGTTGAGCCATGTTGATCCTTTTCAACGTGCCAAAATGTGCCAAAAATATATGAACCTTTGCTGCTGAGTCACCAACTTCGCTGCTCCTGTGAGATTTCTATCGATTTGTCAGATTTGATCTAGAAAAACCTTGAAAAAGCGGTCAACAATCAAAAGCAACCAACCAAAACAAATGAGTGATGGACCTGTGTAAGGATTTGCCATGTCAGCACCGAGGTTGCTCGTTAGCCACACCAAAGGCCAAAGTATGCTGATTAGTAATTAGTGGTTTCAAAATCGTTCAAACATGTATTGTACATTGGATAATCTTGATTATATGTGTATATGCGTATTGGATTGCATATATGTATATGGTCATATATGTATCCATACATATACATATTACATATATATATATATATAAACACATCATCTTATATTCATATCCATGAAGGCACCCTGAGGTAATGCTCCCAGTGACTTCCTCCTTGCGGGGTCCGGTCCCCGCCCAGGAAGGTGAAGTGAGCGCGGCTCGCGGGCAGCTCGCGGCTCGCGTTGGGGCACCTGCAGAGACCGGTGGATGATGGTAAGGCAGTGAAAAATTGTGTACTTCGTTTCTTAGTTATTTAGTGACTTTGTTTGTTAGTTATCTAGTTGGTTAGTAAGTTGCTTAGTTTGTTAGTTCGTTCGTTAGTTAGTGCGTTCGTTAATTGCCTATTGGTATTTAACATAATGCTACGGCACGGGGGTCGCATTTGCCCCTACCTCATGTGGGGTCGCACTTGCCCCTACTCAAGGTGGAGGTAGGGGCGACCGTGACCCTAGGGTAAGGGCGAATGTGACCCCGCCTCGTTTTGCGTGGCAGACGCAATAGTTTCAGAGTCTCGAAAGGATCGTTCTCCAGCTGTGACAGTCTGTTACGACGTCTTTTTCAAGTGTTACGTTGTAACATCCATTTCAAGTAACTCCCAAAAAGTTGTGGATGCTACGCTGTAACATCCATTTCAACCAACTCCAAGACGCTCTGGATCCTACACTGTAACAGTCTGTACCATCCATTTGAAGTCAGTTCCAAGATGCTCTGGATGCTACGTTGTAACATCCACTTGAAGTCACTCCCAAAGACCCTCTGGATGCTATGTTTGTAACATCCATTTCAATCGAGACTTCCCAAACGCCAATCAACTTCCAAGATTCTCTGGATGCTACGTTGTATCAGCCATGTGAAGCAATTTCCAAGACGCTGTGGGTGCTACGTTGGAATATCCGTTGCAAGCAGCTGTCAAGACTCTTGGGATCCTACGTTGTAATATCCTTTTGAAGTCAGTTGCAAGACGCTCTGGATGCTACGTTGTAACATCCTGAAGTCACTTCCAAGACGCTCTGGATGCTATGTTTGTAGCATCCATTTCAATCGACTTCCCAAACGCTTTGGATGCTACGTTGTAGCATCCATTTCAATCAACTTCCAAGATGCTCTGGATGCTACGTTGTATCAGCCACGCGAAGCAATTTCCAAGAGGCTGTGGGTGCTACGTTGGAAGAACCGTTGCAAGCAGCTGTCAAGACTCTTGGGATCCTACGTTGTAACATCCTGTTGAAGTCAGTTGCAAGACGCTCTGGATGCTGCGTTGTAACATCCACTTGAAGTCACTTCCAAGACGTTCTGGATGCTATGTTGTAACATCCTTTTCAATCAACTTCCAAGATGCTCTGGATGCTACGTTGCAACCTCCGTTTCAATCATGTGTGGTTGCAGTGTCTGCATGTGAGCAGACGATGCTTTAATTGCACTGAATTTTTGCCAGAGGTAGCAGATGTGTTTGATAGCCAGTGTGGTAACTAAGATGTAATGTAATGTACAAGTGTAAAAATGCAAGTGAACACAAGTCCCCCCCTAACCAATGCCGCCAGGCCCCCCTAAATGCCCCTTGTCCCCAGATCAAACCCTAAAAACTTGAATGACTTATTCAGCCGAAAGGCAAGTGACCCCGTGCCCCCCGAACCAATGTCCCCAAGTTCCCCCCTAACCATCCCTAACCAATGTCCCCAAGTCCCCCCTAAGTGTCCAGGTAAAACCCTAAAAGGTTGAATGGTTTATTCAATGGTGAGGCAAGTGACCTAACCAATGTCCCCAAGTCCCCCCTGACCAATGTCCCCAAGTCCCCCCTAAATGTCCGTTGTCCCCAGGTCAAACCCTAAAAGATCGAATGGTTTGTTCACTGGAAAAGTTTGTGAGGTAGGGGCGAATGTGACCCAGTTGGGGTAGGGGCGAATGTGACCCCCGTCCCTAATGCTACTGTAGTAAAGCAATAATAACCCACCTATAATTTGATGGTTTATGCCACCCATTTCAGATAAATTTACGGCTGGTTTACTATTGCTTACCTACATTACTGTGGATGCCAAACATCCTGCACCAGTTGGAGATTCTTATATCGGTTGCTTAAAAACCACTGTAAATAATGGGATTATCATCGGATAAAGCATCTACCAACTGTTGTTTCTTCCATCCACAGTAGCCATTGAAAATGGCCCGTGTATAGCTGATAGTTATTCAATGATTTGCCACATCAAGATTATGGTTTGCATTGTCACGTTTGATTACCGGAGGGTAATGGATGATAGTTATCATCACCAAGTTGATATTATCAATGGAAGTTGGTGAATCAAGTGATATGATCGAGTATGATACAATCAATGGATTTTGATGATGACTATTGATGATAGCATATGATAACTGTTAATGATGTAATGCAATTGATAGTTATTGATGATAGTTATTGGCTTTGAAAGCACAATGATTCCAATTGGTAACAATATTATATAGTTGACAACCATCATTGATAATACATAACCATAATACGTATTGGCAATCATAGGTATAAGGGAAATGGAAGATTATCTTAGGTCGTATTGCCCAAATCATCATTCCCATTTTCTCCTTCGTCCGCTCAACTCAGGTTCTGTAAATGTCGCCCTCCTGAGCGGCAGTATGATGTGACTGATTTGGTCAGATTCGTTTTGCTGCAAAGTAACATTAAATAACATCCTTCCGATTATATAAACCCGGCAGAAACCATGTGATACTATTTACCACCAGTTACCAACAGTATCTTACCAAATACTTTCGTTCGAGTGTTTGCGCTCTCACTTGGCATAGGAACGCACTGGACCATAGAAGGTCCCTTTACCTTCGCAGAGCACTGACAATTCGTGCCTCATGGAAGACCCAAAAAGGCGGTTCAGCGTATGCTACGAGGTTTAGGACACGGCGACCTTGCCACAAGGTTTCACAATCAATTGTAGTAATGAATATTGCTCTAGTTGTATAAGTATGTTTTGCATACCCTTCTGTGGATGTTTGACCCAGTGACGCATATTTGTTCGGGGGGATTCAGTTGAAACTAATCCGAAAATAAACCATCAACCCTTCTTGTCTGGATGATTCAATTGTGATCGCTTGTGGCTCGAAAGACAGCTGTATTCAATCTCTCGTGTCGACGAAGCCGTCATCTCCAGGCTTTATTTATGCATGATGAGGTCGATATACAAGAAGGGATGAATCACAACTACCCATTATATATTTAATATAATGGAGATGTTAAGGTATTCCCTGGAAAACTTCACCATGTTAGACAAAACGATGCCACTTGACGTTCCAGCTTTGTCCAACATGGAGGTGACAAGATGACGAGAGCGTCAGGCACCAACCGCCGGCATGCAAACCCTGCCCGGAGGTCAGATACCAAGGCTGACAAAAAGGGAAGACCAAAGCCATCAAGGTCCAGCTCAGTTTTGCGTGGAGGCTATGCAGGTTTTTGTCCTTTGGAGATGACTGGCGCTGGAATTTCGGGAGGCGGTGGCCGTGTGGAAAGGAAACATTGGACAGAGCTGAATCCACAAGACTTCTTTGAGAGCTATGTGAAAGCACGAAAGCCTCTGGTCATAAGTACTGATGGCGTTTCGGGTGGAGCTTTAGGGATGCTTTTTGGTTTGCAGGGTGAAGCTGCCAAGTGGTCATTGCCAGGGCTGCAGGGCATGAAGGCCATGAGAAGTAGCGGGGCTGCAAACTGCGAGGTTTTTGTGGAACGCAGGCCTGAAAAGTCGAGTTTGTTTGGCCAAAGCGATGACGTCAGCAGGGAGAAGACAACCTTTGGTGACTTCTGCCGGGAACTCGAGAGTGGGAATGAGCTGGCATATTTGACAACACAAGCCCTGGAGGATGCTGATGGCTGCCCAAAGTCGCTTGCTGCAGACCATGTCTTGAAACTATTGACCGGTTGCCAATCTCTCCGCCCAAATCTAATCGGCAATTTGACTCCAGTGCAGTATAACATGTGGTTTGGGAGGTCTTCAGAGGGATCTTCCTCGGGTTTGCATCATGATTTTCATGACAACATCTATGTTTTGTTGCGTGGGCGAAAAGAATTCCGGCTGTTTAGTCCCAGATGTTTGGATGTTCTTGCTCCTGCTGGTCTACGGCAAGCACAGCTTCACTCCAATGGGCTCATTTCATATGTGCCGGGTCTTCGAGATGATGGTGCTCCCACTGTTGCTGTTCGAGACTGGCGGGAAGGAGCAAAGCAGGGCAGCTCAGTAAATCAACAGCCATCCATGAATGACAGTAGTGAAGATGAGGAGGAATTAGAGCAGATGCTGAACGACGTCCTCAGCGCAGACATTGACGCCGGCTCCGACCAACCAGAGCAAGGCTCTTTGCCAGACAGTTTTTGTCGAGCAAGCACCATGTCCAGAAGTGCACCCATCCCCAAGATTTTGGAGGGTCGTCACATCACTGCTGACTTAGGAGTAGGAGACCTGCTGTACTTACCCGCCAGCTGGTTTCATGAAGTGATTTCCTATGGTGGTGACTCCGGTGGGCATTTGGCCCTGAACCTGTGGATGGCACCGCCTCACTGGGGATCAACCTGGCAAGCACCTTATGAAGATGGCTTCTGGGAGTCCTTCTTCCAGAGGTTGAATCCGATGCCGGCGCCACCTGGCAGCTCCGAAGGACGTCCCCAGAAATCTTTCGCCAAAGTGCGAAAGTCAAAGCGACTTCCTTTCACACACGCAGCTCGTTTGCCACGGAGAATCAAGAACCCTGCCATTGAGTGATTATCCAATATGTTCATATATATTCCGTATATCATCGGTTTTGCACATTTGTTGGTTTGGGTGTAGGGTTGTGTTCTCGTGTTTGGTTTGTTTTGATCTTTGCATTTGTAGGTGCTTGATGACTCATCACATAGATTATGTGAGTTGCGTCAGGTTGTATCTCGCTCAGCGTGAGCATGTTTTGAACCCAAACGTGCGCCCACGACAAAAACTGACAAACAATGATAATATAGCAATGGATTTCGGCCTGCGAGTGGCTGCAGGCAAAAGCTCACAAAGCGTCCTCGCAGGGCCCTCACTAGATTCTAGCTGTTCTCATCCTGGAGTTGCCAAGATCTTTTTGGATGTGGTAAGACTAGGGTGTGATAGTGATGTTGATAAATAAAATGAGTCATGTAGTCATGTAGTACTATCATACTATCTATACATTATTTGTAGATGATGTATGTTCTCATAGTATCCCATATGTATATTTTTGTTGCATGATGAGTAGCAATATTGCTGCGAACAACAAAGCAACTTGTGATTTTTTTTCGCATTTTTCTGCAGACTTTGGTAGGACGTGTCATTGAGCGTTTGAAATGGGGTTCTGAGACTTCACTCAGAAGATTTGTCGTCAAGAGGCCCAAGAGGCAACAAAATTACAACGGACAGGAGGCAGGGGGGGGGCAGGGCGGCCCAAAAAATCTGCACAATTGAGTCCGAGACTTGGATTCTGCCAGGAAACATCAGTTTCAAAAGGCCTCTCCAAAACTCGGAGGCCCTGGAGTTTTCAGTGCATGCAATTCATTCAAATTTATGCCAACAGGTTTCCAAGATTGAAACCAACAGAATTTTGGGCATGTTACATGTTTGTGGTTGCCGCTCCATTTTGGCTCAGCTGGCCTTGTTTTTTCTTTCCTCCCAGTCTTCCAACTTCTAGCGCTTCAAGGTGGGAGAGTTTGTGTGTTGAGTGGCGATGTCATTTTTTTTCTCTTCACTCTCACCTGTGACGATGATGCATCCAAGTGTTTTTTTCGATCGGGTTGAAATCACCAATTTTTTTTCCAGAGAGCAGACTGCCTGAGCTCAACCATTTCGTTCTGAAAAAACCGCAGGCCATGGGGCAAAACACGTCAACGGCAGTCCTAGAGGCTGTGAACACGATGACCGGGGGTGCGTTTCCAATGAAAGATCCGCTGGACGCTGCCGGCAGTTGCGTCTTCGATGACAAGGCCTGGCAAAAATTCGGAAGAAACCCATTGGTTTAGTACAGAATTTCCACACAATTGGAACCATTTATGGGGTGTTTCATATTAAGGGGATGGGATGATTGGCATTTTTATGTGGTAAAGTGATGATGAATTGAACCTGTAAAAAACATTCTGGAAGAAGTGTTTGACCAAGCCACTGTTTGCATACTGGCTAAAAGATGCAATTGCTCCACAAGGTGTGGTTTACCCTTTTCAGATGTGGCTATGGATCAATACCTATTAATACCATTTTTAATGGGATGAACATCCATTTACCAGCTATTTTTGATGTTCACCAGGGGTACAAGGTTTTGACACAGTGCCATGTCAGGTGATGGCTGAGAAGCTGCCCGCGGCGATTTTGAAGCGATTCCAGGACTGTTTGATCAGCGGCGATCCGACCACCGAGGAGGATCAAAAGATCATCGCGGACACGCTCTACGAATGGGTCGCTCTGGCTATGGACCTGTGGATCAAGAGCTTACATGAGTTTACTACATTGGATATTGGGGAACATCAAAAATAGTTGGCAAATGTTGGCAACTGGAATTTGAACATATTATGTTATAAGTTATAACATGTTATAACCCAAAACCATCCCCAAAATATAGTTCCGTTTTCATCCCCACATTTTACCGCAGGGACTTGAGGCTGGTCCTCATGGTCCTCTTGATGTCAAATCCAGCTTTTTGGTTCACCCTTGGGCTGTTGATGATTGGGGTGGAAAATCCCCCAGAAAGTTCTTGGATGTTCTTGGATTTCCCAGCCATGTTTGCTTACCGGAGGATACAATAAAAGTTATTCTCCATCATGGTTAACTCCAAAAATTTACCATGATATGAAAATCCATCATTCAACCATATCAACCATGAGTGCCAGCATGATTTCTCCATCACTGGCAAACGCCAACGTCCATCAACGTCGATCAACGGAGGCTCGAGAGCGAGGAGCCATCGATTTTGCACATTGGTTTTTTCCTTTGAGAGGCGGTGGTGGAGCCGTTGGTGGCATGTTGGGAGCCTTCAAACAGGACGCCGGACGTTCTGAAGAAAACGGGGCCGAAGTTCTGAATCGTGATGTAATCTCAAATTAAATCAATACAAAATGTAATTAAGCCAGTATAATTGCCTACAACCTAATATAATCCATGAATTTTATGATGAAATATATATATATAGTGAATAGTGAATAGATATATGTTCCCTCACATCTCTTCAACTCAGCCGTTCCGATGGAGGATACCCTGCTGGATTTGGACTTCGCTTCAAAGTATGTCACGAAGCCGATGAAGGTGCAGTCCGTGGATTCCCCCGAATAATAAACACGTGCAGTAGTTTTTTGTATTTGGGATTTAGTATTAGGGTGCGAAGTTGCCCCCTAATATAAATTGAAAACCTTCATACAAAAATCTATTTTTTTCTAGTTCATAATCGATTAAATTTCCTTTTAAAACTGAAACAAAATATTGCCAAAACTTTGATTTCGAAGTTTTCCCCGAATATTAAATTGAACACATTAATATAAACTAAAAAATATTTCAAAATCGATTGGATTTCCTTTTGAAACCTAATTAAACTATTGTGAATAAATGCATTTCGAAGCTTTCCCCTAATATCAAATTAAACCCTTAGTATAAAAGGATGTTTTTTTTTCGATCTTAAAAGACGGACCGTAATAAAAAAACACCCCTAGTTTTTATTATTAGGAGGTGAAACCCACAAATGGGCCCTTCATGTTTTAATTGTTTTTAAAGGGAATCAATTGAAAATCAAATTGGCCAGGCAGAAATTCCCAAAATTTAACGTGGGCCCTAGTTTTTTGTATTTGACCATTTGCCAAAAATACTTGACAGATTCTTGACAGAAGTTTTGTACCAGTTGTTGATAATTAGTCTGGACTTAGTGGTTTTTCCTCTTCGTTATGAGGCGGCACGCAACTAAATTCACCAATTCTGCAAGGCAGCCCCAGCAAACCCGCTAGGTTTGCACTAGTTGTTCACCCATATTTTTATGTGTTCCTGACTGCTTGTTATTTCAACATGAAGAAAAAACCAGATGTAATATTTAATTCCTGAAGTGATCCCTATCAGACCATATCAGACCAGTACCCTTTCATCCTACTGCGTTTACGGCTTGGACTCCAGGCGTGCCTCCCTGCTGAGAGACTCTTCCAGGGTGAAACTGATGGATCCTCCTTCCCCAACGGTGGTTTGCGCGTGACTCATTCAGCCGCCGCCTTCACTACTTGGGATAGGACCTCTGCTCCCTTTGTGTTGAACAAGACCCTGTACATCCCCTGTGCCTTTGTGACCCACTTTGGAAACTTGTATTTGCCGAGCTCGGTGGTTCTTTTTTGAGGAAATCTCCAATGACTGGGGAATCTACTGGGATTACTGGCACCTTTTTTGGGATGTTGGGATCGCACCCTTTCTAGAACGCACCAGGAAAATGCATCGATGAAAAGACCCCCTTGCTGCGTTCCATGGATGCCGTGAAGGTGCAAGGCCTACGTCTTTTGAAGGCCGTTGGCCTGGGAAAGGATGCCAACACCATGCACAGCTACCTTGGATGGGAACAGGAGCGAAAAAGTTTAACGGACATTTTTAAGGGCTTCCCATATCGGTTAAGCCACTACTGGGGAATCTACACGATGAGACTCCCAGTTGTAAGATCTTATAAGTTGGTTTATAAACCCCATTATATATCATGATATAACCAAGTTAGAAGATGTTATAAGTCAATGCAATCATCTTGCTGGGAAATGGTGACCCCGGGCCGGGACCCAAAATCCACCGCAGGAGTTTTTCGTCATTGATGCGGAACATTACAAAGCCCGACCCGACCTGGTGAACACCGGTCGAAGTCTTTTTGGCAAGTTGCCCACGCGTCACCAACAGGGAGACCTGAACTATTTCCAGCCCATTCCAACGTCCGTAGCCACACTCTTGGACCGTGTCCAAGCACTGATGTTAGAGGCACCAAGATTTAGCAACCCCAAGACAGAAAAGTTGGACACCAAAAATGAGGTGAATATTTTTCAACATCATCCTGGAAGTACGCTTCTATCTTTTTTGGGGATTACTATAACATCTAAATGAATTCGAATGAGGTTTGATACTAATTAAAAAGGCATAGCACAGTTGAAGAACAAAAGAATGCCCAAAATAACTGTTGCGCTTCATGGATGTGGATGGTTTGTGGGCTTCTGCTAACTATATTGCCACAATATTGCCTATCTAATAAGCTGATGAAATGGGTATTCTCCCATCTTGTTCGGTATTTTTCATCTATTCACCTTGGAAATCCCACTAGAAATACTAGAAAATGTAGCAGAAAATCGAAATATGTACCTTTACAGATACATATTTCATGATATTTCATGATATTTCATGATATTTCATGATATTTCATGGACTTCTTGTTGTTGAAACGGTTGCCGTTTTTAAAAACGCCAGGTGGGTTGCCCAATGGCCGTGAAGCACAATGAGGTGGCGCCCGGGCAGCACGAGATGTCCCCGGTCTTCCGGACGGCCAACGTCTCCTGCGATACCAATGTGCTCTTCATGGAGGTGTCAACAAATCCCAAAGTTGGGCCTGGAAAGTCTGGAAAGATCAGAATCATATTGTGGTAAACATAATAGTATGGTAATATGATTTATTTATATATATATATATTGATTTACTTATTATATATATATATATATTGTGTATAAGATAGTATTTCACGATATGCCACATGAAATATATGTTGTATCACATGTTGTGACCTATTGTGAAATATTGTTACATACTATGAGATGTTATAACATGTTTCTGTTTGATTTTGTTTGGGGGGGGTGCTAGATAGACATCACATCTCATTGAAATTGCCACAAATTGGGTCAAGACTTGAAACCTCGTCAACTTGCACAGCTAAAATTTCAGGGAACTTAAGATTTAGCATTGAACCAACAAGGGATCCCATGGTTAGTTATCACTGTTATCACATTGAATTCCCATGAAATTACCCATTGTTTGTTATCGTGCCGCTTGCCATTTGTCACTTAGCCCCGTATGATTTGCCAGGTCATGAACCGAGAAGCACAGAAGTTGGGCCTGCAGGTCTTGTTCCACGAAAAGCCCTTTGCGGGAATCAATGGCAGTGGAAAGCATGCCAATTGGTCGGTAGGCGGGACCTGGGATGACCAGGGACGACCTGATGGGACGAGATGGGACGAGAGTTGGCAGGTGACATGGCACCCCTGGAAGACTTGGATGGGCATTTTAAGCGGTTACTTGATCTTTTCCCATAAATAGACAGATTTACCAGGCAGCTAAGAAAATGAAAACCTGGGCGTGCCTGAAAATCAACACATGGAAAATGAAAGCAGTAGTTTTGGGGCCACCTTATTTTCAAACAAACCCACCTGGGTGGAAAGTTACTCGGAAGTGTTGAAAAGGATTGACAGATATGGTGAATGATATCTGGGATGTTCACAGATTCGTTGCTGATTCCAAAGGATCTAGAATCTAGGAGTACCAAAGGGTCTGCAATTGCCTTTTTGAATGCTAAAGCAACAGCACGTGCCACGCGTGCCACGCGAGGTTTTAAGTGAAATAACCATTGAGACACTGGCTTCTTTCAATGGATTATTTCAGGGAAAAAGGAAACAATGGTCTTTATCCCAGAAGCCCAGGGTGTTGTGTTTTTTTCAGCTCTCCCCTGCAGGTACTGACACTGGTTTGAACTTCTTTTATCTTGGCAAGACAGAAGAGGGTGCCAAGCTCTTTGTTACGGGCATCGCCTGTTTGTCCTATGGTCTTGCCCAATACAATGAGTCTTGGCTTGAAACGTCCAGACAAGACTGTGGACATTTGTCTGAATGTTGCTGGTACAACGAGGGTATGATGAAGAATCATGCAGGTAATTGATTGTAATTGTGATTTGTTTTATATGTTTGAGGGTTTGCCCAAAAATGAACATGATGATTGATCAAGCATCACAGTAATTAAATTGTTGGGGGACCCAAAAAGTCAGAGAAACGGACTTCCGAAAGATGCACAACATGACCCAGCCCTCCAACCATTCCCAATGGATGGCATATTCCCAACCAGGTGGGGTGGATTCCCATGTTAGCTTGGTCAAAGTATCTGCTATCGCCATTGAAACCTCCAATGAAGTTACTGGTGGTGTTTTATACTTTATTTATGAAACAAATCAATACATATCAAGAGTATGTATCCCCTTATCTTAGATATTATGATTATTATGTAATGTGCCTTGCTTTTATCCCCATTGTTCTTGAAAGGCACGTGCATCCAGGATTCCCCAGATTTTGGAAGTCATTGGTTTATCTTTTTTTTGATGGCACATATGTGCTGAGTTAGTTTGGGGATTTCCCGGCCAGGTTTGAGTTCCCAGCCATGCAATTTTCAACACATCCCTAGCAATTCGCTTTTGATGGCATCCCATTAAACAACATCGATATAACTAGCCATCATTGAATTCCATTTTTTTCAAAGTGATCTTAGGAATATGACCCAGTGATCTATAGAATCTATGGCTTTAACCCAGCAACGTACCAACTTCGTAAATTACTAAGCTACTATACCAACAAAACACAATATAACCGATGAAATCTTCAACGAGTTACCCATTGAATCATTGAACACCATTGTAAGAACATGCAATTGACTCCCATGAAATCCCATCTAAATCCCATGTCTTCAGTATATCCAACTAAATCCCATGAAATCATATTACATCCTCCTGAAATATCCGATTAAATCCCATCTAAATCCGAAAATCCCATCCGAAAAAAAATGAAAAAAAATATTATTATCATGATTTTTCATGAATTTCCATTGTTTGCAGTATAACTGTACAACCATCAATAAGTTTACAGCATTGTAAACATCCCCACGACAGGAATTGGTTCGTTGCACCGTGGCCACCGCGGGCAACGACCATCGCCTGGGGGCGCAAGAAGCCCCACCGGCGATCATCTCGTGGCCTGGTCAAAAGATTTCAGTACCCAAAATTACCCATGGGAGTTTGGTGATTGATGATTGTTCAGGTGAGTTGTTTGATGTTTTAAGATTAAGATGATGATCCATTGATTAGTTTTTTTGGTGGATTTGAGTATGAAAAAATAGGATTGGATGAGCGAAATGTTGTGGCATTGAAGTGCTAGGACGGACATATTATATATATAATATGGAATCATTGCAAGTGTTGGAGATTTATATGATTTGAATGAATGGCAACAAATGGGGATATGGGTTTGTTACAAGATTTGCATCTGTATTCGTGGGCTTACGCCCGACAGCCGGCCAGGGGCCCACTTGAGGGTATAGAATAATTGAGAGCAAAGGATCACAAATATACTATAAATAAGAAAGGGGCGCATGGGAAAGCCAAAAAACACCGTAAAATGCAGGGTGATTGTAGGGTCGGCGGTTATTGTTCTTGTTGCTGTTGCCGTTGTTGTTGTTGTTTGTTTGTTTGTTTGTTTGTTTGTTTGTTTCTTTGTTTCTTTGTTTCTTTGTTTCTTTGTTTCTTTGTTTGTTTCTTTGTTTCTTTGTTTGGTTGTTTGTTTGTTTGTTGTTTGTTTGTTGTTTGTTTGTTTGTTTGTTTGTTTGTTTGTTTGTGTGTTTGTTTGTTTGTTTGTTTGTTTGTTTGTTTGTTTGTTTTGGTTTGGTTTGTTTGTTTGTTTGTTTGTTTGTTGTTTGTTGTGTGTTGTGTGATGTTTGTTGTTTGTTGTTTGTTGTTTGTTGTGTGTTGTTTGTTGTTTGTTGTGGTTGTTGTTGCCGTTGTCGTTGTCGTTGTTGTTGTTGTTGTTGTTGTCGTTGTTGTCGTCGTTGTTGTTGTTGTTGCTGTTGTTGTTGCTGCTGCTGCTGCTGCTGTTGTGGTTGTGGTTGTGGCCCATCCGCAAGGTCTGCAGTAGGCGCATCTTGGGGCGAGGTTGACCCAGCTTGCGGCTATGTTGGCCCCTCTTGGACCAGCTTGGGGCTATATGTTGTTGGCCCATCTTGGGGCTATGTGGGCCCGTCTTGGGGCCATCTTGGGGATGTGGGCCCAGCTTGCAGGCCACGTTGGGCCATTTGGGGGCTCGCCCCTGTTGGGGCTTATGTGGGGCCATGTTGACCCATCTTGATCCACAAGATCGGAAAAAATGGAGAGCAACAAAACAGCGTAAACTGCGGGGTGTTTGGCAGTGAAGGGGGGTGGGTCGGCTGAAGGGGGCGTCGGCGGCAGGGGCGGGAGCCCCTCTCTCCTACCAAGAAAAAAAGAAGAGCTGCCGTGCGGCAATGCCACGCTGCCGCCCCCTGCCGCCCCCTGCCGCCGGGGATGTAACACAATTCTAATAGGGAAGATGGTGGGAGGATTCTTGATAGACCGATGAAGCATAGCAGTGGGTCATTTGGAAGCAACCATGAACATAGTATGACCCACACCTCCCGTGTCCGCTGGACCTTGGATCACAAGCCACAGTGAAGCATACCCCAATATTAGCAATATATAGTGGTTCAGTGCGATGCTCATTCCCCTTGTTCCTGTGATCTGCCATTCAAAAGTATGCGTCACTGGTGAAGAAGCTGTCACTAGCGAACACACGTCGAAAGCTGTGACCAGTAATGAACACCGCATGTACTAGGTGCGAGGCGGCAGGGAAATTAATTAGTCGGGTTTGATCCCTGCCTATACTTGCATGTTCAAGAGGAGATCTAGGGGGATTGAGCTGGCATTTTGATTCTCAAAGTAAAACATCAACATGGTTTGAAGGCAGCCAAGGCAAGGAGGGGGAAAGAAGCATAAACGTGGGGTATGGCTGACACCATGGGTGAGATTCTTGCTTGCAGATTTGTTCCATGCAATTTCAACTGCTCATGTTGCAACGTTGCTCGATGCTTTGCTTCAAGGGCAATGCCCTAATTTCAATGAAGCGGGCGTTTGCCCTCTTTACGCCAGTCTTCTTTTAATGTGACCTCCCGCGTCTTCTCAAGCAGGCCAGATTGTTAATGCACTCTGCCAAGCCATGGCAGATGTGGATTGCCGCTTGGATTTCAGCGGCAGGCCGATGCATTTAGCTTGCAGACAAGGTTTGCACGAGGCAGCTGCAAGCTTGTTGAAAGCTACGGCAGATGTGAATGCACACGACAATGAGCATGACACGCCGCTCCACGTTGCCGCAGTTGCTGGGGATCTCGCATGTGTGCGTCTGCTGATCGAAAGTTCAGCAGATGTTGGCGCCACGAATCTCCTCGCGGAAACCGCGCTTGCCGCTGCTGTTGATACACGTCCATCTTGCCATTTCCTTGATAGACGTTCAGCATGCAACATCGTGGCCTTGCTGATGGATGCCAAGTGGCCGCAGGATTGCGGTTCGATTATGTTCATGAACATGTCGGTACTGGCGCCGTCACTGGGTCTATCGCGGTTTAAACTCTTTTCTGCTGCTTCTGCATTCTCTAAGCAGAAAGAGTTTTACCCAGATTTGCAAGTTTCGGGCGGCTCTTGTTCTTCGAGCTTTTGGCGAGCACTGCAATGCTCATGATCATCATCACCATCAACAACAACGTGCATATATCACCATCATCAGCATCATCATCATCATCATCACCATCACCATCATCATTACCATCATCCTTACCATCAGAATCATCCCTACCATCATCCTTACCATCATCATCATCATCATCAGCAGCAGCAGCAGCATTGCCATCATCATCATCATCATCATCATCACCATCATCATGATCATCTTCATCAGCAGCATTGCCATCATCACCATCACCTGTATATTTTCTTTGCCTACAAGACCCGAAGCATGCAAGAAACATGTTGTATAAAGGCATGAGTCTTCACGAGGGAAGGCACATGACATCAGATATGTGAAAGGTTGTTTGATGGCAAATGTGGCCATGGTAAATATTTCCCAGTTGTGATGACATGTTTGAGGATCACGAGGACAGTTTTTGATATGCAGGGTTTTAAGACTGCGGTCGCTGTTGAATTTCACCAACAGGATTGATTCAGTTTGCGGCTGTGAGCTACTTGTAAACAACACTGACACTCATAGGCACAATATCGCGCAGCATTGGAAGCTTCTGCATATAACGCGTCATGCATATTCCCATTAAAAGAGGCCTGATCGCGCAGCATCATGTCCGTGTGCAAATGCAAGAGAAGATCTCACAGCCTAGCATTGTGAAGTGCTACCCAGGGAACCGTTGAACGTGGTTTCAACAATTAATTAATAAGATATCTGTAAAGAAAATATAAAAAAATAGTGACCAGAACTGTGCCCGGAAAAAAATAGTGAAAAAACATAGTGACCAGAACTGTACCCGGAAAAAAAAAAAAGTGAAAATAATAGTGACCAGAACTGTACCTGGAAAAACATAGCGAACAAAAAATAGTGACCAGAACTGTACCCAGAAAAAATAGTGAACAAAAAATAGTGACCAGAACTGTACCCAGACAAGAATAGTGAAAAAAAAGTGAAAAAATGTAACTTGTGAGTAGGGAGAATCACAAATAGCAAAAAAAAGTGTAATGTAGGCTGCCTAATAGTAAATCGCCCCCTAAATAAAATAATTATTTTAACAAATTTAGGGGGGTCAGCATTCCAATAGTAAATTTTTGGAACCTTATAGCTGGGATCATGGAAGTGGGGGCAGAGGTGGTGGAGGCGAAGGAGGAGGACGAGGAGGAGGAGAAGAAGGAGAAGAAGGAGAAGGAGAAGGAGGACAACAAAATTGGAGTCGCGGAAAAAAGTTTCCACTATTGCCATGCCTGGTGCAGATTTGTTATTGCTATTCTGGGGCTTGCAAAGGGGGTACCCTTTGTGGACCTGTTTTCTTGCTTTTTTTGATAAAGGTTTTATAAGGAAATCAGCTGTTTGGTAATTGAATCAGATTTCTGGAATCTAAGCTTTTGCTAATCAAAAGTGAAGGCTGCTTTGAAAAGGATTTGCTTTACTTGACTCTTTTGGCAATACTAAAAGTAAATGGAACTAATTGACTTTTAGTATTGGAGAAAAAATTGGAGTTGGGAAAAAAGTTTCCACTATTGCCATGTTGGGTCCACTATTGGCCATGCCCTCGGGACAAGGTCTGAACATGACTCTTTTGGCAATACTAAAAGTAAATGGAGCTAATTGACTTTTAGTATTGGAGAAAAATTGGAGTTGCGGAAAAATGTTTCTACTATTGACAAAATATCACTATTGGCTAGACAACATTGCCCTTACGAGGAGAACAGAAAAATTGTCAGGTTTGGCACATGATTAGACACGCACTTAGACCCTAAATCATTACCACTCCCTCCCACCCTAGACCGTAAAAGGTAAAACCATTGGCATTGTAAGGTGGTTCTGTCTCTCGTTGATGTACCGCCAGGCAAAACCGCTTGCCCGCCATGAATTTCAACGCGCGTCGGGTGCAGGATAGCAATGCCGGACGTTACCTTCTGAAGCCTCTAGAAAACCAGCTCTGAACCACGCCGCCAGTGTCAAACGTGGGATCACCACAGCAAAACAGCATGGAGCTGGCAGTTTCGACGGGTGTCGGGCTGCTGGACACTATGGAGCTGACTATATCCGCGGTAGAAACGGAGTAACATCTCTTGTCGCACGCGCTCCCTTTGCCGTCGGCTGGGGTCGGTGGATATTGTGTAATCATATCTCTCGAGAAGGAGAGAGAGGGGGAGAGAAAGAGAGAGGCGAGGTGATAAGGCCGACATGAACTTCCAAATATGTTGGGCTACGTCTCCACAATATTAGCATGATCAAATTTTTTTGGGCCATGATTTCTAAAGTCTGAGGCTGTACCCAGGGCAAGGCTTTGAGCAGTACGTGGACAGCATCATCGCAGGGGGTGACTTGCTGGGATACAAAGCAGAGAAGAAAAAACAGCCGACGGGATGCTCCCAAGCCATGTTCATTGAGGCCAATGTGGAGGACTTGGACCCCGGCGATGCCTAAGGTATCCTAAGGTTTTTGCTGTGAAATAGTGAGGTGTTTTTGAATTTCAAGGTCAACCGTGAAGTTGTTTCTTCATTTCTGATGTTCGAGCTGACAGTCCCAAAACATCTCCCAGCATCTAAGCCAACCCCAAGGCCCAGCACCGCAGGATCGCAACCGCACAGCTCCCTTCCCCTTCTGCGGCAATCGCTTTGAGTTCCGTGCCGTGGGCTCCTCGCAGAACTGCTGCCTGCCGGTGATGGTTTGCAACGCCATCATGGCTGCTGGCATGGGAAAACTGGCGGGGATGATCGAGGGAGGCATGAGCCACCGGGATGCTGTGGCCGCCATGTACAAGGATGTCCGTGGTGGTGCTGGGGTTGGAGATGGTGGGGTTTGATACTTGGGACGAAGATTGGGCCCAAATGGTGGAGTTGAGCAGAGTTTAATAATCTAATATAATCTAATAGTGTCCTGATCCCTTGTTTTACAACGGTTTCATTTCATCATTTAGAGTTTATATAGACACTCTAAGATGCGCAGGATTTTGGTAAAAAATTGGACTGCTGCAGGAAAACAAACACGTGATTTTTACTGGCAACGGCTACTCTGACGAGTGGAAGCAAGATGCCGCGAAGAGGGGCCCGAAACCCAGCCCATCATTTTTGTCGAAGACACTTGAAGAGTTGGCACAAATTAAGAACCAAAACAGATGTTTTTTGTTGAGTATTCCACAACTAATTAACCACCAACAAATCAGATCATTAACCATCAATCAGATTTGCCACATATCAAAATTCATGGAAACTACCCTCCGGTAATCAGCTCCATGGCGTGAAAATCCACCCGCCAGAGTTCGATGATTTTCCCACCGAACTCAACCTCTATTTAGTTCGGGATTTCCCAGCCACGTTTGATGATACCGAACCATTGACATCCATTGACATCCGTTGACACCAAACCAGTTCAGTTGTCGTGGTTTCGTACTCTGAGGTTTGCCAAATCTCAATACGACACCGAAGGCATTGGCGACCTGGAACTCGGACAAGAACTCCAAATTGCTCCATGGCGGCTCCATGGGGGTCAACCAAGGAGGAAATGGTGATATAATGGGCCAATGGGGATGTTCATGGTGATTTCAAGGGTAGATATACATATATATATATATAATTATATATATATATATATGGTTGGATCTACTAGCCAAGTATATTCAATTTGGGTGTGGTACCTGAAAATAGGGATATCCCTGATATCCCTTTTTTCATGGTCATCAAATAATGGGGAGAATATATGAACATATTGGAACATGATGTTTTCAAACCATCAAATTTTGGGGTATCCAACGTTTGGACAAACCAACAGTTTGGACAATTTTGATGGTGGCCAGAAATGCTGGTTTGTGACTAAGTGGCGATGGATCAAATCACTGGGTCAATGAGTCATACCCATGTCATTTTGGCCTTGCTCAGCCTTGCTCATTTTGTATTTTGGACAGGGAATACTGATGAAGAGGTATGTGTGCAAAGGGCATTGCGAGTGTTTGATATGTTTGAAATTGGTTCCAACACATGGACAAAAGGTATGCACCGTCTTGCTGGTTTGTTTGCTTGTTTTTGTGTGTTTTTTTTGGGTGTGTGTGTGTGTGTTGTCATGTTCCTGTCTATATGTCAACACATACTCCAAGGCATCATTGTGATGAGTCGTGTTTCGCGTGTGAATCGCGGCCCAGGTTTGAGACTTTGAAAATCTACACTCCAGAGGAAACAGCAGCAAGGCAAGAAGTCCCTAGGTTGCATCAATAATTGGACTGCGGTGTGATGGTTGGTTGGATAGCATGGAGATCCATTTTTCACAGCTAATCTGGAGGCTGATTGTTGATGGATAATATGCCTGTTCGATCCTGTCTGCATGGATTTCGCAAAGCCTTGTTATCGGCTTTTCTAGTAGCCCCCGTACTTTTGCAGTATCCGGAGTCCCGTTTGGTCACTTCCGCTAAGTCTCTAAGTCACTACAGGATGGGCCCCCCCAGTTACAAGTTGGTTTATAACCCCATCTAAATCCGCCCGCACCGAAGGTGCTGGGGCGTGATCTTCCGGATGGCACTCGTAAAAGGTTACAGGTTTACCTGGGGGGGGGGCATTTTTCGGCCAAAACCTCCTGTTTTTGATAGGTCGTGACGCTCGCCTTCAAAAAACACTGTAAAAAACAGTACGGAAGACACCTGTTCGTGAACGCGCCCGTCCAAAATCGGCAAGCGAAAAGTGAAAAAAAACCGTGTTTTTCAACTTTTTGACCTCAATTTTTTGGTTTGCAACATCTTTTTTTGCGGTTCCGCAGGTGGCCGGGCCCGGAGGCGGATTTTTGAGTTTTTGGACCCGTTTTCGGACTGATTTTCGTCGTTTTGTGATAGCAGAAACACTGGTTTTTACAGTTTTACAGTGTTTTTCTGTTTTCTGCATGCTTGACGGCTAGCTTCAAAACTTCCAAAAACCTCGTAAATTACGCTGTTTTATGTTACGGTGTGAATGAAAACATCGTAAATACCAGTGTTTTTTGACGTTGGTTAAAAAAAACACTGTAAATTACAGTGTTTTTGGCCACCTGACCCTCAAAAACCATGGTATTTGCAGTGGTTTCTGCTTCTCACCGCGCAAAAACACTGTAAATAACAGCAATTTCGCCGTTTTTTCATGTTTTTCGTTATTTTTTGAACTGCGTTGGTCCGCTATACACATGGCTATCAAATTCTTCGCGTTTTTCTTTCCGACAATCAGTACTTTCGGATGTTTTTGGTCTCAATGGCCGACATCATTGGCAGTTACGAGCGGCTGCCCAACGATGTGGTGCGGGCGGTTGCCGTCGCGAAGCGACGTGAATATAGTTATAAGTTATAAGTATCATACACTACTATTATAGTTACGAACCAACTTAGCTAACTATGGGGCCCCATCCTGTAAGTTATAGTTGCTTTAATGATGGACTCATCCAATGCGGTCCTGCCTTCCACCTTAAACTTGACATCCCCTGCTTGGGGTAGCAGTTCAGGCTTCATGGGTACAACGATGTTGAACCCCCATAAGTTGGGATTTAGCCACTACAACTAGGTCAATTTTGGATGGGTAGTTTAATCCTTTAGTCTTTTGGTATCAATGGGATTATCTACTAACCACAATGGGATTATCTACTAACCAACTAAGAAGTTATTTTTATGCAAGGTATCTAAGACTGGCCATGATAAAACTATATATAAATGATATATAATATATATGATGTTATATGCACGGTCCCGCAGTCATAAGTTGGTTTGTAAACCCATGAATACTATAGATGTATCTAGGACCAATCTAGGATAGACCATGATAGACCATAGTTACCGTAGCTATGTTCACCAACCTAGCTATCGTAACCGGTGGCGTCACCTTGTCATTGGGCATTGAACATTCCAACCACCAGATATATTAATAAATGGGTATATATCAGTATATCAGTATATCACAACCTTAAATTTATGGGGTTTATATCCCAACTGGAGGTTTTTCGCCCAATCATGGACCTTTGCACCTTTGCTCCTGTGAGGTCATGTACGAGAACTACATCAGCTGTTTAAGCACAGAGGCTGAGACCATGGTGGACATGACTGAGACCGGCATCCTTCCGGCCTGCGCCAGGGACTTGCAGAAGTCGAGTACTGCAAACCAGAAATACACCGTCCCCAGAAAGGTCGCCTATGAAGCCATTGTTGATGAGTTCCTTGGGCCATTTTTTGGGCTATTTTTTGGTGCCATGAATTTTATTGGATCTAAATGGATCATTCAACACAGTTGCGTTGCCGCTTGAAAACACTCTCTTTGCCCATGAGCACTGGTCGTATCAATCATTTAAGCTGAATTTTCAACTATCTAGATATCAGACCATTTTGATCCCTAGATAAAAGACGATACAGTAAAAGGTCTTAAAACATCTTAAAGCTCTTTCCAGCAACAAATGCCAGTTCCTTCCTCCCTTTTTGACCAAACATATTACGCCTTGAACACAAAATCCCAGAATTGAATCGAACATTTGCAGGGTTTGCCACAACATTTGCTGGGAAATCCATGATTTCAACTTGTCAACCGTCCATTTTCCCAACAAGACCCATCCATTGAGAAATGTTTGAGGCTTGAGAAGCTCAAGAGTTGCTTGGAATCAAAGCCACATGGAGATTTGGTAAAGGAGGCGGATTATTTCTGCGACACCGTGAAGCCGTTGATGGTTTCCCTGAGAAAGGCGGGGTGGATGGGGTGGGCTGAAGAGATTGGAAAAGCATGATAATGATAGCCCATTGGAATTGGGGGTCCCCTAGTTTCAGGCATGTTGGTTTTGGTAGCCAAGTCGATGCGGTTGGTAGGAGAGATTGCACTGACATGTTGGCGAGTTGCGTCGGGGACATGACTTTTTTGGTGGTTGAACGATGGCTGTGGAGGAAATATGTTTTTCTAGTAGATATACGTGTTGGGAATGGTGTAATTTGTACTCATTCCATCCACTGTCCAATCATCATTATCCCTCGTAGAATTGCCATGAATTGAAGGCTAATCACCCATTTTCAGTCATGCCCATAATACCCCATAATCATAGTGTATCATATTGTTGGTTATACGGTTATTTGGTTCTTATTTGATTCTTATTTGATTCTTATTTAATCCCATCATGAAATCCGCACTATATAATCCTGCTATATCCCACTGCTATATCCCACTATACTCTCTGGTTATTCAACAAAGCTATGGACACTTGCCCATAGAAGTAGATGATGAGATACATAGATAGATAGATTGATTGATAGATAGATTGATTGATTGATAGATTGATAGATAGATTAGTTTGTTTGTTTGTTTGTTTGTTTGTTTGTTAGTTAGATTGATTGATTGATTGATTGATTAGTTAGATAGATAGATTGATTATTTACCTAGCTATATATATATATTGATGTTTTCCAGTTTGCTACGTTAAATCACCAGATGGTAAATCCCATGAAATCCCATTAAGTCACCATAAACCTTGGTTAATCCCATTAAATCCCTGTCAAATCCCATTCAATCCCATTAAATCTTATATAAAATCACCATAACCCCAAGTTCACACCCCCATTAAATCCCTGAAATGTCCTTTCCAATTCACAGTTGGCCTCAGGCAGTGGACACGGCTGAGTCGCTCATGGAGGCTGGTGACTTGGCGGACTTCAGGATAGCGCCGTTGGAGAGCGTTCAATTGCCTTAAGCCAGTGGCTGAATTCTATGGTTTGTGGTTGATATAACTATAGTAATTAGTAACCATAAACATCCATAAACCATAAACCATAGTTAAGCCACTAAAAACTAGCCATTAACCTGTTAACAGGACTTATTGTGGTGGCTGACAGGAATAATTAGTAACTATAGATAACTATAGTAATGGTTAACTATACTTAACAGGAATTATTGGATGAATGGTTAACTATACTAATTATGGCCAATGATGGCGAATGGTGGCAAAAATTTGCTGCTGAACTTCACCTTAGGGAATGGATGGGAATGATCCATAACTATTCACAATCATCAAATCCCCCCCATTACGTAGCACCTTTTTTTAGGACCAACAATATTCAGGGCTTGGTAAATGTCTCATTTGTCCCATTTTGGGCATTTGGTTCACATCACTTTCGATATTTGGGTGATGTTCAGTTAGGACACTTACCAACCCCTGAAATGATCAAACATGGCGGTAAACCAACTATCTTATGGTAATTGGGAATATATATATATAGAAAAATATAGGTGGAAACCAAATGCCAAATGACCCCTTTTTTGGATGGTTAAGCCTCAATCTTATGGGTCAATACCTTCAAAACAATGGTCATGTGGATTCCATATTATATATATATGTACAACAAGATGATACGTGGGTGTTCCAAAAATGGGACTGTATTCTCCATTTGCTGGAAAGGCAAGCCAATGTGCATCCCAGTTACTGAGTGGTTAGAAAGTTATGTAAATACAAGTGGGTAAGTGGGTATCAACAGGGTTCTGAACTTCCACTTGCCAACTTGGACACACGTCCAATATGTAAACATAAAATTTTGAAATGCCCACGTCTGGAAACTTCGCAGAATTGCCAGCTGGAAAATCCACATGTCGATGCATCCTTCTATTTATGGCACCTGAAACTGGCATGAAGCCTACAGTCAGGTAAGAAATAAGACTTCAGATGTTGGGGTTCTATGGATTCTTTCCGGAGCTTTCAATTGATCCCAAGCAGAAACAGTGTGAAGATTAAAAATAAGTTCCAGCCGTGTCAACGTTCTGGCAAGTTTGATGTCCCCGATTTGTTTCTGTTCTCAGATGATTTATGACCCTGGTCATCCCTGGTTTCCGCATGCTTGATGACCTTGGCCCACGTCTAAGGCGTATACCCATATCCGACCTATGAGCAGATGATTTACTCTCATCATTTTTGATCATTTGGTACGGTACCGTACCATTCAGCAGCTGCGAGCCAGAACTTGCGCACAAGAAGCGCAAGGAGCGCACGGCCCCTGACAGCTGTTTGGAATGTGAAATTTCTAAGCCCAGGCATAAAGTCATTGCTATCTCAAAGTGCTTATTGCTGGGTGCAATCAGTCACAAGTGGAGCTTGGTGTGGGTTGCAGACCCTGTGATTTTACAGCATTTAGCTCAGAGAACTCGATTCAAGAAAGCAGCCATCGACGTGGACAAAAATGCTTTGCGCAGCGTGTCGTTTGACCTTCATTGAGTCGTGCTGGTGGTTTGGGCAAGAGTTTGGTCAATGAACATATTGTGTGAGTTCACTGCGGTTCAACTGTTCTGCCTCAAGGTTTGAAATGACCGTTTTTGAGAAGCTGAAAGGACTAATTATCAGTGATGTAGATTCTGTATTGGAGTGCAGGTTGGAAGCGGTAAAGCGTTTGGAGCTTACTCCAGTTCTGGTCAAATGATTCGTGTATATTCGTGCGGCCCCACTTTCTTTGGGATGACGTTCAAAGATTGCAAATTGGCAGCCACTAGGCCACTAGCCTTCAAAGCCGCTTGCGCACTTTACTGCCCCACTGAGCAGATTGTTAGGCATCCAACGCAATGTTCGTGGATGGCAAAGGAGGAAGCGTGCACAGGTAGGAGTTGAGAGTTCTGCTGTTCCATTAGGTTCCACTGGTACTGCTGTCATGTGTGATTTGTTGGAGCTCCTGGAACTGCCAAGTGCTGCTCCAAAAACGCAACATCAGAAACAACACGCAACACAGGAGAAATTTGGTGCAAGAGTTGTTAGACATCGCTATCTAGCCATATCTAGCCGCTATAGCCTTCACGCAAACACCTCTGGAACTGTCAGAAGGACGGTATCGTCATCGATGGGCGTGTCGCAAATGTGGGATGTAGCGGTGAAGGAACCGACGACTCGAAGACGTGGCAAAGTACCGCAGGTCAGCCACCAACGGCAAACATCATGAAGCAGCCAGCTATCCGTGGCATGTCATTTCCACATTGTGGCTGTTCAATGGAAGCTGCTCAGACCACAATCGCACCGCGAATTTCTGTTGCGCTGAGCCTGCAAAACCCGGCACGCTCCCCCTTCGTGGTTCGATCTCGTGCGATGCAATGATCAAAACGGAAAGATGCAAAAGCGGAAAATCGCAACCAAAAAAGGCTTTGAACATGCCCTTGGTTTGAATGTGTAGGCCTGCTGCGTCAAACTTTCAAACTCATATCGGCTCACTTACTAGTTGGTTGTTTTTGCGCGCAGACAGTGTTGTTGAACGACGTCAAGAAAAGCGAGCTGCAACAATTATCAGGCAAACCTTCGTATGATCGGTGGCGGCGTATGTGCCATGCTTTCCAATGCAGCTGGTACCATTCATCATTGTCAGTCACAGATATTGGAGGATTCCTTTGCGCGGCGTTGTCAAAGAACCGTGCCATTCGCTTCATCGAAGAGAATCTGACGGCTCTGAAAGCGAGGGGCGATTCTTAGGATGATAAAGAAAAAAAGATCGAAAACAGTTTAATGGATCCCACCCACCATCAACCCTCATCCCACCCGCCCCACCCATCATCACCTCCTGAACCCAAACCACCATCCTACGAGTCTATCACCTACCAACCTACCAACTGCGAACCTACCAACCTACCCTCCTACCAACCTACCCTCCTACCAACTTACCAACCCACCGAAATACAAATCAACCTGCTGACCCACAACCAACCAACCTGAAAACCAACCTGCGGTCACCAAGCAAACTCAACCTACCAAACTACCAACCAAGGCAAACCCCCAAGCCTACTAACCAGCCACCCAGCCACCCAGCCACCCACCAACCCACCAACTCACCAGCCACCCAGCCCACCAGCCACCCAGCCCGCCAGCCACCCAGTCCACAGCCCACCCACCAGCCCACCCACCACCCCACCAGCCCGCCCACCAGCCCACCAACCCACCAGCCCACCAGCCCTGTACCTGCCACCGCCCATCACCCACACACCATCACCTATCACCTATCACCTACCACCTGTCACCCACAACATCCCTCACCCATCACCCATCACCCATCACCCTTCACCCATCACCCATCACCCATCACCCATCACCCATCACCCATCACCCATCACCCATCACCCATCACCCACAACCATTCACCAACCATCAACCACCAACCACACACCCACCGCTGCCACCACCCACGACCACCCACGACCGCCCACGACCACCCACGACCACCACGATCACCCGTCAGCAGCCACCACCTAGCAGCTACCACCCAGCAGCCACCACCCAGCACCCACCACCCACCCATCACCACCACCACCACCAGTCACCACCACCAACAGTCGCCAGCACCAGCACCAGCACCACCCACCACCCATCATTTTTTCCCCACCTGCCAGGTGAGGGTTGTTAGATTTTACCAGCAGTACCGCACAAGGCGGTGGCGGAAGTTTCAGAATAGGAAACCTATAGGAGACGTTGGTTGTTGTGAATCACGGATGGCAGAGCGAATCCACTGATTGAACGAAAGGTGGTTGGAGTTGTGTTTGCTGGAGTGGTTGCAATGGTTGCAGTGGTCACCTCACCCACAACTGCTGGATGTAGTGTGATTTACTGCTAACTGTGGTTGTAGTTGTAGCGTAGTGGAGTTGTAGTTGTGGTGTAATGTAATTAGTGTAATGTAGTTGCAGTCATATAGTTGTAGTTGCTGTTGTTGTTGTTGTGTAGTTGTAGTTGTTGTTGTTGCAGTTGTAGTTGTTGTTGTAGTGGTAGCTGTAGTTGTAGTGTAGTGGTAGTGTAGTTGTAGTTGTTGTGTAGTGTAGTTGCAGTTGTTGTAGTTGCAGTTGTAGTTGTAGTTGTTGTAGTTGTTATAGTTCTAGTTGTAGTTATAGTTGTTGCGCAGTTGTAGTTGTTGTTGTTGTTGTTGTAGCTGTAGTTGTTATAGTTCTAGTTGTAGTTGTGGTTGTTGTATAGTTGTAGTTGTAGTAGTTGTTGTTGTTGCTGCTGCTGTTGCAGTTGTAGTTGTAGTAGTTGTAGTAGTTGTTGTTGTTGTTGCTGCTGCTGTTGTAGTTGTAGTTGTAGTTGTTGTAGCTGTAGTTGTTGTTGTTGTTGTAGTTCTGTTTGTAGTTGTAGTTGTTGTGTAGTTGTGGTTGTTGTTGTTGTTGTTGCTGTTGCTGTTGTCGTCGAAGTTAGGGTAGTGAAGTTAGTTAAGTTAATCAGTGTCTACTTTTTCGACATCGTAACGTCAAAAAAGGATCAAAACCCGCAGTTTTTTACACTTTTGACTTCGAAATGTGCTTCGCGCCACAACGGCGTGCACTTTTTCAACATCTCAACTTCCACAAGTGGTCCGAGAATGGTGTGTTTTGTACATTTTGACTTCGAAATGTGCTTCGCGCCACAACGGCGTGCACTTTTTCGACATCGCAACTTCCAAAAGTGGTCTGAGACCGCCAGTTTTTACACTTTTGACTTCGAAATGTGCTTCGCGCCACAACGGCGTGCACTTTTTCGACATCTCAACTTCCAAAAGTGGTCCGAGAATGGTGTGTTTTGCACATTTTGACTTGGAAATGCGCTTCGCGCCACAACGGCGTGCACTTTTTCGACATCTCAACTTCCAAAAGTGGTCCGAGAATGGTGTGTTTTGCACATTTTGACTTGGAAGTGTGCTTCGCGCCACAACGGCGTGCAATTTTTCATCTCTCATCTGGCCAGCTGGCTCCGCACCCGCCGCTTTAGCGAGCCTACTTTTCGACCCTCCGGAGCCACAAACCATTGGAAAAACATAGTGTTTCGCGACTTTCCTACCTTTTAGCGCACCTGCATCTTCTTTCTTCTGATCTTTTCTCTTCTGACTCTTCTCACCTCTGCTTTTCAACTGTCCATATTGTCGGAAGTTCCACTTCTAAACTTCCTTCGATCAGAGCTGTTCTCCTCCTCCTCCTCCGCCTCCTCTGCCTCCGCCTCCTCACCCGCCGCCTCCTCCTCGCAATCCAAATCCCAGTGGACACAGCCGGACCTCCACCGCGAGCTCCAGATCCCAGTGGGCACTGCTGGACCTCAACCGCGAGTTGCAGATCGCAGTGGGCACTGCCCCGGACCTCAACCGCGACTTCCAGGTCGCAGTGGGCACTGCCGGACCTCAACCGCGACTTCCAGATCGCAGTGGGCACTGCCGGACCTCAACCGCGACTTCCAGATCGCAGTGGGCACTGCCGAACCTCAACGGGAAGAATATCAGAAAAGATACCAGATAGAATGTCAGAAGATATGCCAGATAGAATGCCCGAAAGAATGTCAGAAAGAATGTCAGAAGATATGTCCAAAAGAATGTCAGAAGATATGCCAGACAGAATACCAGAAGATATGCCAGAAAGAATGCCAGAAGATATGTCAGATAGAATGTCAGAAGATATGCCAGATAGAATGCCAGAAGATTTGCCAGATAGAATGCCAGAAGATATGCCAGATAGAATCCCAGGAGATATGCCAGATAGAATGCCAGAAGATATGCCAGATAGAATGCCAGAAGATATGTCAGATAGAATGCCAGAAGATATGCCAGATAGAATGCCAGATAGAACCCCAGATAGAATGCCAGATAGAATGCCAGAAGATATGCAAGATAGAATGCCAGATAAAATGCCAGATATGCGAAATAGAATGCCAGAACAAATGCCAGAAGATATGCCAGATAGAATGCCAGAAGATATGCCAGAAGATATGTCAGATAGAATGCCAGAAGATATGCAAGATAGAATGCCAGATAGAATCCCAGATAGAATGCCAGAAGATATGCAAGATAGAATGCCGGATAAAATGCCAGATATGGCAAATAGAATAGCAGAAGATATGCCAGAACATATGCCAGAAGATATGCCAGATAGAATACCAGAAGATATGCCAGAACATATGCCACATAAAACCACAGATAGAATGCCAGGAGATTTGCCAGAAGATATGCCAGATAGAATCCCAGGAGATATGCCAGATAGAATGCCAGAAGATATGCCAGAAAAAATGCCAAAAGATATGCCAGATAGAATGCCAGATAGAATGCCAGAAGATATGTCAGATAGAATGCCAGAAGATTTGCCAGTAAGAAAATGTATAAATGTCATGGTGGTGATCACACGAAGTTTAAAAAAAAAATGCACCTTTTTATCTGCGCGTTCCACTCTTAGCCTTTAAACCAGTTTTGTGCTGAGGCACTGCAGACTGTTTTTATACCGGCCAGTTTCCGAATGCGCACGAATGCCAGGTCCAAGGACTAGGGGGGGAGCCGGGAGGCCCAATCAATCACCGACCGCAATCCACCGTTTTTCACGCTACTGTACCCAACATCACCAACCAGCCACCACCACCGAACAGTACTCCCCACCACTCATCGCCTTACCCGCCTATGCATCGCTATGCATGTCCGGCTACTCTGCTGTGGTTTACATACGCGTTGTTTATTCAGGCTAACCCCGTCCAGGTCGGCCCAGGTCCGCCTAAGTCCGCCCAGGTTCTCCCAGGCCCTCGCGCAGGAATTCCTCAACCGTTTCCAGCCGGGTTCTCCGAAAAAATCCCGGAAACTCCACAAAATCGCCGAAAATAACACCCAGGTTCTGTCCCGGAAACCCCACAAGATCATAGAAAATAACACCCAGGTTCTCCCAGGAAATCCCGGAAAACCCGCAAAATCGCAGAAAATAACACCCAAGTTCTCCCAGGAAATCCCGGAAAACCTGCAAAATCGCAGAAAATAACACCCAGGTTCTCCCAGAAAATCCCGGAAAACCTGCAAAATCGCAGAAAATAACACCCAGGTTCTCCCAGGATATCCCGGAAACCCCGCAAAATCGAAGGAAATCGCGCATTTCCTGGGAGGACCTGGGTGGAAACAGTTGGGACTGGTCATTTTTCAGGCGCCTGGGGGGAGCTGCAACAGCTAGTTCGGGGAAAAGTGGCTGGAGGGTGGCCCACTATTTCGACCCACAATTTCTAAATTTCTGCCGCAGGCGTTGCCGCCCCTTTTGGCCTTCAGGTCTGCCACGCTTTAAATTTTAGCCATAAGTTATAAGCATTAAAGGGGTATAGCCACTTATATGCCAAAAAAAATATGTCAGAATAGATGCTCGATAAAATGCCAGCAGGTAAAATTTCAAAATATATGCCAGAAAAAATGCCGGATAGAATGCCAAAGTATGTGCCAAAGAAAATGCCTGATAGAACGTCGAGTATATGCCAGAGATAATGTTAGATATAATGTCAAATATATGTGTGCCGTATATTTTTTTAGATCGTATGCCGCATGCCAAAAACTATGTCAGAACAGTGTGCAAGGCCAAGGATCATTAAAAATGATGTTTGCAAAAAAAGAAATAATTCATTGGCGGTGATGAATATGTAGCCCGCTGTATAGTGTGATCATGCCATTGCCGTATCGTTGCATCAATTTGAGGGGCAAATAGAAGCGCATGACCGCATGACGTCGGCACAAAGTTTCAACGTGGGCCGATTTGTTTTTGTTCGTTTGGTTGCGGCCAACACACAGTGTTTAGAATTCATGTGTTGCGCGGCACCATTTCAGACCGGAGACGTTCACATACAGTTGTTGTTTCAAGTTTTGTTGTTTACATTTTGTTGCATGTTGCTGTTGTTTTCGTCCATTTTCGGCCGTTCATTGTTTTGCGATTGCCGTTGTTGCAGGCAAAAGTTCGTGCGCACAAATCAGTTCACGACTCCATCTTTGAACAGCAGTCTCTCGTTTGCAGGTTTGGTTTCGCTGATGTTTTTTGTAATTGGTGTATATTAGTGTGACTTTGGATTGTGCAAGCTGTTTGCGTCGTTGAAATCCGGCAGTTTCAAGTTCTGGGACGCACAAAGATGATTAGGAACCCCTAAATGTATCGTTGCTGAGCAGCGTTTGCAGTACAATACAAGTATATAATGTTGGATTCGAAATCTGGTTTGAGACAAAAATACATGTTGGTCGGACAGCTGCGTGATCAGCGCAAAAAAAGTGAATTTGCATGAATTTTCCACGATTTGTTCAAACAATTATTTCCCATTGCGCGCCAAAGTAGTAGCGGGTGCATTTTGTCCCTTTTTTATCCTTTTCTTTGCATGGGTGATCATGGGTGCATTCATATTACATGCATTTGCTCAAGGTCAATCGAAGACATTTCACCGGAACCTTTGGATGTCCCAAGTCCACGTCGCTTGGCTATGGGGTGCGACTGGTATATATTGGCAAGGGACCGTACTGCAATATTGGCAAGGATGATCATACAAACATCATATTATTAACAAATTCCCTCAAAATTACCTCAAAATTACCTCAAGATTATCTAATTATAGTGATGTTGTACAACGATACCACTGCCATACATCAATGCACGCCTACAGGGCACAAGTGCCGCAGCCATTTAGCCGCAGGTTTTATCTCATTTTGTCACCGCACCGAGGAAGAGTGAAGTTGCGCTCAAATGCAAAATAGATTAGATTCAGCACTCAAACATATCAAAGTTTTCTTCAGGTGACACTTCATGGCCACCAGTTCTACATTGTTTTCATGCAGCAGGTGTCAAACCCAGGGTGCTGGAGAAGAACACGTGCACACTGTGACCAACGTGACAGTCTCTTGAAGCCACTTCTTGTGACAGGGAAACTTATGCAACCACGAAGCCATGTGTGATCCGATGTTTAACCCCAAGCGCGCCAGAACCGTTGCAGCCAGCAGCGATGATTTTATTTGTTTTGATCCAGCTGCAGGAGAAGAGGCAGAGGAGGAAGACATGGAAGAGGACGAAGAGACCACTGACGCAGTCGCACCAGCAGAAGTAGATATGCCAAAGGCTGTGCCTATTGATTGGTCCTGCAGCGATCTCACCATTGATTTTGAAATTCCCAAAGGGCGCGGCATCATTCTTCGAAGACAAAGTTTGCTTCAGGGGGGTTGGGCTTTAGCGCGGGGGGCACGAAGAGCATTTCAGGGCCGCCAAGTGTGGCATGTGAAGATCTTACGTTTGCCGAAGGGATCCAGTTCTCCGACGTTGTTGTTTGGAGTTCTTGTTCAATGGCCTGGCTGTCAACCAATGCCTCATCCCGGCAGCGACGTTCTTGTTCAACCAGTGCTGGTGCTTTTGGCAGATACAGGTGAACAGGTGTTTTCCTCCAACTTATCCCCGAAGTTGCTGCGCGCACCGCTGTTTCCAACGCCGCTGCGTGAAGGCGAAACGGTTGAGATCATCGCCGATTTGGGTCGGCGCCGGTTGCTATTCCGCCGGGGGAACGAAACCTTGGAGGCCAAGCCGTTGCCGGTGAGGCGAGATACGGCGGGGCGAGGCAGTCGGGCATCGAATCGCCTCAGGGACACGGCGTATCATCCATTTCTCGCACTTCAGGCAGGTGTTGAAGTGGAACTGTTGGACACTTCGCCCTGGTTGACCCAACCTGGGCCTCCAGCAGAGGCCATCATCTTGGTTGGGCCACCTGGGGCTGGAAAGTCTACCTGGGCGGCAGAGTATGCCAAAGTGAAGGAAGGGCATATCCATTTGTTGGGAGCCGAGTGGCTGCATCATCGAAACCATTTTTTGGAGGAAGAGCAGCCTGAGCAGCGCGGTGAAGCACTTGAAACGGACAAGGAACAGGGTTTGAGGATGTTATGCCAGGGTTGCATCCTGTTACATATGTATATAATTATATATTATATATATATGTATGTATATTTACATATATATATATATATACATATATAATTATATGTATTTATCCAAATATTGTGTAAATATTATATGTAATTACATATGTTGGAAATAGAGTCCAAGTACTGTTCCCTGCAAACCATTTCCATCATTTCCCATCAAATTGTTGTTTTTCTTAGATATGCCTTTTGCCCAACAGCTCCCTTGAAACCCTGAGGAAGACAATGAACTTGGTGATGCAGGGCGGCAAGCCCTGGCCCAGCGGATCTTGGAAGCTTTTGCAGCCTTTTACGAAGATGATGCTGATGAGCTCAAGGACTCGTCCGGAGGCTCCGGAGAAATCTTTCCCACCGAAACTCCGACTCAGAACCAAGAGCTTCCACATCTCGAAGCACATGAAGTGTGCAGCCCGGGACCAAATAATTTGCAAGAGCTTCTGGCCGGAGTATTGCCCGAACTTTTGCAACGTGCAGCCGCTCGATGTGTCAGCGTCATTGCTGATGGTTGTCATTTGCAAGCCTTTGTTCGGGCAGAGCTGAGAGCAGCCTTGCTCCATTTTCCTGGAAGAGTTCGCTGGGTCATCATGATTCCAAATACTTTGCGGGAACTGTTGGAGAGGCAGGGGCAAACGCAGCCAGAAGAGGAGGAGTGGTCAGGATCCACCTTGCCTGGTGTTGAGGGTGACTGCAACTTTGCCCTTCATGAAGTGGAGTTCGGGGAAGGTCGAGATCGCAGAGTCTTCCAAGATTGGCTTGGGCAAGTTTGCCCAGAAACGTCCACAGCGGCCGCAAACTGTGATGCATGCGATACATCCCAAACACCAGGCATGCAGGTTTTTTTCGCAAAATTTGGGAATGCCACTGGCTACCTCAGTACTGAAGGGACGCGTCGTTATTGAAAGTCCTATCCCGTCCAGTGATGCCCAGTGGTCATCCAACAAGAATCAAGTGCTGGTTTGCGCATTGCAACTGATATGGACAGATCGAAGCACTGGCTCCGAGTTCAACGAGACCAAGGAGTGGCGCTGAGGCTAAACCCAGAATCGTTTGAGGAGTCACGCGCCATCGTGCCTTGCAATTGAGGCGCTCCTGTGAACGGCAGAACTTGGCGTGGCCGATGCTAACGACTTCTGCACACTGTCCTGTTCCTTGGGAAAGCCTGGCTGGAATGAGATGGCGAGATCATTCACATACATTGTTGAAAAGAGAATCTGCCCGAAAAACCCATTGTGCCCGCAGGTGTGCTAGCAAAAATGATATGCCATTTGGGTTCATTGTTTGTTTGGCTGACGTCTATAGTCCATAAGGTCACTTAATTGATTCGCTTGGATCCTTTAAAAAATCCGGTAAGTCGACTAACCTCGGCCGAAACAGGTATTGCCATTTGCAACGATATAATTTATAAACATGTTCTGGACATATTCGGATGTGATATAAATATATAGATGATTATAGATGCATGTATGTAAGTATATGACACAAGCTTCTCCATACTTAAATCATCTTAAATCCATATACCACGGCAAAAATGATCGTCAAAAGGGGGAGGAACATGGGGAACTGCGCGATGTTTGGACTGGAACCGAGGTTCCTTGCACAGTCCCGTCAGTTCAGAGAGCCGGCCTCAGTGAAGTTGTTCGGATTTGGGGGTGGATCGGTACGGATCAGAACTGCCGAAATCATTGGGGTGAAACCTTGGAAAATGCGGATATCATGGGAATAGAATGGAAATATATGGGAATATAACCAATGATGATTTGGTTAGTGGTTTGAAATATGATTTGACATTTGCTGTGTTCATCCTAACTGGGAAGAAAACAAACATATTCGCCTTGGGGGGGTTGAAACCACCAAGGCGATATGAATGAGGAGCTAAGTAAGCAGCAAAAATATTCACAAATCATAAAAAATCTGTACTGAACTGACTGAAGCAGCCACGTTCATCATGGGGATGATGCAGTAACGTTTCTGCCATGTGTATCCATTTCTTGAGGAATGAATATCCCTATGATCCATATATCATGCTAGGCTATATCATGCTACAGTATATGCCAAGTAGATGTGACAAGGGTCGGATGGTCAGATGGTCTCTGGAAGGTCCATGGCAAGATCAATCCCTTCAGGCAGGTTGCACTTGAAGCCGACCGCAAATCGCAAGGTAAATTGGTTGAGTGCATGCAGACTGTAGACAATGATAGGCACCTACCGGAAAGATATATGTGTTATTATGGGTTTGTCTGAGAATAAGGTATTATGGGGTATTGATATACTTGTCATTTTTGAGTTGCGAAGTGGGTTGCTGCAGATTTGAACCCAGCGCCGCAGATCAAGAATGACCTTGACCGAGGGGCAGCGTGGAGCACAGCGCTTTCATCCCACTGGAAACGTTGAATTGTTTGACATTGTTTGATTATATTATATTATCTGGGTAAATTATAACGACTCACCATAGATGATGGTTAGTAAGGTGAACTATCCCAAAATGGCCTTATTTAAGGTCAGTGAATTAATATAAATTACCCAGATATTCTGGTTATAGACAGTTATAGGCCCCCATGAATGGAATAAACTTGAATAAATTGAATTTTAAGGACATTAAAATCATTACAGGAACCCGGGGCGAAGAGAAGGATAATCCTCTAAATACGGATTCTCTCAGGTTTAAAGTTTATATTGCGATTTGCAGAAGCCTGCAATTCCCAAGCATTCTGGCGCTCTTACTGCAGACATTTTTGTTCAAGGATCGCACCAGGTGGGCTCCATCAGGTTTCAATAGAGATGAGGGCAATCCTGGCTTCTCTGTGCATATTGCAGATTGCTGCTTTGGAGTATACGCCAGAAGCCCTCAAGGACAGGGTCTTCACGGTTATTATTTATATGATTGGTATCTCAGAAAGCCATGAAATGTGGACCCAGTCTGCAACTGCGAACTCTGTGAGGATGAGATTCATGATTTGCCTGGACTTCCGGCCGATGTGAACTTCAAGATGTTCTCAGGATACATCGATCTCACACCGCTGGGCAGCTCGGTGGCAATAGGGTCACATGGAACTTCATTAATTAAACAGGATGTAGAAAAGAAAAGTGTCAGAGGCCTTAGGGCACATGAATTTTGAATCTTGATACCAACAGTTTTTTTGGGGGGCCGAATCAGTTGCTGCCAGATGCTGCCAGGTCAGAGGCCCAAGAGCAAAGAAATCTTCTATTGGTTCGTGGAGGCTCAAAAGGATCCAGACAATGCTCCGCTGGTTTTCTGGACCAATGGCGGTCCGGGCTGCAGTGGGCTGGCTGGCTTCCTCACTGAAATGGGCCCCTTTAAGGTCGGGTTCGACGGGAAAAACTTGGTGCACAACCCCTATGCCTGGAACAAGATTGCCAATATGATCTTTGTTGAGCAGCCAGCTGGTGTCGGCTTCTCACCGGCCGGTGAAAATCCCAAATACAGTGATGAAAACTCCGCCAATGACAATCGGCACTTCATCATGAAGTTCTACGATCGCTATCCGGCCTTGAAAACTCATGATTTCTATCTTTCATCTGAATCCTATGGGGGTCACTACCTGCCGACCTTGGGAAAAGTACTGGTCGAGCAAGGCCTGTCGGACTCGGGATGGGTCAAGCCAATTGGACCATCTGGGTATGACCATCCACTGGATCCATACAAAGGGTCATCACTGCTGGTGGCCATGCACCTGCAAATTGAAATCATGTCTCCAAGATAGGTGCAAGGTCAGTCCGTGCTATGAGCACACAAAGTACTTGTACTGTATGCCCCCTGCACAAAATCACGCAAACATATTTATTGGGGTAACGGGTAATGATGTGACCAGGACTGAAATACCCACTCCCTGTGGTCAATTGGTAGTTTCATGCCTAATCAGTTTTTATCCCAGCACGGCTGCAGGTGGGGTTCCTTCTTTCAAAGGGATCATGGTTGGCAATCCCTTGACGTACATGCCCTATCGAGACCATGGCTTCTATGGGACGTGTTGGGGGCACCAGCTGCTTCCAAAGCCCCTGTGGGATGCATACGTCGAGCATGACTGCGCAAAGTTGAAGAACCCATCCGCACAAACGCCGGATGAATGCTGGTCCGTGACCAACGCGATGCATCGTATCCTTTCAGGGTTGGACCCCTATGCGCTAGACTTTCCCACCTGCGAATTGGCTGCAACACATTGCAACGTTCTGCATTCAACAGCATCCAAAAGCACTTTTGGCCGCCTAATGAAAATAATGCCTCATGTATCCTAATGTGTTTTTCCAGGTGTTGAGAGGAGCCTAATGTGTCCTTTGGCTCAACACCTTTGAGCGTGTTTGTTATTTGTTGCTCGCAGTTTTTGTATGATTTTGCGGTGTCATCAGCACTGAATAGCACTCAGGCGTCGGTGGTGGGGCTGCGACAGGACAGCACGAACGACTGGCAATCCTGAAAACGATCGCTCGCGCCACAAAACAACCTGAACAAAAATATCAGACGCTTGTCTTTGAAATTCGCGCTTGACTTTGCCAATCTTTGCCATCGCAAAAATGTGGTAGACCATGGTAAGCCCCAATTTTGAAGCTCCAATGCCACCTAGATATGGCCACTCCACAGTCCATTGACACTCAGGCCCTGCTCCGAAGATTTGACGACGCATTATTTGAATTTGAAAGAGGTGACCTGGATTCGCTGGAGATAGTTTTACCATCTTATGATTTCATATGATTTCATATGATTTCATATGTTTATGTTTCCAAAAAGGTGCACCATCTATGCCATATCTATGCCATTGAAAAACTGCAGAGATCGCCATGTTAGGTGGCCGTTTCGCCAGGTGAAGGCAGCCATCCATGCGCGGGACTTTACATGGCAGTTGTGCAGCGGTGAAGTGAATTATCTCTACAATCCTCACGACACCCATGCACCGATGATGCCACTTTGGAAGTTCCTCATTGAGACACTCGGCATAGAATTCTCCAACATTAGGGAGAGAGAGAGAGAGAGTGAAAGTAGATGTTGAAAGCTTTGCCATCCATGAAGAGTCGTGTATTGCAATTTGCCTTGCATTGTGAAGTAAACTGGCTCTCGGCTGTTTCTGACTCACACACACATTCACACACACACTAGATTGGAATGGATCATTATATGATCCGTCAGGAACTGAGTCCTGTAACGTGCAGGTTAGATTAGTTAAATACGGATGAGTATTTATATATATATATATAAATATATATATATATATATGGGACTATGGTGACCACCAGCTGCGTCTTAAATGCGCCCAGGTGCGTCACCACAGTCCCGCGGGTACATTTACACGGGTCCCCGGGAGGTGTCTTCGTTGGTCACCGACCTCCCAAGGACCCCGGTGACCCCCCGCATATATATATATATTATATATATATTAAAAAACAAAAGGTAACAGAAGTTTTACATCTGTACAGATGTGTCACACACACCCTGCCTTTGGCAGGGTGGTGCGACGGAAAATGAGGTGAAGATGAAGATGAGGGGGAAGTGAAGGTGAGGTGACCTTGAAGATGAGATGAAAAATTACTTAACCAGGACGCGAAGAGGGGAACGCAAAAGAAGAAGGAGAGAACACCAACACGACACACCTGGCCCGGAGCGGGCAAACCCTGGAAAGGCAAGGGAAAAGAAAAGCGGAGGGTCGACGGACACGGAACAAGACCAGCGGAGGGGGGGAAGGACGAAAGCGCCTGAACCAACCTCACACAGCGAGAACCTACACACACCTAAGCACGCGACGGAGCCAACCTACCTGGGGAGGGAAGAACGCATGAGATAGGGGACCAATGGGGATTAGTTGGTGAAAAACACAAAAAAAGAGAACAAGACTCAGTTCCTAAATACCTAAGTGTCGTGCGTTATTCCCTTGCCGGGACCGTGGTCAAGTCTTGCCCCAATTGGCATAAACGGCTTTCAAGTTCCAGCGAATTAGGTGCACAATATGTTTCACCTCACCAGAGAACCATCAAAAGAAAGAAGACCACACCATACCACACCTAAAGATCGTGTACCTGCCTGCGTTCTGTCTCTTGTAATGTGACTGTAAAAGCTGCTGCGAAAAAAAAATGTTTCTGGATGTTCGGCACGACTGCAAAGTTGAAGAACTGCGTTGGCGAGGATCCCTGGGACAGCCGGATCGGCGAGACTTTGTGAAAAGGTGCACAACGGTAAGGCCAACTGTTGCACTTTACTTAGGCGAATTACCAGATTAAAATGTGTAAATTCGGAATTCAAGTCAGTCGACACTCACCCTAAACAGGGTTGCCTCAATTGGCCCTATGGCACCATGTCGAAGTCACCATAGGAATCACACTAGATTGGAATGGATCATTATATGATCCGTCAGGAACTGAATCCTGTAACGTGCAGGTTAGATTAATTAAATACGGATGAGTATTTATATATATATGGGACTATGGTGACCACCAGCTGCGTCTTAAATGCGCCCAGGTGCGTCACCACAGTCCCGCGGGTACATTTACACGGGTCCCCGAGAGGTGTCTTCGTTGGTCACCGACCTCCCAAGGACCCCGGTGATATATATATATATAAAAACAAAAGGTAACAGAAGTTTACATCTGTACAGATGTGTCTCACACACACACATATATATATATACATATAAATATTTGTGCGTGCAGTGCGTTGGCTTATCCTTTCTCATTTTCTATCTCCATGTCAAAAAGCTATAGAAAAATTACTCAAGGTGCAAGAACAGCACAGGCTTACAGATAAACTCACTTCATATTGTAGAGATGTTGTGCCTCAGAGAGCATCGCAAGATTGCAACCTTCATTCGGCAACTGATGTTTCTCCGTTAATATATATATATATACCGTATATATAATTATATTATTTTGTCCAATCATATTTATCCATCAATTATCCAAGATCTATCCTTGCAAATTCGAGGCATGCAAGTTTGAATTTGATGATCTTTTCGGGCGATGACGACTCCATTTGCGCCACACTTGGATCGCAGCAATTCATTTGGGACCTTGGAAGCTCGACGGCTCGACTGGCGGTGCTGGTGGTCGGGTTAAAATGATGAAACATGATAATGTCAACCCCGGATTAAACCCCTAGGATGTTTGATTGGGAAGGTACCATTTAAGTATCGAAATGTATCGAATCATGACATATCATGATTATTGGGGGAATACCCCCCTAGTAAATTAAAACCCATGGGTTCCAGGGTTCTGCATCCCTTCAGGCTATGAGACAGACGAGGCGAAGAACTGGGCTCCCTGGAAGGCCTGATCAATGCCAATCCATGATTGACGATGACAGAGGGAAGGGTGTTCATTGTGGGTTCTGCCAGGTTGATGATGAAATTGCGGGCTATTGGACTGAGTTCAAAGTGCCGGCGGGTGGGAAATTTGCTTTCGTAACAGTTCATGGGGTTCCTTGCTGCAAAGCTGGGGTGTTGCGGGTCCCCCTTGCGCCACGCAACACAACGTTGGTGGTTTTTTGGGGTGAGCCATGTTTGAGATCCAGTATGCATTTCTTCATGTCAATACTCCTATATATGGATGTGGGCTGGGCTGGGTTAGATTCAGTTAAAAGCAGATTAGATTAGTAGGTCGATAGATAGGTAGATACATAGATGGCGTTTGTTTGGTCACAATGCAAACATTCTCCGGCTATCTATATTTCTTGTATTTTCTTGTTATTTCTTGGCCAAACTCACACTGGATCAGGGAAATGAGAAATCACAGCATTGTGCAGTTGAGGCCGGACACATGGTACCATCAACTCAGCCAAAGAGGCTCAACTGGGTATGGTTTAGGAGGAGGCAGTCGTTGCTAGGAAAACGAGATGCTTTCCTACTGGCAAGATCAAATCCGTGAATGGGAAATTCTGAAAATTTTGACTCGGAGCCATACTGAATGATGATTACTAGTGGTCCTAATGGTGATTACGGTCAAATATCGATTATTGATGGTAAAGATGATGGGAAATTACCACCTGATTCTTCATTGAGTGCGTCACTGGATCCAATCCAGCCCGCTGATGTCAGTGGCCTGGCGATTTTCGAGAAGTTCCTGAAGAGGACCGTTGGCAAAACGACGTTGGCAACGATGTGAATTGCCGGTATAGTTCGCGAGTATAGCTTTCAGCTTGAGGGGTCAATGAACCCAAGGGTTGAATGTGACTGGAGAGCATGAAGAGGTATGAAGAGTTTCAGAACATCTCAGAATCCAACTCTGAGGATGCTCCGTGCATATCCGCCCATCGATTTATCATGGTTTCCACAATTTGGCCTATAAACTTGGTCCATTTGTCATGCGCTCCACCATTGCCTTGCAACAACTGTTCTGGTCAATAAGAACCAAAAGATGCAGATTGCGACCCGTTTTTTTGCAGAACCTCGGAGCTTCAGTGAGGTTGATGATTTTGAAACATGACGCTGCACATGTTCGTTTCCGCAGCTGGGCTTTCTTGGATGACAATGCTGGAGAGATGTTGGCCAAAATTGCCACACAAAAATCGCTCAACAGATCCGGCCTATGCAGAATCGAGTTGGAAAGCAACTCGGCGCATCGAACGATCAAGATTCCGACAACTCCACCGACTGCACGTCATTGTCGTTGATGATGATTGTGCGCCTAGAATGACAAGGAAAAAAATATATAGAAAGATCAGAATGACATTCGGACAGTGAACACTAGTGAAAGTCCCTCAGAAGGCTGTAAAGGTTGAAATACATGTTGCCTCTGGGTGGCCATGTCGCCATATGTCGCCAGTTTCGAGCACCAAAGAGTGCCACGCTCGGCTGCATCTCCCTACGGACTACTTACTTTACTGCCACTTGTCTTAAGCTATGAGCCCCGAGGTGGAGATCAGAGCTTGTTTTGACCAAAGCTCACAGCACTCAGGAATTTCAGACATGCAGCCCGGCTTAGAGCCGTGGTTTGGCAGCGCTGGCAAGGCACTTTCTCTCTGAGCTGTTCCTTCATGATCATTCATGTAGGTTTGTCCCAAGAAGGTGCAACATGGAATAATTTATCGTAATATATCGCTACAAGTAAAATACAATCTATGACCATATCTAACGGGTAAAAAAATGCCCAAGGGCGCCGTTCCTGGTTGCCCGTGGCAGGCGCCATATCTTCAAGCTGCCGGAGCGAAGCGGCAAACCGCAGGCGTCGCAGTCACATCGTGAAAAACGATGCGTTTTGATGTGGAGATGGATCAAAACCTACTGGAGGTTTCCTAAGTCAAGGGGGGTACCCCAAATCATCATAAATATTCATAAATCATCCAAGTCATGAATGACCACGACTTAGTATTGAAACCCACGGTGACTTGGGGATAGGCCATGTCAAGAAAGCCCTGGCCCATCCTGTCCTCGCTGGTCTCCACAGAGGGGATGACACTGGCCATGGGCTACGGATCAGAATATGGGGCTGAAAATAGGAGCACAAAAGGATCCACGAAAGTTTTGTTTCATATTTAGTGTTTACATCTAAACATCCACCACTGGGGGTCAATCATTTGGATCTGTGCGCATTCCACACTTTCGTGTTGAAGATTGAAGCTGAGAGGCCCAGAGCTTTCCCGAAAGCAGCACGTTCCTCGCGATGGCATGATCATTGCAAGCGTTCTTGCTTGGCTGAGGCACGGCATTGATGAAGTATGATGAAGTCATGTGGGTATGCGTCAAAACCCTGGCACCCTTAAGTTTCGCATCAAATTGTCAAAATGCATCAAAATAGCTGGTGCTCATGGATGTTCACCCCCCATTCGTTTGGCATTTCATAACTTGATCCCCATGTCATGTGACAACTCCAGGCAGTCGCCTCGATGTTCAAAGACCGGACGAAGGAACAGGGGTGGTCCTGAAAGGGCTCCAGGCTGGCAGCTGGATAAGGATTGCTGGCAATCTATTGTTGGGCCCAAAAAGATAGAAAATCTGCATCAACGTCACCATCAAACATGGAAGGGATTTCCAAAACTCCATTTTCTTGGGAAGTCCATATGATGCTCTCCTTGACATTTTCTTGACTCGTCACGCCATGTCACGCCCCAGCGAAGAGTCCTGCCGCTGTTCTGAGACGCTGGTTCTAAGGTGGCACATCTTTGCTGTCGTGCTTGCCGGAGGATGAAATCGATGAAATCCCTGAAGCCTTTGCAATCGGAGATTGGCCGCCCAGTGGAGCCCCAAAACTGACGCTGAACACGGAGACTACAGAGACGGTTCAGCTTGGCCATTGGAAAATCAATTCCGCACTTTTGGATGTTCTGGATGTGGCTCATAGGGCCGCAAAGGACATGGGCCACCTTTGCATATCTGAAGAGGCAACCGCCCCATGGCCGCAGACAGCCACAGCATGCACAGAAGACAGGCGTCAAAGCAATGGATAGCTACGGCACTGAAATCACATCTGAAACAAGGATGCGTGTAGGTTTCATATGGCGTTCTTGTTTTGATGAGATTATCTTTATTGATGTTGCCGTGCTAATATGCTTATCACCTAAAATTGCACATTCCATCGGAATATTGTGTTTTCATCGCTTTCCCACTTATGCATTTAATGACCGAGAATTACTTTCTGGTGCTGGACCCCAAACCCCCTACCACTTCCAACTGGGTGGTACATGCGTGGTTAAGGGTAACCAGATATGCATGATCTTAATCGCAATCCAAGATAGGTTAAGCATCCAAAATTTCATACACCTACCTACTAGTTCTACTAGGTAATTAAATGTTAGTAGTGTTGCTATCCCCGGATTTGCCTAAAAAAACACACAGAAACAAAGGGAAAGTTATAGAAACATCAAAAAACGCACATGTTGTTCCCATCCCAGGTGCTTGGTCTCTTCTCCAGCCACATCGCCCCTGCCCTGTGCGGCAGCACCACCGTAGCGATGGCCAGATGCCTGGCCGAGCTGTCGCTGCGGCGGGTGCCGCGACGTCGGGAAGTCTTCACCTCGCCGTGTCTGCGGCTGCGGGAGCATCAGCTGCCACTGGGGCAATGTTCCCAGGAAGCCGTGATGGAGGCTGATGGGGGGCGTGGGATGCTGGATATATGATGGATATAATGATATATATATAATATATAATATATATATAATATTATATATATAACATTATGTATATATATATACATGTATATTATGAAATCTATATATATAATATAATATAATATAACATAATATAATATAATACAATATAATATAATATAATATATATATAATATTATGTGACGTTTTTTCTATTTATACATGTATATTATGAAATCTATATATATAATATAATATAATATAAGAATGTATATATATTATACTATGTGTATATATATATATATACACATGTATATTATGAAATATATATATAATATGATATAATAATACCCCAAGGCTCACAAGGCCTTACAAAAGGAGGCCTTTGGACAAAGGCCTTAATCTGGTTGCAAAGGCCTTAAATTTGGTATAGCCATGTATAGCCCCAAAAGGCTTCATATACCTTTCCAATCAACCATTAATGATTGTTTGAATAAGTCCCAATAGGACCCCAACAATAACCCAGCTCGTAATGATTTATATATAATTTCACTACACTGGGTCTTGAGCACTGTCGACTCATAAATAAGAAAATTGCAAATCTGAATCATTTGGTTTTGTTCCGTGATTCCATATCCAGCACAACCAACAAAAAAAATGTTGGGGAACCCCTTCCACGCTTTATTTAGGCTTTTCCATGTTTTTTTTAGGCCTTTCCACGGCATTTGAAGGCCTTTCCACGGTTTTTCCACGGCCATTCCACGGCTCATATTTTCCTTTTTTACAACATATACGACGTATATACTTTTTTTTTCTTTTTCGGAATTCATGAAATAGCCAAACATAATTTCTGACCTTGCAATTCTGTCCATTGATAAATCATTGTTTTTTATTCTGTAGATTTCTATAGTATATACCATATTGAAATCCAGAAACGCCTAAGAACAGCTCTTGATGAAACTTTTGGGCCATCATGGCCACTGGAGGCAAGCATTTTGGTAGGGCTATAGAGGGACCCGATTTTGGGCCTTTCGTTTCAAACAAGGTCGAGGCCTTACAAAAGGAGGCCTCTGACGCATAGGGAATATATATATATATTATGTATATATATATATCTATATACATGTATATATATACATGTACATTATGAAATCTATATATATATAATATAATATAATATAATAATATATATGTATAATATTTCGTGTGTATATATATATATATACATGTATATTATGAAATCTCTATATATATATATATATATTGGTATATATTGGTATATATTGGTATATATTGGATATATTGGATCTATGATTGAGTATGGCCCAAAAGTTGATTTTTTAAAAAATTGTTTATCCAAAAATATGGGGGAATGATGGCAAAAGAAAGGGGTGAACCACCAACCTTGGCATTATTGGTTGTCCTCTCTCCTATTACTCCTAGACCATTTTCTATAGATGATGTTTTGAAGACACCATGTTTTTCAAGAAAGCCATATATATAATTTGTATAAATTGTGTTGGTATACACTATCTAATGTGTAAATGCACATGCATCATATATGTATAGTTAATTATAATTATGTGCGCATGTTTATGTATGAAAAGTGAATAAATGCGCCGAAAGATTACAATACCACTGGACCATACTGATATGCAAACAAATATCTTGCAGTAAACCTAATGAACCTAATAAATTTTATGCCTTGCAAATCAGTGCCTTCCAGGCAGCTCAGTGGCAACAGATGCTGGGCCATGAGCCTGCCGTTTTGGCCCCCGAACACCTGGCATTGGCACTGCTTTCGGAGTATGGCACAAATGGCTACCGGAAGAACGGAGGTGCAGGGACCTTACCATGGGCCATCCATGATCCAATGCTCACCTGTGCAGAACTTGGTTCGGACCAGGTTGCAGGCACATGCTGCACATGCAAGAATGAACGCGATTGAAGTAAGTGTTTGGCATCATCCCCAGCAAGATAAACCATTGTCAAAAGAATTGGAAAGAAACCCGAGGTCATGATACGGATTTTGCAGTCACTGCAAGTGAGACTTGTCGCTGCTTGACTAGTGAATTGCATCTTTTGGCAAGGCTTGCATCCAAGAGCGGGGTTGGTTACTGTCATCACTTTCATCCTTTGAACCAGATCTATTTATGTTGTACTTCCACAGTCCTCCACACGACAAATTGACATGTCCTGAGGATGTTCGTGTCGCTGTCCTTGATGTTTTGCCTGGCCCAGCAGCGGCAAGCTATGTTGAGTCCGAAAGGATGAGATCGAAAAGTGCCAAGATGTTAACAGAACCTGGGAGAACCGTTCAGCCGTCTTTCAGGCAGAGTGACTGGCCGAAACTCCTATCTGATGCCTTGAAGAGCTTGACTGCAGGGCTGACCGAGCGAAAAAATGAGGCCAAACTCCTGTTGTTGGCTGCAGTTGCGGGTGAACACGTTCTGTTGATCGGACCGCCAGGGACAGGAAAATCCCTGTTGGCACGGAGGCTGGCAGCACTTTGCCAGGGCAAGTGCTTCGAGCACCTCATGACGTCATTCACCACTCCTGAGGAGATCTTGGGTCCCATCTCACTGCTGGCTCTGCAAGAGGATAAAGTGCTGCGAAAGGCGAAGAACTACTTGCCTGAGGCAGACGTGGCATTCCTGGACGAAGTCTTTAAGGCCAGCCCAGGCGTCCTCAACTCCCTGGTGTCAGTTCTAAATGAGAGGGTGGTGGACAATGGCAGTGAGCGGTGTAAGATTCCGCTGTGGTGCTTGGTTGGAGCCTCGAATGAATTGCCAGACACACCCGTCATGGATGCCTTGTACGATCGCTTCCTGCTTCGGAGTCACGTCTCCTACATCTCTGACACTGGCCTTCGTGGTTTTTTGGCACAGGAACTCACTGACACATCTTCCGTCCAAGCAGGTCAAGACGGTCAGGACGGTCAGGACAACGACTTCACTTCATTTACTTCATTCGATTGCAAAGATTGCCAGGAAGCCTGCCGGGCAGCCCAGCAGGTGGCAGTTCCTTCCCGTCTACTTCGCATGGTTGGTGCCCTTCGGCGTCACCTGGAAGAGGCTCAGCCAAAAAAACTCATCTCAGATCGGAGCTTGGCAAAGGCCATGCGACTGTTACAAGTCGCAGCCTTCACCATGGGAGCCCAGGAGGTCTCGGAGATCGACCTGCTGCTGTTGAGGCACATTTTCGAGGGCTCAGGTCAACATGGAGCAGATGGATCGATGGTGGTGAAGTGGTTGCTGGAACACTGCTTTTCCAGACACGAAGAAGACGTACTTCGCACCGTGCAGCGTGGTTTGCGACAAATTCAGGCCAAAGCTAAAGGAGCGAAAAGCCGCGCAAAGAGGCGAGGCTTTCCTCTGGCTCATTTCATCTTGAGTGTGTTTGGATTCAATTCCCATTTCCCCATGCCAACCCATGACATTGTGAAACATGAAGGGAAACGTGGCACCCCGCTTGCGCGGCAATGGGGATTGAACTTCAGGATTTTGCTGCAGAAACTGCAGATGATCCATCGGGTGGTCGAAGAGCAGGTTGGGCTATGGCATCGAGCAGAGGCCGGGCAGACGGGCGGCGTGTGCTCAGATTGCGCGTGTCACTACACAGGGCAGCCATGAGCTTGCTCAACTTCAGTTGACATGGCTATCATTGCTTTACCCCATTTAGAGCCATTTTCGTGTCAAAAAAACGTGTTATATCCATGTGTGTCCCATCCTGAGCCCAATTGAATCCAATTGATATAATTAATAATATAATTAAAATATATATATATGTATATATGTATAAGTATATATATGTGTGTGTATGTGTGTCACCAACCAATCATACATGTCCAGTGCCATTTGCCATGCCAAGCTGATACCCTTCCTCATAGAGCCCCATAGTTCCCAATGTTTTTCCCGTGTAAACTGGGGATTTCCCAGCGCCGTGGTTTCAACCAGGAATTCTGCCAGGCTTCCATCCATTATCGCCTGCGGATTGCTGGGCTCAAGTCGAAGGAGGCCCTGTTAGCAATGGGAAGATCATCTAGTAAATGGGCCAGCTTCCAGCCACGTTTGAGTACCGGATCGTAAAAAAGAACATGGAACCCCAAAATGGCCATGACCAGCAGGAAAATAATCTTCCAAACCCATCCAACCCCCATGTTTCACACTAAAAAATAAATAATTTAGCACGGGTAGATAGGGAGCCTCATGACTCGTGGCAATATGGGAGAATGTACTGGAATGTAATGAAATATAATGGAGCATAGAGGAATCGGAAATGGCGGAATATAAGGAACATAATTAACTATATATACTTGTTAGTAGGGAATTGGGTACTGATCAGAACGGTGACACCCTCCGGTTCACCCTTCCATTGATTTGGACGTGTCTGAGAATGGGGATGCACCCACGTATGGCTATTTCGATAGTGAAAATAGTCGTTTAATCATCAAATGTGGGAGTATCCTATTTTCAGACAAATCCCATATGAAAAATCATGAAACTCATAGGTTTGGAGTTTTAACCAAACCACAAGGTACCCCATAAAAAATCCTAGAATCGACATGTGAGGCTGGCTTTAGCTGGCTGGAGCCCGGAGATGTGCAGAAGATGGCAGACAAGCTCTTACCGCAGGCTGGATGGATTCAGTCTGGCTATTGAAATGGGTTTATGTCCAAACATCTGGCATCCCAAAATCCACTGCTATGCAATGATTTTGTCATGTTTTAATATGTTTTATACAACTATATATATATGTATATGTATATATATATATATGCACACATAATCGTCTTCCATCAAGTTGGACAAACCCAAATGAGTAATTCCCCCAAAATCGAACCAACTCAACCAGGGGTTTCTCCGTACCAAAAAAGTGACATCTTGACTAAAACCGGCAGCTCACCGAGCACACATCGCCATGGCCACGGTGGAACGCTGTTGTATCAGGTGAGACAGGTCATTGGCTTTTGCGAGTCTCTGCGGTCCCAAGTGATGCTCTACTTTGGGCTCTTGGAAGCACCCTGGCGCCATGAGTCCAGTGGTACACGTTGGTGGTGGCTGATGTCTGGCCGCAACGCCGGAACTTGGGCGGTTTTTGGTTGCAGATTGCGATTGAGAAAAACGAAAGTATATATGTTAGATGGATAGTGTTGGCAAGAGGTATAAGTCGTTGGCACATTTTGCATCCGAGTGGCCTGCAACTGACCAAGGCAGACGAATCTGCAGCCTCGCAGCTCGGCAAACGATGCAAGGCAGTTAGATCCTGAGCAGAATTTTTCAGCAGAAGATTGTTGTCTAAGGCTGCCATCAAACACGCTTGGATATGAGGTGGACGAGCTGCTCGGCGTGTGTGGATGAGCTGTTGTCAGGTATACCCCTGCTTATACTGTAATTACATGTAATTACATGTAATTACCAAGTATTCTTATAATCCAACTATAGGCACTTGTTGGGTTCGACTACAGTGACTACAGTACCTTTTTTTCTCCAGGACTGGTTTTAATATTTAACAATGCCTTGGTTCCATTGATTTATCTTGGTTCTTCCAACGTCGCTGCCTAGTGACAGCCTGCAATTTCTGAGGCAAGCCTTGCTTGAAGTGCCGGGCATCGGCAGGGTGCTGGCACAACTCTTACTGAGCCGCTTTGGGAGCCTGGAGGTGTGAGAAACAGGGGCCATGGCAGCAGCAACAGCTTTTCGGAACCCAAAGATCCCAAAGGGCCTAGAATAGGTGCCTACAAATTGGCTGGATTGTGGCCACATGAGCATCTCAGGGCAGTCTATTTTGTTCATTTCTGGATAAATTGTTTACCTTTATCATCCTTTATCATTACAACATACTATAAAATATTACAATATCTTAGGAAAATGATCATAATGATCCTTCTGGTGCCAAGCCTTGATTATCTTGAGTGATTTCTACACTTTTTAGCTCCCCATATCGGCAGGGCGCTAGAGCGGGCTCCCCCTCCTGGGAAGGCTGTGCTGGAAGCCGCCGAGACCGATGCGACCGAGCTCACCTCGATTCCAGGCATTGGCCCCCGGCGCTTGCAACAGATCCGGGCTCATGCGAAGGTTCGGGGCTGCGAAGGGAAGAGATATGGGATGATAGGGTGGATGGATATGATTGAACAATATTGGACATGTATGGATCAACCTATTTACTGTATATCAAGCTATATCAAGCTATTTCAACCTATAGGCTTTGGTGAGTTCGAGGTCTAAACATCCATGAGCGCCAGCGTTTTTGGTAGTGTCAGAGTGTTTACCCATCCACACTTGAGTATTTGAAGTTGCATGCGCGCATTCAATTTCATCAGAACCTTGATCAGCCAGAATTATGGATTTTGAGAAAGTTCTGCGCATATCTTTAAAGCAGCTTTTTAGTGGGCCACAGCTTAGGTTGATCATCGGGAGAAGTCGAAGGGCAAGCTAAGATATGGCCAACACATACACAACAACACACATCAATCCCAATCGTTCGAAGGAAGCCAAGACATTCTGATCAGTCCGAAACCCCACAAGTGCTATAGCGAGTCGCTTCATACGACCAGGCTCAGACGAGTGCGGAAAGAAGGGAGCATAGCAGTGGAGAAAAAGGGGACATGCCGCATACCTGTCAGTTTTTGAGCGGTTTCACATGTTTTGGACCAAAACTGCTCGAATTCATCGCCACAATGATCACAAGTCACCATTGTTCCCCAAGGCGCTTCTTGCAAGCTCGGTGTCGGAAGTGAGTGTGGTCTCAGGGGTCACCACGACCTCACACGTTGAGCCGCTGAAAGCAGCGGCTGCAGCAAAGGCCTGCGAGCAGAGAAAAGTCAACGCAAGGTTTGTCAGATGTCGCACAAGATATCGATTTAAATAGTCCTTGATTTGCTGAAGACGGTTTCTATTTTCTCACTGGTCAATCCACCATGGCGGGGAATCCACTGCAACTATGTCTGTTATGGTCCTTCGGATCGCAAATGTAGGTATGTAAAAACAAAAAGCCTATGTAGGTATTGATGGTATTGTGTGATGGTGCTTGGCACGGCTTGGCAAAAGCATTTGCATTCAATGCCGGTTCAAAGGGGGAGGCGCCACCCCTCGCCGATCTCCCCACCCTCCCATGCTGCTTCGAACTGCTGTCACTCTTTGGCTATGCCATGCACTTGAAGGCTTGGAGACCGTCATTGCTGAACATTTCATGGGTGTGCTTGCAATGCGAGATGCTGTTTTAAGATGTTGCCACTACTAGTATCTACTAGTAGGGTTCACTGACCATTATGATTTCCTCTTGTCTCATGGTGCATGAATTCAATGAACAGCTCTCATTCCCCTGCTCCCAAACTACAGGAGCTGTAGACCAGCCACTGGATGCTGCATGTTCTTTCGTTCAACATGGGGTCTCTTGGCTCACTGATGTTCAAGGTATTTTCCATGCGTGCCCGCGCAATCTATTGCGGCTTTCACAACATGCAACTGTTGATATCCTTTGACATGCTAGAGTGACCATTACCAAATTCCTGACCAAATCCCTCTCCTTCTTGCAGTGTGTTGGCCAAGCAACCCAAGGCCCACGCACTACCTCCTCGATCTGCGGCTGTTCCGTTCGCAGATGCAGATGTTCTCAGGACAGCCTTGGTTACGAGCTGCGATTGAAACATATCATCAACGCCACAGAAGACTCTTTCGACTTTGGCCATCACTATTGTTTTCCATGAAGTTTTAGAACATGTGTCAAATGTGTCAAAAACGGATGGCCAGATGGTACACGATAACATCAGGTGTGAAGTACTGTCACATCCCTGGTTCAGGTTAGAAAGAACTATCCAGAGAGCGAGTGAAGTGGCAGACGCTGTGGGCGAGGAAACTCAGGAGTTAGCACGGAGGCTCTCGCAGCTCAAAGGAGCCCTGGATGGATCGCAGCTCACTGCCAGTCGTTCACCGCGGGAGCAGTTTCCTGCAGCCTCCATAGCAAATACTGATGCGTTGGCCAAAGATGCCTAGATCATCCTAGATCCAAAGGGTATTCGAATATTAATACTGCACATATGCATAAATATGCAACTTGTCCTTAATAGCTTTATTGATACTTATTACCTTAATTATATATGTGGGTGTCTTTGAGGAGAGACAATTCTGGTGAGAGAGAGAGAGAGATATCGGGAGAACGTGTTTGGTCGCCCCAATGCTTTTGCTGATTAGAATGCGCTCAGTGTGTATACAGTTGAACACGAACGTTATTAGGGGGCTTGTGAAACGTGCACAACTTCTGTGAAACGTGCACAACTGCTGGGAAACGTGCACAACATCTCTGACACGTGCACCACATCTCTGAAACGTGCACAACATCTCTGACACATGCACAACATCTCTGAAACGTGCACATATAGAATTCTTGAAAACACTGGGTGCGGGCGGTGAAACACGTTATACCCACATTATATATATATATATACATGGTACGATCAGAATACAGGTAGACCACTGATGTAGGGCTCTCTTCCGTTTGGAAAATACACCAAACATTGTGTAGCGATAAATCGGTTTGCTTGTATATGTTTGCATTCCCCCAATAAATCAAGCATATATCTGGGAAATCATGACTAATTACTCAGGAATTGAAATATTAACATTATTAGAAACGAGCGGGTGTGGAATAATTGGTTTAAATTGTAGCCCAAAAAGTCGGCAAATTTCGGAAAATAGATTGCGATGAAAATTGGATGGATCTGGGTAATTTGCGGCCTACATATTTAGGTCATCAAGGTAGTATATTAGGTAGCTCAATTTTTGTTCTGCATAATTTGAGTGCCCTCCAAAGCCGCCGCAAGATTTAGAGATATTGCCGTCCTCCAATATGTTTCTACTTTGATTCTCCAACAGCCCTTTATTCTTGTGGCCATGCGAGAAACATTGCATTTTTGCTCGAAACTATTTCTTTGAAACAAAGCACTTTTTTGCATACGGGTGACAGTCATTCATGGAGGTGCGCTGAATCTGTTGAAATCAAGTAAATGCCACATTGCCGGCTTAGAACTCATTGTTGCAGCTGCCATCTTGATTTTTGAAGATGGAATGTGCAGGAACACATGTTAAGTGTCCAAAGTATTGCTTCTCGTTTACTACGTTAACCTTGGAGTATGGGTAGTCTAATCCGTTTATCGTTTTTTGCTATAAATAGGAATATCAGCTAACAATTTAATCTTTTGCAGGGCATCGAAGATTGGCAATGACTATGTGTTTGATGTCAAGGTTTGGGCCTTCGTTATTTTGATTTGTGGCCCGGGCTTTGCTCTTTCATTGCTGCGCGCATGAGGGTCTCAACACTCAGTTGAAGATGTGCGAGCGCAGTGCTCGAGCTTGGTGACAAGATGTTCGGGAATAATTTGGTAATATAATGAAAAAGCAAATGACAGCCATTTTTCTGTGTTTTTTTGGGGTGTGATTTTTTTAAAAGGCTTGGCTCCGAGACTTGGCTCCAGGCTCCTAAGGATCCTAAGGCTCCTATGGCTCATCTATCATCAATCAACCTATCAGCTTGGTTGATTCTTCTATGAATCTACCAGTGTAATGCTCTATTTATCTATCTATCTATCCATCCATCTATCTAGCTATCTATCTATCTATCTATCTATCTACCTACCTGGCTAGCTTTCTATTTATCCATTCTAGTCTTTATCTATCCTATCTGAGTTATTTGTCTTGCGCCTCTATCTTCTCTCCCTTTGTCCTGTCCTGCCCATCTCATTTGTGTCATTCACATGATCGATATTCGCGATTTCTCATAAAATCACCGAAAAATCAATGAAAACCGACCAAAAAAATAAACACTGACAGCCTCGAGCCGAATAATATGAGAAAAACGCAGGAAATCAACCTACGAGCTGTTTTTAAAATGAAGAAAAACAATGAAAAACCGATAAATCGATGCTTAAGTCTCCAAAAATCAATGACAACCCGTCACAAAAACAGTGAAAACCGGCAAGAATCATAGGAAACTGAAAAATTGGAACCTTTAGGAGAAGAAAAACACCCAGAAACAAATGCCTTGCTTTCTTCAATCTTATTCTTTTTTTGCTGAGAACGGCAAAAGCCTTTCAAATAGGGACACAAACCTCCGCTTGGACCCGTCCACGCCGAAAGTTTCCTTAGAGGCCAGCTGCCTTCGAACACAAGTCTTTAAATATTTTTTAAGTATTTTAAATTCTAATTTCCTTCTGGTGATGGGGTGGGTTCCGTCCTCATTAATTATGAATTTCTTTATATAGATTCGATATAAATATAGTTGATTATAAATATGAATTCTTAGAAAAAAAATACATATAATTTAATCAAAAAAAATATGTAAATATATATATATAAATTAAATCGAATTTTTATATATAATTTAAAATAAATTTATCTTTAAATAAATAATAAAATAATATAAATATTATAAATATTATTATTATTAAATCTTGAAAATAAAAATGTAAAAAATAATAATTATTAATAGTAATAATATAATGATATCAATTTATATATAATCGTATAATATTTGGGGATGCGAAAATATACGAAATTTGTATTTTTTTTAATCTAATTATATAAATAATTAATTTAATCTAATTTATATAATTTGGAAATTTAAAAGGAAGGAATAATGTGGATTTTGTTTTTAGCCGCGATTTTCGAATATTTGAATAATGAATATAATATAAATATTATAGTGGAATTTTGTGGGGGTGGGAATAATTTTTAGATATGTTTAATTTAAATATGTTTATTTATAAAATAATATATTTATAAAATAATATATATATATATAAATTTA